GAATGGCTTGTAATGCCATTTGGATTAAAAAATGCACCATCAATCTTTCAAAGAAAGATGGACCAATATTTAAGAAGTATGATAATTTTTGTAGTGTATATGTAGATGATATATTAGTTCATAGTAAAAATAAAAATGAACATAGAAAACACTTAGAATTTATTTTGAAAGAATTTATTGATAATGGTATAGTTTTAAGTAGAAATAAAGTAGAGCTTGAAAAACAAGATATAGAATTCTTAGGTATGTATATTAAGTCAGGAACCATACAATTACAAGAACACATAGCTAAAAAAGTGTTAGAATTTCCAGATAAGTTAGAGGATAAAAAGCAATTACAAGCATTCTTAGGTTTATTAAATTATGCTAGAAGTTTTATCCTTGATTTAGGAAGGAAAATTGCAGCTTTGCATAGCAAAACTAGTAAAACAGGACAAAAATATTTTAATAGTGAAGATATTAAGTTAGTTCAAAGCATAAAACAAGATATAACCCAACTTAAACCGTTAGCATTACCATTAGATAATAATTACAAAATAGTTGAAACAGACGCATCATCAATAGGATGGGCAGGAATTTTATATCAAAAGAAACATAAAGAAGAACCAAAATCAGAAGAAAAAGTTTGTAGATATGCATCAGGAAAATTTAATGATATACAGGCTAGACTTCCAGCCACTGACTTAGAAATTTTAAGAGTAATTAATTCTCTTGAAGCATTTTCATTATTTTTACATAATGAAATATTTACTATTAGAACAGATTGTCAAAATATTGTTTCTCATTATAATAAAATTACTACTAATAAACAAGCAGCCCGAAGATGGGTGAATTTTGTTGATTCTATTACAGGAAATGGATTTAGACCGATATTTGAGCATATTAAAGGTATGGATAATACTTTAGCAGATATCTTATCTCGTATTATTCATTAACAGGTATGCAGTATTTTGGACCATCATCATCTGGCAGCAAAATAATGGTATACCATCACTGGTGGTAATCCATTAAGCATAAGTAATCAAGCACGATCAGTAGCAAATACTTATTTTTATAATGGAATATCAGTACAAGAAGTTAGAAATCCTTCTTTAAAGTATCGTACTCAAGCATCATTAGCAGAAAAACAAAAAGTTCTTTTAGATAACTTTTGGAATATTAGAACTAATACTGAAAGCATGAGAAGAGGGCATGAAAAGCTTATTAGAGCCCTTGAGCAAGAGTTTTTAGCATATAATTATGATTATAAAATAGCAAAACAACACCTTTCTTTTTTGCAGGAAAAATATGCAGAGCAAAAAGGGAATATGATACAATAGTTAAGCATTTTAGAATTATTAATTTAAGATGTCAAATTCTACAAGAAGAGGCTAATAAGCCCACCGTAATTGAGCATAATTTACAGGAAAAAGAGGCTAATAAGCCCAACTTACTTGAGCATAATAGTGAATTTTTACTTGAGCAAAAATCTAAAAATCCCTATTTTCTTCAAACTCTAGCTAGAGAAAGGTATAAATTTCTACCAATAGATGTTAAGAGTCACATAATTGAATTAGAATATGAGCAAAATACATCTCTTCAACTTTATATTCAAGCTTTTCTTTTCAATTTAAAAGTAATCCACATCCTGGCATCACAATTATTACCAAAAACTGTTCCCATTACACTATTTACTTAGCCAGCATTAACATGATTGAATATAGGGAACTGCATTTAGAGCATAAACAAAAAATAATCGTAGTTACTCCAGCATTATTAGCACAATATGGTTATTTAGGGAAACTTTATATTGAAAAAAGCGAGCATTTAGATTCGTTCTCCCAAAAATTTAGAGAAATTATAAGTTTTTATTTGCCTCTCTGGAAAAATGTAAAATTAGATTTCACTAGTATACCCCCAGAGTGGTTTAAAGATAACATTTACCCCAGATTTAGCACAACATAGGATTATTATTTCTTTTGATGAATTACTTAGTCCGGGAGAATCAGCACAAACAGGAATGCCTACTAAGCAAGACATCCAACAATACAGAGGAGCAATAATAGCCGAGCAACAGCTGTTTAATGATGATCGTCTGACCCTCCTATACCAGTCCAAATTTATCAAGGTGTATTCAGAATCCACAGCCAGGAGACCAGATGATATATATGAATACAGGATCAGCACTACATGAGCAAAAGTTTTTGACGAAATCTACAACCAATAGCAGAACAGATTACAGTAGAAGATAATGACAATTCATATTGGAATAGCTTAGGAGAAGAAGAGCTACACAACATAGATAACATGATGGATGCATGAAGACCACGTGAAGAATCCATCCAGCAGAACAGCCGCCAAATTTCTTGGCTCCATACGGCAGCAACATATGAAAAGAAGAAAGATTTCAGTTTCATACGGCTAAAGGATCCCCTAGGAAATCTAGAAAAGAATAAGGGCATTATTGTCCAACCACTTTAATTTTGTCCTTCTTTATAAATATTGTACTCGTTTTGGGTTTATTTATAAGTCTCCCTTATAATCAATTTCCCCTCCTATTTTTCATGCACAAAAAAAATTTATTTATGAAAAAAATTATAAAAAAATCTCTATTATTTATAAAGCCATGTTAAAAGCAGTATACTAGGAAATGAACATATTTATTAAATAGGGTAATATGGAAAATTTACGGTATTTTATTTAAAAAAACAAAATAAGATCATGAGTCCTATTTTCTTGGGACACAATTACACCTAATTTATCTGTTTTAAATTTTAAAATAAAATATTTATATTTATAACATAAAAATTCCAATTGGCCCACACGTGAGTGAGTGTGTGCCAAGGGACTAGTTATTCTATAATCTACTTACTAGGAATGGGAAAAGCCATGAATTGGGGAATTTAGATAAGGGAATCAAAGTATTGAAATCGGATCAACTACTTCCCCTACTTGATCCCATTCTTGATTTTAAGGGTACTCGATTATGAATTTTAAGGTGAAACCTACATAATTTATTTTTATACCCATGTGTTAGTGACATGAAAAGTAGGAGCGAATTGGAATCATTCCAATACTCATTCTTGATAAGTAAACATGTCATAAAAGAAGAAAAGAAAATGAGAAATATAAAAACAAATCTAGTTATTAATAAACCCATTAAGACCAATGAGGTGTTAGTTAGATTGGCTTGGATCTCTAGTGTGTTCCCAAATGGTCCGAGTTCAAACCCCCATGGTACATCACAGGGGTGGGCACAATTTCTGGTCAACACGTAATCCAATCTAATAAAAATGAGTGAGTCTTGAGTTTAAAAAACTCATAAACTGCTATATATAGGTTGGATTATGGGTTGGAACCAAAACTTAAAAGTAAGCTTAATTTTGAGTTAACCCAACCGAACCGCCCAACCCCATCACAAAAAGCTTGGGTTGGATTATGTTGGTCTAATAATGAGCAGGTCTTGGGTCTAAAAGATCATAAACTGCTATATATTGGGGAGGGGGTGGGGTACGATAATATACTCAGACTGATGAATTGAAATGATTAACTTCATGGGCCCCCATAGCGAGTTAGGACCCCAATCGAGCTTAACCCTTGAACTAAAAAGTCGGCCAATTTAACACTCAAATAAATTGAAGTGGCCGATTACCCCTACCATTAGATTTTAGATTATTCATCCAATTCTTTGTTAATACTAAGAGTATATTTGTATTTTCAAATAAAATAAAAATTAAATACATAAAACCAAAAGAAAAAATAATAAAAAATAGCAAAAATCTTTATAAAATTTACAAGAAAACCCAGCCCAAACCTCTTCCCCACAACCCCATCCCACCACCTACCACAACCCATCCCTTTCTCCTCCACCCACCCATTCCAGTCCAGACCCACTTTTTCTCTCCTATGGTCACTATTTGCCCTTCTTAACATCTTCATCATCATTAATTTGACATTTTGATGCAATGCATTAAGGGAGATGTTTAATGACTGATCCATTATTGGGTAATTGGAAAGTCAAAAAGTCTTGGGTGGTGCAGGGGAATAAATTCAGATGCATGTGGTTTCTAGTATGATACATGTATCGTAGTTAATACTTGACTCCTTTCAATTGCTTTTGTTTTAGCTTAAATAAGGGTCTGTAGGCTTCTGCGGGGATGATCAATTATTAAGAATTTCAATTGTAATGTCAAATAGCTATGCTCTTTCTATTATCAAAGACTCTTTCTCTTTGAGCACCCACTACTGCAAAATCGAAATGGTTTCCCGTCGTCTAGAAGTGTTTACACCATAATCAACCAAGCATATCCAGCCACAAAACGACCAGCACCAAGGCAGACAGGCCTCATCCCTTGCCGAAGGAAGACACTCTTCCGAGGTGCCAGACACCTACCAAAGCTCTCAACTGCCGAACCTAATCTCCACGACACGTGTCACCACCACAGCGGCTTGCCCAAAGTCTCACATTGAAACTTTGTGCAAACCTCATACTTTCACTTCCCTATAAATAGGGAACAGTACCCAAGTAAAAAGGGTAACTTCTCTCTCACCTTTACTGTTACTCTGCCAACTTTACCACTCACAGCTGACTTAGGCATCGGAGAGCCTTCGGCCGGCATAACACCGATGTCCGAAACTTAACAACTGCTTCTCCTACTTTGTCTTCTGCAGGCTCCTCCCTTGCTGAAGGTCCTCACCTTCTCCCCTATTGAAGACTATCCACATTCCCTCTAAGTTGACCTCTCAAAAAGAGCATCAACAGTTTGGTGCCGTATGTGGGAAACAACTTTTGAATCCCATTTTTCTCTACCAGCCCAGCTGGCTCCTTCTCCCGTTAGGCCTCGTTGCCTCTTCTTCACTCCACACTCTGCTATGCCGATCGAGGATAGTCACGATACTCAGCACCATACCCCCCGTAGGGGTTCCTCACGAAGGAAACCTTTAGCAGATACCAATCTCCAGGCAGAAGTAGAGCTCCTCCGCGCCATTGTTACCAAGATGTCCGAGAAATACGAACATCTTTATACCAAAAATATCGAGCTGGACATGACTACCGCACACCGAAGCGTAACTAGGAGAGGACTCAGGCCCAGGGCTCCCAACGTGACTTTACCCAGGATGCTGAGTATACCCAGCCAAATCAACCGGTGCACTCCCACCATAGTGCCCCAGTCCAGTCTAGGCTCAGCAAGGGTAAAGGCCCCCTCCATCCAGAGATGACCAAGTTACGGCTCCTCCACATCTCCCCACCAAAGGACCGGCCCCATGAACCGATGAAGGTCTATAGAGATTGTAGAGACCATCTCTTAGACCGTCAACAAGACCCTATTCCTATCCCCGTTAATCTCCAAGACCCAAGGGTGGCACGCTTAGGCCCCCCACCGAAGCCCACCCACCTACCTGATGGAAAGGGTACAGGGGACTCGGATAACTAGGAAACTTACCATCTAGAAGACTGGGAGTCTTATCACACTGAGGCGTTCGAAGAGTGGGAACCTTCCCCAGCCCCTACTCATCCACACCCTAGGCCTTCAGCACCCGAGACCCTCCCTCATGCCGACCCGGCCATGAGGCTTCTCTTTGAGAAGGTCCAGCACCTGGAGAATGAGCATTAGCACAGCCACCAGCCCCTCTTGGCGAAGCCACGACCAGGGCCCTTTACCGAATGTATCCTCAATTACCACCAGGAGAAGGACATTAAGCCACTCCGTATCGCCTTCTACCCTGCACGGGCCTTAGTGACGAAGGCATGTGCCTCATCTTCCCTTCCACCCTTAGCGGCGTGGCCCTGAATTGGTTCTACAGGCTGAACCCCCACACCATCAACTCATTTGACAGTCTGAAGTAGACCTTCCTAGACCATTTCATGATCCAGACTGATCGCCTGTACTCTGCAGACGACTTGTACATGCTTCGGCAAGGTGAGGAAGAACCCCTTCAGGAGTATGCCGCCCGCTCCAGCCATGAGTACTCTCGTTACCCGGAGACTGACGATCGCGCTGCCTTCGGTGCTTTCAAGAGTGGCCTCCGCAAGTACATCTTCCGATACCTGGTCCACAATAACCCTTGGAACACGTATTTAGAGCTAATGAAGCAGGCAGCCGTCCCACGCCAAGGCCGAGTATTTCAACTCCAAGCGTGGCCCAGCCACCTTTACCCGTAGCACCTTTGGTGATCTTCCACCTGCTTCAGTACCTACCCCATCCCCACCTCAGCGTTCTATTCCCATTCCTGCCCTAGATAACTAAGGTACCCCGCACCCCAAAAGGAAGGATAGCTACCAGCATACCTTCAGCAGTAGCAAGCATGACAGACATGGCAACCACCACCAGATCAATGGAAGCAACCCTTCTAGGACAAGTGATCGGGCCCCACTCCCCTTCACACCCAAGCCTAGGTTTTAGGTCTTCGCCACCCTCAACACCACCTATGAGAATGTCTTGGTACATGAGGCACCTATCATACCCAAGCCTCCCCTTCGGAGACCGTCCAACAAGCCTATGCCAAACACAGGTGTCTTCTGCCGTTTCCATCAGTTCAACGGCCACGATACCGAATCTTGTGTTGCCTTGCGCAACATCATTGAAGGACTTATTCATGAGGGGAAGTTGGATAAATATGTGCACAACCTCCCACCCTCACCTAACCCTCACCAAAGGCAGATCAACATGATCTCCACCATCAGCGTGAAATCGACCGCCATCTTTTGTACAAAAAATAACGACGGTTAATACCCGACGTCGTTAAGGCATTCAACGTCCAAATTTATTACGAACCGACATGTAATTACATATAATTAGCCTAAAATGAAATCTTCGACAACATTAGACGACGGTTTTATAAAAACTGAGACGTCTAAAGAGTGTTATATGTCAAGATCAAAGAAGAACCGACATACAAATAATTATCCACATCCCTAAATGAAGGAAAAAAGACTTGGATAAGCTAGAAACCGACGTGGTCAATATATACTACGTTAAACAAACAAAGACAACGACGTCTAAAACATAAACGACGACGTGCACACAAACCAACAGACGTTTAAAGAGTAACATGCCATAACCACGTCCTGCACCTAGCATCACCAACGCTAATGTTATTATCCATGTCGCGGAATATAATGAAAACCGACGTGTTAAGTTTATTCCACGTCTGTTTCTTGCAAGAATCGTCGTTTAAATTGTACAAAGAAGTCCTTTGACAGAGTTAGACGTCACTTTTTTTGAATAACCAACATCTAAATATTTAAAATGACATAATATTACTCAATATCGATGTACAAAATTGTATCCACGTCGGTTTTTGTCAAAGGATGACATTATAAATAATATTGAAGGCGTGGATAGGAAAATAACCGACGTGGATTATATATTCAACGTCTGTGGCATTAAATAAAGGACGTGGTTAATTATTTCACTACGTCTAGAGATCCACCTGCTTGACGTTGTAATTACTTACCACGTCGATGAATGACGTGGTTGTCCTTTTAAAAGTCGCTTGTTTAACCTTTCTTGACGTATGTATGCTCGGAGACGTTAGTTGTTTTAGACTAGCCAACGTTCAAAACATCTGTCATGACAGTTAATGGAACTGAACGGCCTTTATTTCGTACTTTAGACGACGATTTATTTTAAGCAAACCGACTTGATTTCTGTTTCAGATGTCTGTGTTTTTGTTTTATGGTCTTTTGCCTTTTTAAAACCCAACGTTGTTTTTATTTTAGACATCTGTGTTTCCAATTTTTTTACTGGACCGTCGTACTTTATAGTAAACTGATTTTCTAGTAGCATGCCAAGTCAAACTCTTAGCTGTCTTATGTGATTGAAACATCCTTTTAAACCTTGGAATTGGAGGAAAAAAACCACACCACCTTCGCTGGCACACCCTCTTTCAAGATTAAATGTTTGCCTTCCTTCCACCTTGAGACACCACAAGTAGGACAATTACTTGAATCTTCATAATTCTTCCAATACCAGATGCAGTTATTGGGAATGCGTGGATTTTCTCATAACTCATCCCTAAAGCAGGCAATGTCTTTTTTGCCTCGTACATAGAGGAAGGTAGTGTATTTCCTTTTGGAAGCAAATCTCCTTGAAGTATTAATAATTCTGTAAAACAAAATCACTCATCCCATGTTTTGCTTTCAAATTATATACTTCACCAAAGCCAAGAACATCGTGTACTTACTGCTACCAGGATACAATGGTTGATCTCCATCCCCAATCACATTGGCAAACTCATAAGGATCAAATCCAATATCGTCTAAATCATTATCAAAATTCAAAATCCTTCCACACCTAACTCATATGCCTTCGATCTTCTATCCGCATGCATCCATGACTTATCCATCTCACACACTATAAAATCATACATATAATAAAGTGAAAAGACCAGCAATGAAACACTACTATATTGACAGAGAAGAGAACAAAGTGGAGAAAAGAAAAAAAATTCCACAAGAATCATACGACGGTTTTTTACAAAATAATCGTCGCGTAACATAGATTAAGACGATGACATGTCTATTTACCGTCGTCTTTAAGCAACCTAACAAGATATTTGTGTTCTTTTTGAAGAACTGGGCTGGGTTATGGTGGCCTAACGACGATGGCGGTAGTAAATAAAAAGCTGACGTATAATAAAAATTTGGATGGAGGTTGGTTCCACCAACCGTCGTAGTGGTTTACAAAAAACCAAAGCCTAATTCTTCCATCCCCATTCCTTTTCAAAGAACCCTTAACATAATGCAAACATCAAAACATAAAAGAACCCATATATAGCTCCCAATCAAGAACCTGTAGCTCCCAAAACATATAAGAACCCATATTAAGAAACCAAAGCTGAGAGAATATACAAACTAACAGAATATTTAGAGAGAGCTGAGAGAATATACAAACTAAGAGAATATTGAGAGAAAGCTGAGAGAATATACTTACATGGATATTGAGAGAGAGAGAGAGAGAGAGAGAGAGAGAAAGAGCTGAGAGAAAATATCAAATGCTTGAGAGAGCTCAGAGAATATACCCAATGCTTTGAGAGAGAGCGAAAACTTTAAGACAATTTACGTTGAAGAGAGAGAGAAATACTTTAGGGTTAAAGGGAAATTTTGAAAATTTTAGATCCCGATGAAAAATTTCAAAGGACCGCATTTATTAAAGACGACGGTAAATACAACCAAGTCATCGTTTTATTTCAAATTTACAAAAACGGTTATGGTACACCGACGCCGTTGTAAAGCGTTTTGACGTCTCCCATACAAAAACCGGCATCTAAAATATTAAATAATTAGATTTGGTGTGTGTTTCCTGAGATTCGAACACGCATAATTGACCAAAAAGAGCGAGAGAAAACTAGAGTTGTTTCAATAAAACCTAAACCCTAAATTTTACAATAATAAATAAATAAAAAAAAAAAAAAAAAAAAAGAGAGAAAATGAAAAAAAGAAAATTGAAACTAAACAGACTACCTTACAACAATGCCTTCTACATTAGTAGGCTAAAATCCATATTAAATAATTTTAAATTTTATGACCACAAATGGATCACATAAACCTTAGGGTTATGTTATGGAAAGTATAATGACTATTGTGCTTTGTCTCTAAATCTTTTTGACTTTTGTTATCACTTCTAATTTTGAAATCTAAAATTAAAATTTTCAGGCATGTAGGGGGAAGATATTGTCTCAATGAGTGCATAAAATTTGTCGGTTTATTTTTTGGATTTTTTTTGAATATATTATGAATATTAGTAATTAAATACAATTAAAAATATTTTTTTAATTAAATTTTTTAAAGATTTAGGGGAGATAAAATCTTTCAATGAGTGCATGGTAGTTGTCAGTTTTTTTTATGGAATTTTTTTTAAAATTATTATGAATATTAGGAATAAATATAAAAGCCATACAAAATTAAATGACAAATGTACATAACCGACGTTGCATCCATTTACAACGACGTTAAATCACACATGACGTCGTCCTATAAACATTATAAGTCGCAATGCACTCGCCGTCGTGGTTAGCAAGTTACAACATCCTCTTTTTATGAATAACCAACGTGGGTAGAATATACACTGTTGATTATTATGTTGATGATGACATTGTTTAGATATACAACGTCACATTTTAACCTGTAACGGACGTTGTATGTCTTTAACACGTCCTGTCTTTTGTTGTAGTATATCTATACAAATTTTTTCGTAGATTTCAGTTTTATATATTAACCGTCGTGTATAGCTACCTTACATGGCGTTTTTTTAGAAATGTCGTCGATGTTTTCTTTCCCACTATAATAAGACGGCGGTTGTTTATAGATATGAGACGTATAAATAAGAATGAGACGTCGGTTTTTGGGAATTAATTTAAATTTTTATGAGTTATTTTTCATTTTATTTCATTTAACGACATAAATATCTTATACAAAAAAAAAAAAAAAACAAAAAAATATATTCATTTGATTTTTTTTATGAATGTTCAATTAATTACCAAAAATATGTTTATATACATTATCAATAAATTAAAATAAACCTAAGCATTTTTAAAAATAAATTATATCACTTATTGTTCAGTAATTGCTTGTTCACGAATTCTGCCATTCCAGCCTGACTTCATCAATATGTTCTTGTGTATACTCAACTGGTTCCTTTTTCTTGTCAAACTGCAAATAAAGAACAAAAACCGACGTATTATAAATATTAAAACGACGGTTTTGAAATAAAACGTTGTGGTATTAAAATAAAGAAATTATATCTTAAATTTTACCTTCTTCTCAAATGCTAGGCCTTGATCATGAATTATATCTCTCATGAAACGCATCACGTAATAGCCACACTCTACATTTGTTGGTTGTCTAGGAGTGCCTTGTAAATTTTTTCATATGGGTGATTTACATGATGATTGTTTACCTATGTGAGAGTTATACATTTTGATTGAACTGTTTCAAGAAAACAAAAAGTGTTAATGACAAAACTAAAATCAGCATAAAAATATTAACCGTCGTGGTAAATAAGTGAAGACGATGGTTTTGTAAAACAATGACATCGTATTTTATTTCAAAAGTCGGAAAATAAGAACCGTCGTTATGTATCATTCTAACGTCGGTGACGACGAAAAACGATGTATTTCAATTAAGATGTATTTTTATTTTCAACTTTCATTAAGATGTATTTTATTTCAAAAGTCGGAAAATAAGAACCGTCGTTATGTATCATTTAAATGAAAGTTGAACATAAAAAATTAAAACGTCCTAAAATGAAAAACACAAACGACGTGGTATTTCAATTAAGATGACGGTTTCAAGAAAATACTGACGTTGTAAATGATTTCAAACATCGGTTATAATATACCGTCGTTGTGTTTTCACTACAACGTCGGTATTCGAAAAAGTTGTCGTATCATTCAAATGCAAAAATAAAAATCTTAGATTTTCATAAATAAACTTACGTATTCAGTATATTTCTCATGTCCTCGTCAACGGAGCGGTTTGGCAATGAATCCATGTAATAGACAGTCTCCTTAGCTGGTCTCATAATTATTAACACCCAACGACCCCTACACAAAATGATCCATATAGATTAAATATACTACCAAAAAAAATATTACAAGGGACCAAGTATAGAAGTGGACTAACCCCTGGATTATAAGGCAACAAGTAAAATTGATCCCCATCTGCGTTTTTCAGGTGGTCTGAGAGATGTTTTGAACGTGAGATAACGTTCCAATTGAGTTTTACTGAGCAAGTTGGGATCAAAGTTGGGAATTAGTTGACTAAATTGTTTCAACAAAATTTCCCTCTCTGCTCTGACTGCCCTCCATAACCTTTCCTTTGCCCTGCCTCCATCTTTTTGGTTTCCTCTCTCATTGCCTCCATAACACTTTCCTTCAATTTGTCAGCAAACTTTCCTCCAACACCCTCTCACTCTCCCACCATGCCAGGGTTCCCAAAGCCAAGGTCCAAAACATCGTTGCTCCTAGAGACAATCAGAGTGCCCTCGGAGACTTGTTTTTTCAAATCATCCTAAAAGTGAGAGAGAGAATGTTAGTGAGTGATAGATAGTAAAATTGATTAAATAAATAATGAATAAAATATTAACTGTCGTGGTAAAGAGGTTAGATGAAGGTTTATTTAAAAGACAGACGCAGAAAATCATTTAATACGTCGGCCCAAAACTACTGTCGTTTTGTATACATTAAACTCAGTCCATGAAAAAACCGTCGTTTATTTGACATCAGAAATAAAGACACTTAACCAAAATATTCATTGATCCATAAATAGTGTACAAATAATTGCAGAGAAATAGGGAGGGAGAGAGAGTGTGTGTGTGCTTGTGATATGAAGAAAGTTCAAAATTTAATTTAAAAACCTAATATAGAAATAAAAAACTGTCATGTAATTCAATTTTGTCTTCTCTGTAACCTTTGGATCAGGGATGTTTCCCTGTTATCTTCTCTTGCCTTTTTCCATAGCAGAGATCGATCGATTTCTTCACCCATGGTTACTCGCATTTCTTCCTTCTCTGTGACTGCTCAAAATGCACAGCCTCAAAATCTGGGGATAACCTTGAAGCTACAAAGGCAGCCCATTGCGATTTCTCTATGAAGTTATAAAGTTGAGGGGGCTCTTTTAACTTCTTCTCATTTGTGAATGGACGGATAAACTGCCTAGTTAAGGTAGACTTAAAATCCTTCCATTTTTTGGCGGTAGAAGACAGCACCATCTTCTTGCCCCCTTCCCCAACAACATAAGCCATTTGAAGAGGGACTCTGGTGCATCCAAAACACCAATGTAACTCTACATCTCAATAGCAGCCTTGCCACTTTTATTGTACTCAACCACATGCTTAATCTTCTGGATTTTCCTCTTCACAACACGGCTCATTGTGTTGATACCCACGAGTCGATTTCGTCACTTCATCAAATGTCTTTTTTTTTTTTTTTTTTTTTTTTTTTTTTTTTTTTTTTTTTTTTTTTTTTTTTTTTTTTTTTTTTTTTTTTTTTTTTTTTTTTTTTTTTTTTTTTTTTTTTTTTTTTTTTTTTTTTTTTTTTTTTTTTTTTTTTTTTTTTTTTTTTTTTTTTTTTTTTTTTTTTTTTTTTTTTTTTTTTTTTTTTTTTTTTTTTTTTTTTTTTTTTTTTTTTTTTTTTTTTTTTTTTTTTTTTTTTTTTTTTTTTTTTTTTTTTTTTTTTTTTTTTTTTTTTTTTTTTTTTTTTTTTTTTTTTTTTTTTTTTTTTTTTTTTTTTTTTTTTTTTTTTTTTTTTTTTTTTTTTTTTTTTTTTTTTTTTTTTTTTTTTTTTTTTTTTTTTTTTTTTTTTTTTCTCTTTATGGAGGATTGAAAACTGAATATCTTGGGCTAGAAAACTATTCCCTAAAGCAAATGCAAATGAGAATATGCATACATTATCGTCTTAATCAAATGCAAGCAAATATGGGCATGGCCGAGGTTGTGGTCATGGTCATTACAGTTCCCAAAATCGAGGAAGTTATTCAAACAAGAAAAACACATCATACCACCAGCAGTGGAATAATAATGAAAGAAAAGAAAAGGAAAGTTTTCTCATCGCATTGCATTTTGATTATGGAATTGGGAAAATATGGAAGCACGATATAGGTCTCATAAATTGAAAGAACATTATACCAATTGAAATGACTAATTGACACCTTCCATTATGATAATTATTAAAAATAAGGTTATCTACTGTAGACGTCCTTGAACTTGGCCCCCCAGTTGCAATTGGGTCCGTGAACTTTTTTTTGTGCCAATTACATCCTTTAATTGGACACATAGTTGCAATTGGGTCCTACCGTCTAACTCTGTCAATTTATCCGTCAAAATAAGGGGTAAAAGCGTCCTTTTGAGTCTGAAGAAAAAAACTGAAAAAAGTGAAATTTTTTTTAATTAGAACAATAGGAGCACGCCAGTTGCAAGAAAGTGGTCACCACCAAGGGCTTACTCCAACTCATCCCTACCCCAAGGCCAAGCAAAGAGGAAAAATAAATAAATAAATAAAATAAAAGTAAAAATAAAAATCCCTTTCTTTCGCTCTGTCTCTCCCTCTCTTTTGCAACCTGTTGAGGCCCAAAAATCCAGGGTTGGGCCCAAATAAATTCTCGGCCCAACATAATGCCTTATTAAGAAAAATACTCGGTTTGGAGCATGCAAAATTCCTCATTCATGCTTGCACAAGCCACGACCACATGCCATGCCAAATAAATATGCAATCTCTCATGCTAAGAGTTGAAATAAGCACCAACTCTACGAGCCCATGCTAATGACCTCGTCAAGCATCATGCCTCTATTCAAGGACGATAAAATTAAAACACGCTGATTGACATGCCATGCTAAGCAAAAAATTATTATTTCACACCCAACCACGCGACAAGCTTAAGTGGGCCCAAGCCACGCAAATGTCCGGGGCTTGCTTGAGTGGGTTGTGGTATGGATGGTAACAAGCTTTCATGAGACCCATTGATGAGATAAAAAATGGAAGTTTTGGGCTGCTTGGGAGCCCCAAAACTCAAGCCCATTTCTTGAGCCCAAACACATGGGCTAGCATGAGAGAGAGAACATGACCCAATGCCTTAGAGAATACAGTAGTTTGCTTAGGAAACCCTATGTTAGTTAGAGCATCCAAATACTTTGTTAAAAATGCAACAAGCAAACTGCTTCCAGCAGCTTGACGAAAACCTGTCAAACGATAAAAGTAACAAGCTAAAGACCCAACACTGTACATACAAGCTCAGCCCAAAACCTTATGAAAAGCCTAGTGTCGTGCTCCATTCTGATTAGGACTCCAAGACAGTCAAACAAGGAGCCATGGTAGGAACCAACAGAAATCCGTGCGTGAATGACGAGTACCCATCGGACAAAGAACTCTCTCCATGTCTCCTTTCCTCTACAAGCTCCATCTTGAAAACCCATAAGGAAAGCAGGTGGCGCCTCCCCACTTATGGGAAGGTCTAGTTGCGTCAAACTCTTAGAACCACAAAGGGTTCCTTACCCATGCTCCTTGGATGGGAGAAATTCACCAAAGAAGATAAAGTGGAAATGAGCAATGAAAAAGGGGAGGAAAAGTTAAGACGAAATTAGGGTTCTCTGTGGCTATAAAAGAGAGCCTCAGCTACCCAGAAAACCAACCCATCCAAGGCCTGACCACGTTTTGTCAAGCAAACTGGAAATTTTACTCAAGCCACCCAATTCTCTTCTTCGTTCATTCTCTTCCCCCCTTAGGAAAGAAATTTGTCTAATCTTCCTCTGTTCCACTTTAACCCTTTGTTCACTGTAAGAAACTCACGCTTATCTCTCTATGTTCATGCTAAACTCATGATGGTTTTGCTCCCATGCCACAAGCTCCTCATGCTAAGCCATTAATCAATCTATCATGTTTATTTGGCTATTGGTGAAAAGAACCTGAGAGTGTTTTTCTAGAGTCGCATCAAGCTATTCAAAAACTCTTTTGGGAGCCTAGTCTCTGAACTCTGATACTTGGGGAATTTCTGTTCGTTTTCTTCTTACGGCAGCCCAAGCCCATTCGTCAGGTTGCTGGAACAAAAAGAACCCCACACAACCCATCCCCCCTCCTTATCCCACCCCCCTCAAAACCCAGATCCCAATCTCTATCTCTCTCTTTTGTGAAAATTAATTTGTTGAGAAATCAATCAATCAGAGAGAGAGAGCTTGACACATAAGCAAATCGGATCAAATCGTATCTTTCTTCTTCCTCGATGGACTCTGAGTTCTGGACCTCCCCCCTCGCCGCCACCAAACACCAGTACACGTTGCAGCACCATCACTAAAGCTCCCACTCTGGTTTGTACGCCCTCTTGCTCTATTTTTTTTTGGTTCATTTCTCATTTCATCTCTGTTCAATTATTGAATCTGATATATCATTTCTCCTTTTTCTTATTCTGTAAAAAAAAATTATTAGATCAGTTAGAGCATATCCAGCACAGGGCCTTTAGCCTTGGCAGGAGGCCCCTTTTGAAGGGTTTGGACCTCCAGCGCAACCAACAGCCCTGGCAAGGCTTGGGTCCCACCAGCCTGAGCAAGCCCAAGGGCAGATCTTGTCTGGGCTTCAACCCGAGGGCGCTGACGTCAGTGAGCAAAAAAAAATTGAAAAAAAATTGAAAAAAATTCAATTTTTTTTATAAAAAAATGCCAAAAAAATTATGGATGTTTTCCCTATAAATACATAACAATTTTATTCACTTTCCCTATAAATACATAACAAGTTTATATTTTGTTGCATTTTTTTTTCTTGCCCTTGCCCTAGCCTTTTGGGGTGGAACCACAAATGGCAAGGTTGCCACTATTCACGTGAATAGTGGCAACCCTTGCTTGCCCTTGCCCTTGCCATTGCCTTAGCCCTTATGGGTGGAGATGCTCTTAAGCATCGATGATTTCAAGGTTGAAGACAAGGGCTGACCTGACTTCCCATGCCCATATTGTTACGAGGACTTCGACATAGCGTCCTTGTGCTCACACCTCGAAGACGAGCACTCTTGCGAATCTAAAGTCACCATATGTGCTTATTTATCTATTTTTCTCTCTTTTTTTATTTTTTTATTTTTATAATTAATTTTTTGTGAAGGACGCTTTTGAGCTTCATGAGCCTACATCACACATTGCTTGATCTTTGGATTATATACCGCACTTCACAACAAGAGCTTTGGATTTTTTTAATCTAAAGGATTCGGTAGGACGCTTTTACCCCTCATTTTAATAGACAAATTGACAGAGATGGACAGTAGGACTCAATTGCAACGATTTGTCTAATTAAAGGATGTAATTGGCACAAAAAAAAGTTCACGAACCCAATTGCAACTGGGAGCCAAGTTCAGGGACGTCTACAGTAGATAATAAAAACTAGAAAGGTCCCCAGGAACCACAGAGGCAGAAGGGAAATAAAGAAACAAGGGGCAAAGCAAAAAAGAAAAAGAAAGACAAGGAGTGCCAATGCATTGGTGTTAAGGTTGTGAGTTTTAAAGGCGTAGTTGGGGGTTTGAAACCTCTTGTCTTCACCACTTAAATATTTTAAGGGTATTCTATTATATATTTATTAATTTAAAAATAAACATATAATTATCAAGCCGAGTTTGGGAATGAGGATATCAATACCATCTCCTACTCATATCTAACGAGGATTTTTAAACTTCGGGGATACCCATACCTGATCCCCATTTTGCCCCTAAATCGGGGATTTATGCCATCCCTACACAAGCTCATTCAATTAATGCATCTCTGCCTTTAAATATCTACATATTAAACTTATGTTATTTGAAGTTAAAATTTGAAACATTAACGCCATGTTAATAATACTAAAAAAAAAAAAAAAAAAAAAAAAATCAAAAAAATTAAATTGCAAGATTGTTGAATTTAATCACTATTAGTCAATTACACATTATGTTCCAACATTGTTACTTTTAGTAGTAGCAACGTCACCTTGTTTTTGTTCCTTCAATAGGAGTAAGGTCAAAATAGCTTGTATTAAATTTATGATCGACAATAAATTAGTGAAAAAATAAATATATTTTAGTTCATCGTCAATGAATAATAGGTAAAATTCAGTTATATGATATCGAACCCCTTTCCACATTACGGTGGACCTCCACCTCATCTTAAGTTAATGGCCGGTCAAACACAATCGAAATAGGTTCAATGTTTCAGTGGCATGCCATCGAATTTTCCTGTCACGTTCAGTATTGGTGTGCTACATGTAACTAGTGACCACCATGCAACCCTAAACTTGAATAACACCAAAAAATAAACTTATACCTTATTCGAAGCTTCCCTAACTTTAATATCACCCTTCATATTAGGTATGTTTTCACCAATATAAGCGTATAAACCTTGTTAGGGTTGTAAGAACATGATGGTTTGTGAAAAAAGTCTAACTATGCTTTCATGAATGTATGTGGGATGTAGTGAGCAAATTTAATTTTTATTTTAATGTTTTTGTCATTAACAATAATTACATACAAGGGTAAAATAGGTTGGGGTTCAAATAAAATCACGCGTTTCCGTACCTGTGAGAGGGTTTTTTTTTTATAAAAAAAATTTAAATTTATTTTAGAATAAAAAAAGATAATGGGTAGTTGTATTCCATAAAAAAGGGATCTATTCTATGATTTTTCTTTTAATTTTAATTTTTTTAAATATGAAAAAGTGTGAATTTACTATATTATCATCATTTAATTAATCATTTTAATTCTTACTATTTGCATTAACCAAGGGTATTTTTTAGTATTTTGAATGTTTCACAATTCTTTGCCTTTTGTTTTATATATATAGGTAGGTAGATATAGATATAGATATAGATAAAATGGAGCCGTTAGGCCATCTCCAGCCACGGGCTATATCCCAAATATAGCCCTAAAATAATGCAAAACCCATCTTCAGTCATGGGCTAAACAAAATTTTGGCCAAATTTGAAGGGCCACATTTGGCCCTTTAGCCCTCCAATCGGGCCACATTTAGCCCAACTTTGGCCTAGTCATAGGTCAAATTTTTTGTGGGCTCCATGCATGTGCTTTTCATTGTGATGTCAGCTGGATATATATATATATATATATTTAAAAGCCTTTTTAAAATGTTTTCAATTCGTAAAAAACTTATAAAAAATTATTGGTCATGACCATTAGATGTCAAACCATTGAAACCCATCCTTTAAAAAAAAATGTAGTCACCTTTTCAAATGTTTTAAGTGTTGTTTAAAAAAATTATAAAAAATTCTTGGTCATAGAATATTGTCTCTAAATAGTAGTTTAATTAAATTAAACAATACATAGTTGTGAAATGTATGTGTTGTACTATAGTTTTTCTCAAAATAATAAAATATAAAGGATCCTAAAATATAGCCATGGATGACTGGAGATGAAAAAATTTTGTCCTATACTATTCTTTAAAAAATTAATATTTTAGAGGACTAAATTTTTAACAGACTACTCCCATACCGGAGATAGCCTTATATCCAACCAACGGTTAATAATTGATGAAACAAGTCCGCACCACTCCGTAACTTTGGTCAGCAGCAGACTGCGAGTTCCCGCCACTTTTGCCCTTTCCTTCTCTCAGTAAAGACTGAAGAGTGAAGGCAGTTGTCTCAGAAGTGAAGATTGAAGATTGAAGATTGAAGATTGAAGATTGAAGATTGAAGAAGATGCTGTGGGTGGACAAGTACAGACCTAAAACCCTAGACCAGGCAATGGTCCACCAAGACATCGCACAAAACCTCAAGAAACTTGTAGAACCCAGACCCTCATGAATCTCCACTGGTTTCATTTCCCAATTTCTAGTTTTTATTTATAAATGAATTTTTGACATCTTGATCTCAAACAGGTCTCAGAGCAGGACTGCCCCCATTTGCTCTTTTATGGTCCTTCTGGTTCCGGCAAGAAAACCCTAATCATTGCCCTTCTTCGTCAGATTTTCGGACCCAGCGCCGATAAGGTCCCTTCTTTTGTAACTCACACTATTCATTTTGTTTTAAATTTCTCCCAGCCCAGTAACAATTATCAATTTATGCGTATTTTGGCCCTTACCCTTTGTTTGGCTACTGAGAACATGTCTGAAGAGAACAAAAGCTTCTTTTGTGACGGATTATGGATTTTGAGAAATTCTTGTGGTTGGCAGGTGAAGGTGGAAAACAGGGCATGGAAAGTTGATGTAAGCTTCACCCTCTTTTTAATTCATGTGATTGATCATTCATGCTGCTTCTGTGGGAAATATTGTTATTTTTCATTAATATTTAGGTGAAGCTACGTTGATTTATGTTTTATTGGATAATTACTGGTCATCTTTAGACTTTAGCAAATTCATTGAGCATGCTAAAGCATTACGTTGACAAATCATTACATACTTCAATGTAATTTGAATATTCTACTTAGATTCCACTCTCTGTTCATTTCAGAAAACATGTGTTGCTTATTATTATTACTCCTTGTTAGTTTTCCCAAAAAAAGAACAGAGTTTTGTACCTACTTTTTTATTTTCAAAAGAAAAATCGTCTCTTGTTTTTTCTCTTGATAGAATCTTTGAACTTTGTTTTCATCCACATAATTGCAGCTTTTGGAAATGATTAAGATGTTGATGTAGGATGTGGGAGAATTGAGAATTTAGGTAGGTTAGCAGAAGCGAAAACAATGGAAAACAGAAAATAGAACAAAAGGGATAGGTCTGGAATCACGCCAGGGGTTTGGCTTCACACCAAGTAGTTTCCAATCTCTGGAAAATAAGCTTTTCTTTATATCTCAACAACTCCATTTTAAAGAACTACATCGGGGGTATATATAGCAAACTAAAACCTAGAGACAATAGGATAAAAATCCCTTACTAAAACAGAAATCCTAATCCACCAAGGAACTAATTCAAATGAACTAGGAAACTTAAATCAAATCCTACTAAAAATCTAGAAACTAAAATCCTAGCGAAATCTGGAAAACTAGAGAATCTAGGAAACTAATAAATCAGGAAACTAACTAATGATGTCCGCGTCAGATGTCTTCCTTGATAAATGGCTTACACCCCCCCTTAGCTGAGTATAATGTATCAGGCGAAAATATTTATCTTTTCATGCTCGCTTAATTTCAAGATATTTTAGGTTTGTTGACTTTTAGTAACAATATTTATGTTTTATGATAGATCTGTATTTTGTTTTCTTGATATCATCCTTGTTGATTACATAGTACATGCATTTTTGAGCACCTTATAACTGGTATTTGGACTCCACTTTCTTATTTTATCCTTTAATTTTGTATTTCATTTTAACTAAAATGCTTCTGTGGTTTATTTTCAGGCTGGAAGTAGAACCATTGATTTAGAGCTGACTACATTATCGAGCACCAACCATATTGAACTGAACCCCAGTGATGCAGGGTTTCAGGACAGATATATTGTTCAAGAGATAATTAAAGAAATGGCTAAAAATAGACCCATTGACACAAAAGGGAAAAAAGGATATAAAGGTAGTTTTAAATAAGTTTACTTGCTGATCATTTATTAGTATTTCTTCTGTACATATACTTCAATGCATGCAGGTCGTATTTTTTTTATTTGGTTAAAATTTTCTCTTAGTTGAATGAATTACGTGTTTATATTATGGTTATTTATATGGTTTCTCATCATTTTCATGGTACTGTGAAACTGGCATTGTATTCTCTTCCTTTTCCTCCTCAGCTTGCACCAAGAATTAAATAAAATGGAAAGTAAAAACTGCAGTTGGATGAAAAAGTATTTGGGTGTCCAAATGTTTAAGAGTGTATACTGATACATTGTCCTGTTTGCAATATCAGTCTTAGTGCTGAATGAAGTTGACAAACTTTCAAGAGAAGCGCAACATTCTCTTCGAAGAACTATGGAGAAATATAGTGCCTATTGCAGGCTAATACTGTGCTGTAACAGCTCTTCAAAGGTTACTGAAGCAATCCGGTCTCGGTGTCTTAATGTGCGAATAAATGCACCGACAGAAGAACAGGTTGAATTTTCTGTCTTCCAACTTGTATAATTGCTTGTGTTATATAAAAGATTGTCAAGTATGTTGACTTCCACTGTTAATTCGTGCATCTTTAAATGAATTAATTTTTTCGAGTGCCAGATTATGAAAGTATTGGAGTTCGTTGGAAAGAAAGAAGGGCTGAAGCTTCCTTCTGGATTTGCTGCTCGTATAGCTGAAAAATCAAATAGGAGCTTAAGGAGAGCTATATTGTCATTAGAAACTTGCCATGTTCAACAGTTAAGTTCCATAGTTCTTATTGATCATCAGCTGCACCAAGCAGTTCTTTTTCTTCTTTTTCTTCTGTGCACCATGTAGACTTTGTGCATTCCTTATATCTAGTCTTTCTGTGTACTATTGATGTGGTTGTAGGTATCCCTTTACAAGTAACCAGGCAATACCCCCAATGGATTGGGAGGAATATGTTTCTGAAATTGCATCTGATGTAATGAAGGAGCAGAGCCCAAAAAGGTTTGGTTTTTCTACACTTTACAATATTGGCGTTTATTGCAATATTTTTGTCGTAGTTAGTTTGAAATTGTTGTTTTGTAGTTAATGATCAAATCCAACTCAATAAATTACAAAAAGATAAATGCGGGAATTCCACAGATTTATTTTACAGATTTGACGTGGTAGAATATAAGGGTGCCTTTCTAAGGGTAGGAGATTTTCCTTTTAATCAGTTTGATTAGTATTCTTATTTCAGGTCTATCTTCTAATGTTGGGTAGGGTAGTAGCTATGTCTTTAAAAGAGATATTTCTTCAGGTCATCACCTTGGGATAGTGTCAAAGTCTGGCTATCTTTATGGGCATCAGTTACTTTTGACTTTTGAGAGATTTCTTTTTATTCTTTTATGCTCGATTGGCTAGCTGTGGTCTAGTGATGTTTGTTGCTTGTTTCTTGTATTTGCTTTTCTGTTTCTTTTGTGGTGTCTTCAACCACTTTGATAGATTGAAAAGCCATTTTATTGATCTCATTGTAACCTGGTAGTACATATCCACTTCACAACGCAAATTGGGCTTGGTTTTGAATGTGCTTCGAGTGGTGTGGGTTTTCCATCATTACTTTGATATGGGGCAGCAAAAAGGCATTTACTCTTTGACGGTCTGTGATATTGGATCTTATGTGGATTGTTTTTCTGAAAAAATACCGATAGGTTTTGATGATAGGATGGAGGAAGTGGCTATAGTGTGGAAAAAGTAGTAAAATTAGCTTCTTTTTTGGGTGTCTTTATCAAAGAATTTAGGGCTAATCCTTTTGGTATAATTATTATGATGAGTTTCTTGTCCATCCGGAGACTATGTTTTTCCATTAAACTTTCTTTTTGTCCATCTTTCTGTACCACCTGGAGTACACTATGCTTATACTTCTGTGTTATCCATAACATAATTACTTTGCCACATGCCTTGACTTTGTGGTATCTTGATGTATGTGTTATCCATCCTCACCCTTTCTCTTCTTTTCAACGTGTTACTGATTGTTAATCTGCCATTAGATCTTTGTCAGTCTCAATGTCTCATCTTCAAGCAGACTAAGTAGATAGTTATGGCTTCTCTTTCTGGCTGTGAAGTAGAACATTGCAACGTCGCCAAATTTGACATTACTTCTGTATATATGCTTGTTGGATTAATCTCGTGAGACGTACTCATTCTGCCATCACTTGGTGTCGAACCTCCTATGATGTTTTATCTACAAATGTGAAACTGTTGTATATCTAGACAGTATGAAAGTGGGAGGTAAAAAAAAAGGAATATCTTAGAAGCAAAAAGATGGACAAGCCTTGTGAAATTCATGGCAGCATGCAGGGGTGCCATGTAGCATAAAATAGAATATGTATTTGCAGGATCATACTGTTCTCTTATCGAAGCGTCACCTTTTGTAACTTATGATTGAATTAATTGCATGAAAATATTGACCAGCAGGCCCTTGTTGACCATAATGCAATTATATTACGTGAAAGGATTTCACACATCCATATTGTTATTTTGTTGCATACAATTAGTGATGTCTAAAGTCTGAATTCTTTTCCTTTTATTTTCCTAACTATATTAACGATTATAGAAATAGGACAGATGATGCCTGACCTCTCATTTTTAATCTTATAGTATTTCTTAAAACTATCTTATCAGAGATTGTTCTATTTGCTTCAGGCTTTATCAGGTGCGGCAAAAGTTGTATGAGCTACTTCTTAATTGTATTCCTCCAGAGATCATCTTGAAGGTAGAGATTTCTTTCACTTTGTTGTTTTTTACAATTTTTTTACCACACCTATTTTCTTTAGGCTCTATCAAGTGCGGTAAAAGTTGTATGAGCTACTTCTTAAATGTATTCTTGCAGACATTGTGTTGAAGGTATGGATCTTTCTCTCTATTATTTTGTATGATTCTTTTCCCAATTGATTAGAAGCTTCCAATTGTTTCTCAGAGGCTTCTTTATGAGTTATTGAAGAAGTTGGATGCAGAGTTGAAGCACGAGGTCTGCCATTGGGCTGCATATTATGTAAGTATTTTGTTTATTTTGGACGAAAATGCATATTATGTAAGTATATAATCAAGTCTAGGTTAAAAGTCTTGATTCTGACAGTAGTTCTTTTCCACAATGTGGTTTTGATCATGCTTTATGTCTCTGAGCATCTATAACCCTTGTGAACTTGCAATCTCTTATGCTGTACAATTGGTGCCCATATACATGATTAAGAATCATTATCATACTGACCCAGCTACAAGTGAATCAAAGTGAGCAAGTCATTGATTTCGATTCACAATGTCCTAATAGTCATTTTCCTTCATCTTGAAAATATCCCCCATGTCCTAGTGATTTATATATACTAGTAGATGATGAAAAAAAGGCAGTACAGCTATTTGTTGTTAATTATATTATAGGGCAGTAGGGTTGGTGGAAGTAATCTGGTCATCAATTTCTGATGCAATGTAGGGTACTGGAGCTATGTCGTGTTGGGGTAATAATATTGATCCGCTCCTAGAAAAATGGAAAAGAAAAGATAAAAAACCAAGGATGATTCTTCACTTCCTGTTGGTGTTCCCGTACTTTACTTTCGATAAACAGAAGCACAATTGAACAATTTGATAAAGAGACTAAGGTTACTGAGTCGCATCAGAAATCTGGCAGTAGACAAATTTCATCACCTTTATCTTGTTAATGTGATGAACGCATTATGAGTAGCAGACTAGCAGGTTTTGTTGTCAGACGGAATATAAGCTTAGAAATAGTTTATTAAAGTCAGTATTTGATTACTGTAAATATTTTTACATAGGAGTTTCATTTCTCTATTTTACAGGAACATAGGATGCGTCTTGGGCAGAAAGCTATATTTCACCTTGAAGGTACTTTTATGTTTCTAGATGTTGGGTGAAATCATGATGAGGATGCGTCTTTAGTGTTGTTTTGTACTACTACTTTCCATAATGATGTTGTGTGCTCCCAACTTGGCGGTCTCATTTCATCTTAGATGCTATTTCATCTTGAAGCTGGAGTCTTCATATCCCCACTTATCAATCCTGTAAATGCTGGCCGTACATTTGATATGTTTGCACAACTAAGGCAAAAATACCCCTAGAAGTCAAATTCTAATATAGGCTAATAAAACACAATCATAAAGTAAAACATGTGCTCAAAATAGGTCCCAGCCAACACTTCCTTCAAGCTGTTGCAAAGATATCCACCAATGGAGTATTATTATTTCTTCACTTTTGGCTACTTCGACTTTTTGATTTGGGCTAGTTTGTGTGAAGTTTTTTTTCTGGTCATCATATTTATATAGTTTATGGAATTACAGCTTCCTCTTTGGCGTGTGCTCATAAATGATGCATTATAAGAAGTGGTCATGAGTCTCTAATGTTGTTTCTCACCGGTGATTTTTATTTTATTTTTCAGCTTTCGTGGCCAAGTTCATGAGCATTTATAAGGGTTTCCTCATTGCAGCATTTGGTTGAGCACCAGACTGGCATGATTTCCTTGAATCTAAAATGTTACTTTGAACATGATGGCAGTGAACTGTGTACATGTGTCACTATACATTACGGGAAGATTTTGTAATAGTCTCTTTTTCTCTTTCGTTGTTTTTCCTTTTCTATTTGAAAATTGGCTGTACCTCCCGAAGTTAAGATCTTTGCCTGGCTGTTTCTACAGAATTGGCTAAATACTACAGAAAAGTTAGCCAAGTTCATGGACATCCGATGTCTCCATTTGTAATCAAAGTGATGAACTCTTTAATCATCTCTGTTTGGAGTGACGTTTTGCCCAACAAATCTGTTCTCAACTTTCACCCTTCTTAAGCTAAATATTCCTGTAGGCATTAATATTGTTTATTAAGAGTCTACCTCACCTGATTGTGAAAAAACTGACTGTTTGCTGGCAAATATGGGTTCAAAGAAACTTGAATATTTATTTCCTCCATATTACATGATGTCAAATTGTCTTCTCCATACAAAACATTTTTTACTGGACTTTTGGAATCATCATAACTCCTTTACCTTAAAATCTAAGGGAGAAAAAGAAACCATCCCACCACCTTGTATAACATTAAATGAAAAATCCGTGATCCTCCATTTTGGAAACTTAATTTTCACAGCTCAGTTTTGAACTGCGGGAAAAGCTAGTGCGGGTTTAGAAATGTTTTTGGTCATGTTCGTGTTGCAGGATCGATGCCAATTGTTTTTTAATCTACTTCAGAGGTTGAAGCAATTGCTCTTAAATTTGGTCTGTAATGGGCCATTCATCTGAATCTATATCATTTATTAATAGATTGAAGATTATACACAAATACTTCTTCAGCTACTTCAAAATGGAAAAAGACCTCCCTAGCGTTTATTTTCTCTCTGGTTAATGATATTAATTTCTTGTGTACACAACCAGAATGTTTTCAAGAAGCAAATATAGTTGCGGATGTCTTGGCTAATTTAGGACATTCGGCCTCCAATACAACAATTAGTTCCTAATCTTCTCTTTCTCTGTTTCTAGTAGAGTCAAGTTTTGATATTTGGAATGTACGGATCTCAAGCACTCTTTGGTGAGTTGGACTGGATGAGACTTTTCAATTAAAATGGACATAGGTCCAGTCTGCTTAATTGTCAGAATTCTCGTTATAGTTTCTTTTCTGCTTTCAAGTTAAGCGCTCTTTATTGGCACGGCACTTCTGGATACAAATTGATGCCACTTTTAAAAGAAGTAAAAATTTACGTTAGATTTTCTCTTTAAAGAAAATTTCTTATTTCTTTTCAATACGACATTCGTTAATCCACGTTAGTATTAAGCTCGCATTCATGCAAGAATAAAATGAGCCCACCGAATAAGGGTCAATGGTATAATAATTTGTAACTTTAAGGTTGATCAGTGCCAATTTTAACAGATGGGAACCAAAGGGGACCCCCCCCCCAAAAAAAAAAAAAAAAAAAAAAAAAAAAAAAAAGAACATTGAACATGATGTCTGCAAAAGAGTTCCAACATATTTACCCAAAAATAAACAGTGTTTCAACATGTAAGTTCATAGGGCCAGTGGCAAAAGGCAGATCTTCCTAACAATTATAGATTACATATTGACATTGTAACCATTCTCCATGGGTAAATGAAATCTGATCAATCACCTCCCACCTGTCTCTTCCACGAGTCTTCCACAATCAATTCATCTACTCCCCAGTCCTCGTAACTGAAAATTTCACACCCCATTAACATTTTTCCTAAACAATCAAGTTACAAGTTACAAAGCCAAGACAAAAAAGTCATAGGCGAAAATAAAACCAGAACCTCACCTTCCATCGGGCAGGTAGCGGCGTATGGTGAAGGGTATCTTCCGCTCACGAAGCTCCTTCATAGCAATCTAAGCAATTCAAAATAATAGAGATTACATTCGTGTAGCATAAGGGAACAATATTTATTGTACAATTTAGGGAGCAATTGGAGTTCACTTATATACCATCTTTTCATTTGTACCTAAGAAATTACTAATATGGTTCAATATATAATAAAATAGATCAATCATCATGTAGTCCACGTGGCCACTGTTTGAAACAACTTAAGAGTAGAAAATGAATGAAAATTGTTTCCACCCAACACATGACTGTAACAACTAGAAACAACAAAGGAGATCCAACTAAGGGTACGCAATACCATCCTAATTCTGAGTGCCATGGCCATTGGCCTAACATGTCTTCTAAATCAATTTTCCAAAGCATGTGTCACATTCATCTTCTTTCCAATTAATGTAGTCATTAACATTATCTTTACTGCTCTGATGTTCTTCCTAGCTGTTAATCTAGATAACTAGCAGTCCTTACTTGATTATAGGCTCTATTACACTTAGAGAAACAATCTCATTTATAGTGACAGTGAGCCACACTTTAAAAAAAAAAGAGCTACTTCCTAGCCCCTCACCCCCTACAACCATCTATATATGACAGTGAGCAAACCATCTACCGATATATGAGCATCTGAACTAGAGAGGCCAGACACTCACTCCACGTCACAACTATATATACATAAGCAACTACATACACCAAATTCTTGACCCTCCAAGCATAGTAAAAGCATATGAACAAAAAGGCAAGATCAACTAACTCCATTGATCTGTTCACACTTCATAGGGAGAGAGGACACAACAAACAACAATTTATTAAACTGAAACATTAAAAGCATAAATTTGTTCTCATGATATATACTCACACAATTCCTTTACAGTCATGCTTCCATATTATCCATCATGTCCTCCTCTCCCAAAAATTAACCAAGAAACAAACCATCTCCTGACATTTATTCAACAAACTTATTACTCTTTAATTTCCTCTTCTTATTCCCAAACCATTAACCTTAAAAATCCATCCTATATGCAAGAAACCGACTTACAAACATTAATTAATTCAACATTGTTATTGCAGTGCTTAGTGTAACATTCATTGAATTGGGGAAAGATTACATCATGCACTTTCTTTGCGATTTTAGAAGCTCCTTTTAAAGAAAGATAAAAATTATTCAACATTGATATTCTCTGTACTACCAGAATCAGAATTTTATTTTTGCATTGCATGATTTCATGTTATCTGTGTACATCAACATCACACTATATTCAATTAGCTGCTATCAGGATAATACGCACTCACAACACAGCACTATTGGTCATAATGCCCTTATGCAACACACTTGCTATCAATTTTTTTATTTTTTTTTGTTTGTAGTGTCACTATCTAGACTGCCTTTACTGGACACCTTACTGGGAACCTCTATAATATAGGTGAGATAGTCAACAAGGTCATTAGTATTTGTGAAACATACAGCATTATTCACACTTCTGTTTTAAGATATAATCACTCCATAAGTTCTAGTCCTTCACTTTCACCTCTTATTCAAACTGTTCAAATGAGTATTTAAGAAAGCAATAATAAAAAATCTGATACGCAAGGACCTGATTTTGTAAGCAGCAAAATAACATGGTCAAATAGGGACTGAAGCTTGATAACTGACATTCTAGCATTTTCAAGGGAGGGGGAACTAAATTGCTAATGTATTTTACAAGGGATAAAATCATATACAGATAGCTTCGGGGGAATGTTACCTCAAGTGGGTCAGTCTCACCCTCCAATTCAACCATCACCGGGGCATTCATGCTGGTCAAAAAAATAAAATTTGTGATGGGTCAGAGCCAAAATTAATCATAAAATTCAAATTCAAATTTTAGACTGAAAAGGAAAGGTTTGGAATTTGAAATACCTAATCTGCAGTGCACGGGTACCCAAGATTCTAGCACGTTCATATTTGGTCATAAATTTTGAGGTTTTCCGAGGTCCTTCCGCCTGTGCTTGCTCCTCTTTGTCTTCAGCTTCAATGGCGTCTCCTGGAAGATCATCATTGTTAATATTCTCCACATCCTCCTCTGCACCTTCCTGTCCATTATTCCATTATTCTTCTTAAAAAACTCTCTTTCATATTAAGATACAGCGAACTAACAAAACAAAAAGAAAAGCTTACTTCAATTTCTGGCTCTGGTGGCTCATCTTCATATCTGCAATAGATAAAATAAAAGTGAGTCAAATTCATATACACAAAACACAGAAACAACCACAGTTTATAAAGAGAGGCAGAGAGAGAACCCCATATCCATGTCGTTGTAATCCTCGTCCGCCATTGTTAATGAGTGAACAAGTTCTGAGGGGTTGAGAACTTGAGAGAAAGAGAGAAAGAGCGCGCGCGCGAGAGAGAGAGAGAGTAATGTCTGAGGCAGGGGACTGGGTTTAGGGTTTGAAATAAGGTTTTGGATGATTCGACGAGGGGATGACCACCCTAATAAATAATAAGAATATGCCGCTTTTTTTTAAAGACCAAATTTGATTTTTCTTTTTAAAAAAGGAACGTGTTGTTGAAAACGGCGTCGTTTGCTACTTCTTTTTTACTTTTTTTCCTACTGCAACGCCATATTGGGCATCTTCTTCCCCAAAACACCGAATTTCCTGAAACCAAATTGAAGTCTGCTCCAGCGACCCAACCTCAATCTTTGTATCTCTTTTCTCTTTGGCGTTCCGAATAGCTCTAGCTCAGCTCAGCTCAGCCCAGCTCAGCTTCAATTGTAAGTAAGCTCGTTCCTTTATTTCATCTCTCTCTCTTGTTGTTGTTTTTTTTTTGTTTGTGTGTATTGCAGAAGTATACTTATATCTATTGTTTTGAATCCAGAAAAATAAGAACATTAATAGAATTTTCACTTGTTAGTTCTTATGTTTGTGCTCTCTGAAAACAAGACAATAATTGAGTAATGAAAATAGTTGGTGCAAATTGCAGTGCCCTTTTCAGTATTTGACACCCAAATAGATTGTTGTTCTTGCAATTCTTTATTTTGGTGCTGCAGGGATACAGGATTTAATACTGAAGTTTCCTGAAGGCCTCTCTGTGTCTTTAATTCCTGCCCAGAAAGGAAAATACCAAGTACCAAAACAAGACCCAAAATACCGGAGCATAGTCCTCACTTAGAATCTAATTCAGATTGGATGTGAAAGCACAAGTGGGTTTCTCAGTTTCTCAATCTGATTGCTTAATTATTAATAAGATTTTTCTTGTCATTCTTTACTGAATGATGACTCTACATTGTACAAAACGCAAACCCAAGTGGAGTGGAATAGGTTTCAAATCATTTTACACTTTGGCTGCACTGAGGATACTTTTGTTCTTTACCCTAAACATTAAAACAACCAAAAGAAATAGGTTCTCTACTCATAAATTTTGTGAGATCTGTCGGTGTGGATCTTAAAGAAGCGAAAGGAATGAAAATAAAATAAAAATACAAGATGCCTTCTTGCCATGCTGGGGTGAAAATAACTAACTCCAAATGTTCATATGGAAATGTAGGTGTGGGTGTGAATAAAGAGATAAAGAGATACCTGAAACAGGAAAACACAGAGTCATTGTTACGGATCCATCCCCCCAAGAAAATTGTCATACATCCATCAAGGTTAGTGTGGAGTTGAGGGATGAGAACATGTATCTATCAGGGAACCTAGAAACAGAAATTAAGTTAAGGTATAGTACGAACATTTGGCCTTTTCCACTGCTCTTTATTGTAGCAACTGACAAGCATACCAAGCTGATGAAGAAGCAGCTGAAAATAAGAGTGGAATAAAATGGCTAATGCTTTTGCATAGATCAAAAACTACAAAAGATTAGGGTAAAAAATAACTTTAATGTCAATAGATTATTGTTAATAGTTTGTCGTATTTATTATTCATTGTCTATGTTCCATTCCATATTCTTGGACAGGTTGAAACAAATAGAGCAAAATACACCCATGTGATTTAATGTAACTGAGGACAGATTTTGTTTTTGCTCGACATTTGGATTGTAATGGATACCAGCATGACTGAAAGGACATCTCCTGCCCAAGCCAAATGGAGAAAAGTGGCTTACGGAGGGATGCAACCGGGGTTCGATGACAATCACACTGATGAATCTTTTCTTGAAGAAATGGTCACCAATGCCAATGTGAGCAAAAGGGACATGCTAAAAGTGATGCAGGATTCAGTTTCCATCTCCCAATATCTGTGCATTGTAGCTCTCATTGGTTTGGTTTGGATCTACACCCTCAGATCAACTCTTAATGAAAATTCCCTTTTGCTTCTTGATGTCACCCTTCTTGGATTGGGTTTTATTATTCTCCTCCTCACTCAAGAAATGTTTTCCCTCAATCTTCTCTTCCATTACTTCCTCAATATTTCTTTCTTTACCACGGGCTTATATCTTCTGGCTCCCATTTATCAAACTCTTACAAGATCAATTAGCTCAGACTCCATCTGGGCAGTAACAGTTTCACTCCTTGTGCTTCATCTTTTCCTCCATGACTACTTTGGATCCACCATAAGAACCCTAGGGGCTGCAAACAATCCAACCCTGACAAGTTGCATCTCTTTAAATGCTTCTGTTGTGGCCTCAGTTTTTATTGCTTCACGCCTTCCATCAAGTCAGCTTGTGTTTGCCATGATGCTCTTCTCCTTGCAAGTTTTCCTTTTTGCTCCATTGGTTACTTACTGTATTAGGGAGTATTCCTTGCGTCTGCACCTTTGGTGTTCTTTTGGTCTGATGATTGCGACCTTGGCTTTGGTTTATACCCTGCACTTGTTTCTTTTTGTCGTGTTTTTAGGGTTGTTGGTTTTTGTAACTGTGGTCTGTCCATACTGGCTTATACGAATGCAAGAATACAAATTTGAGATAAATGGCCCTTGGGATGAGGCTAAGCTCTGTTTTGATATAGTAGATTGAGATTTTAATGGCCATTTGACTATTCGTTGTAATATTTGGAATGTCAATGAAGAAAATTCAATGTTGTATGAACTTTTATCTTCTGTATTTTAGTCACCAGCAATATGCAGCCTACCAGTTCATGATGGATGGATTTCATAATATTCATGTTCTTTTTTTCTTTCAGGGAGATTAAAGTTGGCATATCTTATGATTATGTTAGTAGGAAGAGGCAATACATTATCCTCACACGATAATTACACACTTTCTAGGACTCTATTTTCATAAGTAACAGCTGAAAATATTTACTTATTTGAAAATGAGCGGCTTTACCCTCAGCTTGTCAATCTTCTCTTCCATTACTTGTTTTGCCTGATGTTGAGGTTTGTCTCTGCATCTCATCTAATGTTGACCATCTGAACTAGAGAGGCCAGACACTCACTCCCTAATCCGCACGTCACAACTATATATGTATAAGCAACTGTATACATCAAATTCTTGACCCTCCAAGAATAGTAAACGCATATGAACAAAAAGGCAAGATCAACTATCTCCTTCATTGATCTGTTCACACTTCGTAGGGAGAGAGGACACAACAAACAACAATTTATTAAACTGAAACATTAAAAGCATAAATTTGTTCTCATGATATATACTCACACAATTCCTTTACAGTCATGCTTCCATATTATCCATCATGTCCTCTCCCAAAAATTAACCAAGAAACAAACCACCTCCTGAAATTTATTCAACAAACTTATTACTCTTTAATTTCCTCTTCTTATTCCCAAACCATTAACCTTAAAAATCCATCCTATATGCAAGAAACCGACTTACAAACATTAATTAATTCAACATTGTTATTGCAGTGCCTAATGTAACATTCATTGAATTGGGGAGAGATTACATCATGCACTTTCTTTGCAATTTTAGAAGCTCCTTTTAAAGAAAAATATTATTCAACATTGATATTCTCTGTAACTACCAGAATCAGATATATTTTTTTGTTTGTTTTTGCATTGCATGATTTCATGTTATCTGTTGTGTACATCAACATCAGGTGCGGACGCACATTGGGACAAGAGGGGTTGCACGACCCTTGGAATGCTGGAAAATTGGTTGTGGACTCCATGAACAACCCCTTTTGTGCGCACCAAATACTCGACGAAAATCCCAGCCCATTTGCTTGCTCTGCTGTGCTTTTTTTTTTTTTTTTTTTTTTTTCCCAAAACGACGCCGTTTTGAACCAGGTTTTAAAATTAAAACAAAAACAAAAAACAAAACAAAATATCAGCACCCGACTCTGCACAGCAGCTCCAAACCCTTTTCATTCCCAATTTCACATCTCTTCCCCACCCTCTCAAACCCTAACCTCCCAACCTCCAACAACCTCCATCACAACTCTTCGCCGGCGCCGACCACCACCACCTTGTGCGCCCGTCTGCTGCCCTTTTTTTCAACTACAACTTCAAGTAAGCAAAATTTATATTTATAAATTTATAGTGATAATATATGTTGTTGATAGTGATATTTTTTTTATGGAATGAAATTTATGGGTATGATAAATTGATAATGTAGATTGATTGAGTTTATGCTTTGTTGATAATGTGGATTGATTGAGTATCAGGATAATACGCACCCACAACACAGCACTATTGGTCATAATGCCCTTATGCAACACACTAGCTATCAATTTTCTTTATTTCTTTTTTGTTTGTAGTATCGCTATCTGGATTGCCTTTACTGGACACCTTGCTGGGAACCTCTATAATATAGGTGAGATAGTCAACAAGGTCATTAGTATTTGTGAAACATACAGCATTATTCACACTTTTATTTTAAGATATAATCACCCCATAAGCTCTAGTCCTCCTTCATTTTTACCTCTTATTCAAACTGTTCAAATGAGTATTTAAGAAAGCAATAATAAAAAATCTGATATGCAAGGTCCTGATTTTGTAAGCAGCAAAATAACATGGTCAAACGGGGGCTGGAGCTTGATAACTGACATTCTAGCATTTTCAAGGGAGGGGACCTAAATTGCTAATGTATTTACAAGGGATAAAATCATATACATATAGCTTCGGGGGAATGTTACCTCAAGTGGGTCAGTCTCACCCTCCAATTCAACCATCATCGGGGCATTCATGCTGGTCGAAAGATTAAAATTTGTGATGGGTCAGAGTCAAAATTAATCAACAAAATTCAAATTCAAATTTTAGACTGAAATGGAAAGGTTTGGAATCTGAACTACCTAATCTGCAGTGCACGGGTACCCAAGATTCTAGCGCGTTCATATTTGGTCATAAATTTTGAGGTTTTCCGAGGTCCTTCCACCTCTGCTTGCTCGCCTTTGTCTTCAGCTTCAATAGCGTCTCCTGGAAGATCATCATTGTTAATATTCTCCACATCCTCCTCTGCACCTTCCTGTCCATTATTCCATTATTCTTCTTCAAAAACTTTCTCTTTCATATTAAGATTCAACGAACTAACAAAACAAAAAGAAAAGCTCACTTCAATTTCTGGCTCTGGTGGCTCATCTTCATATCTGCATTAGATAAATTAAAAGGGAGTCAAATTCATATACACAAAACACAGAAACAACCACTGTTTAAAAAGGGAGGCAGAGAGAGAACCCCATATCAATGTCGTTGTAATCCTCATCCGCCATTGTTAATGAGTGAACAAGTTTTGAGGGGTTGAGAACTTGAGAGAGAGAGAGAGAGAGAGAGAGTAATGTCTCAGGCAGGGGACTGGGTTTAGAGTTTGAAATACGGTTTTGGATGATTCAATATGGGAATGACCACCCTAATAAATAATAAGAATAAGCCTCTTTTTTTCAAAGACCAAATCTGATTTTTCATTTTGAAAAAGGAAAGTGTTGCTAAAAACGGTGTCATTTGCTTTTTTAGGGTTGTTGGTTTTTGTAACTGTGGTCTGTCCATACTGGCTTATACGAATGCAAGAACACAAATTTGAGATAAATGGCCCTTGGGATGAGGCTAAGCTTTGTTTTGATATAATAGATTGAGATTTTAATGACCATTTGACTGTTTGTTGTAATATTTGGAATGTCAATGAAGAAAATTCAATGTTGTATGAACTTTTATCTTCTGTATTTTAGTTGCCAGCAATATGCAGCCTACCAGTTCATGATGGATGGATTTCATAATATTCATGTTCTTTTTTTCTTTTAGGGAGATTAAAGTTGGCATATCTTATGTTTATGTTAGTAGGAAGAGGCAATACATTATCCTCACACGATAATTACACACACTTTCTAGGACTCTATTTTGATAAGTAACAGCTGAAAATATGTACTTATTTGGAAATGAACGGCTTTACCCTCAGCTTGCCTACTTTTTAGAAAAATGCCCTCTTTTTTAAAATCTTGATTAAATGACCTCTATAAAAACTCCTTGTAGGCCACATGTCACTTTTTTTTGTGCCTTACTTGTTTTGTCTGATGTTGAGGTTTGTCTCTGCATCTTATCTAATGTTGAGGATGTACTTTTTTTGCATCAGACTTGTAAAAAATTTATTGACAAAAATTTCAGTATTAGAGTCATTATAGAGGCTAATAACTTATTTGAGTAATCTCCTGTTTGTGGATTTGTTCTTGCATTTGTTATTTGGATTTTCTGTAATGGCATATATGAACTTGTTATTTCTGGATTGATCATGCATTATGATTAGATGATAGTTAGCAAAGTGTTTATTGTTGTGGTGAGAAATTGACACAATGGTCTGTTTGTTGCATAGGATCAATGCATTTCTTTGTATAAATTTCATGTCATTTACCTAGGGTTTTTTTTCCTCTGTATGTTTGATTGTTGTGTTTTGATCAAAACATACAGAGTGGAATCACATTCTGTCATCTTTCATTTTTTTTTCAAATTTTTTTTCAAATTGTGCTTCACCTTCTGCGGTTCGTTTGGTGGAAGTGCTTGAGGTTATTTTTTCTATTTATTTATTTCAAATTCGTGCTTCATCCTGTAGGCTGGTAAAGTGCATGAGGTATTTCATTTAATTTTAATTTTAATTTGTGGTTTTCCATTGAGAAAACGAAATGTGAAGACACAAACACACACACAAGGCTACGTAGTTTGAGCTCAACCTCTGAGGGCTGTGTTTTTCCCTGGCAGGTTATTGGGTTTTAAAAAATTGTGCAATACTTTGTTCCTTCAAATTGTTTGAAGAAGTGAAGAAGTCCAAAAATGCATAATAATAAGGGAAGAAACAAGGGGAGACCCTCTACGAGACAAATGGATAGGAAAGACCAAAACATGGACACTGATAACCAAGAAATTGCCACCGAGATCCAAAAAATGGACATGAGGAACATTTCGAAACAGATTGAGCTTTTGGGTATGTATATTTGTCTCTTGTTTTTCACATTCACAATTCATCCAATTTCTTTTGTTTTTTTAATGGAAGGTTGTCAACCAAAAAACGCACCTGTAACCTTATTGGTAACTCTGTTTGTTTAACTATGCTCTTAATTTTGTGATTCCTGCTGATACAGTGATAATATTAAGTATATTGTGAAAACTGATAAAAAATTTTGAATTATTCTAAACTGATATTATTTTGCATCTTCCTTCTTATAAAATCAACCAGCATAATATGAGAAAATAGTTGTAATGAATAGTTTAAGGATGAATGAAACTAGGTTGGTCCTACATGACGCAGACATGCTAGTTTTTAAAGGATTGGCATATAGTGATTATATTGGTCAGTTTCAGGCTTGGATGACCTGAATTACTGTAGTGTCAAAAAGTACATTGCTCCAGTTTTAGATTCTCAGCAGTATCTTGAAATCAATTTCAAACTTCTTGATGAACTTATGTTCTCTGTGCTGTGATTATGGATATGTGTTAGAAGTGAATAGATTGTATTTCATGCTTATTTGAGATTCTCATTGAATCAGGAAATCAGCATTGACACCTAGCAGAGGGAAGTATATGTTTGCTTATATGGCAACAGTCTCTTAAGCATGTGAATATGGAGCTAGTTTCTTGCTTAATCAAGTTCTGTTGCATGTCCAGGACTGCATTCTTGCTTTGCAAGTCTCATGGCATTTGATGGAGGAAAAGGCAATTCACATATTGGAAAAAAAAAAACAAAAAAAAACTGTAATGACCTGAAAATGGCAGATATTATTTGTGGTGTTGCATATATGGATTAGTTTAATCAAACTACGAATCAAAAATTGACTAGACTCGAGATGCTCTAGTTGGAGAGTTAGAGTGCACCAAAGATGTTTCATAAGAGCTATTAATCAAGAGGTTATGGAACATGTCATACATGGTTAGATGCACTAGAATTCAAAAGGTTGGAGGGATCTTTCATGAGTTTGAACTTGATTGTCCTAAATATACATACAGTCCTGTCTAATTAGGGTTCATTAGCAACTGAATTTGGATTCTGAAATCCATGGGTCTCATTTGTATCAAGGTGTACGGAAGATTTGCAACCCTTGAGGTGCTATTGTTAAACTTGAGGCATGGTTATATTCTAGTAAATAGTTAGTTGAGAAAACTGCAATTGCGTCATTGTTCAGTTCAAAATGGATATAGTGTTAACAAAATTTAAAGCATGAGGGAAAACTCCTTTACCCTATGAATGATCAAGATTTATTTACAGCGTGAAGGGGTACTTTTACCAGTTCACCTGTTACCATGGAGGTTTTTTCTCGTAATTGTCTATACTAATTGTTGGTATATATTATTACTGGGAAGTGAAGAGGTATTTTTGTTTATATCTCTGTGAAACAATAGGATTGCTAAAGTTTTCCTTCTTGAGAGAATGTGTACATATCTGCAAAATCATATTTATATTTTGGAAGATTCTTAGGAAGAGGTCTTACAGTAGAAAAGCCATGATGTGATGAGTAAATATGTCTTAATCTATAATAACCTGCTACACCTTGCTTAATTAGGATGTGGGGAAATTGGATTCAACCATATTAGGTTGTGCGTGAGGCATTTCATGAGCTGGGAAATAAAGTTATACTTGATTACAGTTTGTGCCAAAACGCCCCATATATATTATACTTGATTACAGTTTGTGCCAAAACGCCCCATATATATATATAAGATAGGAAAGTCTTAATGAGATATCAATCTTCATGATTTGTGCATTGAACTTATTATGTAAGTAATATGATAGAACAACTTCATATGTTTGAATGTGTGCCTTTTCAGTTGTATTAAAGCTCGTTTAGTCTGCTTTTTCACTTCAAATTTTTGCATTGCAGGTTCTTCTCATATGACATGGAAGCAAAGGAAGGAGTTGGAGAATAGGAAAGTGATTTCTCTAGGTGGAAAGGTATGGACCTTTGCCCTTATCTTATTAAAAAGTAACATATTAAGCTGTGCACTGCTTTCTTTAGAGTTCTGGTTTGTTGTGGGAATGGGAAAAGGATTCACTTTTGGAAAGATAAATGAGCGGGAGAATTTCCATAGTGCCTATTATTTCCACACTTTACAAGCTTTGTTGTCATGTACCCGTAGCCGGTTTGATAATTACCTCCTTCAATTGAAAATCTCATACATGATACAATTGAATCCTCTAGCATCTTTTTCATGTAAATCCTATTCGGGCTAGTTTATTGATGACTCAACTCCTCCTAAATTCAACCCATCCACGATGATTTTAAAGGCTAAGGTACCTCATAAGGTATAAATACTAGCTTGGATAATTGACCATGGAAAAAGTTCATACCTGAAATTAATATTAGACTTTGAGTTCTAATGAGTTTAGAGATAGTCCATCATTTTAGCTTAATGTGGATTGGAGTGCTGGTGTAGCTTATAGCAGTTAGTTTTTAAGGTGTGTTGCCTGTTCTGATGATGGTTTTGTTCTGTTAATGTGGATGTGGTGGTTCCAATCACATTTTCAGTGGCTGGTGATTGGCTGTGACATACCGTTGTTTAGGTTATTACTTTAGTTCAATAAAACAGATGGTGCTAATATCAGTCTAAAGCACACAGCTCATTAACAGAAATAGGACATTGATTTCCTTCAGTTGTACACTGAGCTCCAAGTAGCACTGCTTCCTTTAACTGTGGTGGTGTATTTATTCATTTGCATGCTTTCCAGTTTCCAAAAATATTCATTTGCATGCATTCCAGAAATATTCATGTGTGCTTGCCCTTGAAACAGCCTCCAAAGAAGCAGAGACTTCCTCTAAGTATAGCAAGAGTGGTAATGAAGAATCAAAAGGAAAGGGAGAAAAAACTGCTGGAACAGGTGATTATTCTCTTCCATTGCCCTTGTTGAATGGGGAAGCATGGTCAACTTTTACTAACTCAATAATCAATCTGCATAGAATATGGTTCTTGGACGTTTTGGTGGCAATTTCAGTGGTGGTTCTAAAAGATCAATGGAGAGGCAAAGGCCTGAGCACAGGGTTCTGAAAGCTAGTGAAGGTCGCTTTAGAAATGGTGTACTTGATGTGAAGCATTTGTTACATGCAACTCCATCTAGAGACCGCAGCACTGGTGCCCATGTGTTCAGAGAGAACAAGAAGGGAAATGGAAAGCAGAACAAAGGTAAGAAGAAGATCGGTATGGGCCCTTGAATGCATGAAGATGGAAAATCATTTCGAACAAAAGAGCAGAAAGATTTTGCTTCTGTTTGTTCTCCTATTGGCATTTGAGCTCAAACAGTAGTGTGATCCATCCTACAACTACTTGTACTGACATTAGTAATTAGTGTGTAGTTAGAAAAATCTTTTCTTTCTGTGTTTTTCTTCCTTGCACTTAGAAATGTTTGCAATACTCGTCCCAGAATTTTGTTTTCTACCATTTAGGGCTAGACTAGCCAAATGCCTATATTTCATGTGCTAAGGCATAATATGGATATGTTACTTAACTTGGAGGAAGAATGGGAACTATCTTTGTAGCTTTCTAAAATTATTTTTATGAATAGTGTTAAAAATCCAACACTGCCTGCGCTGTGGGGGGGGCGGGAAGAGAGAATTTTTAGTAATTAAACTGGTTTTGACTTCGATTCTTTTTTAATGCAAACGATAGTCTAAACTATGAGGGTGAGAGGGTTTCTCATACACAAACACACTACCAAAATGCCATGGGAGTTCAACCTCAAGTGTAGAGTGGGGAATACATCCGCTAGCCAACTTGACTAAGCTCATGTATGCTACTTAAGAACAATGCATACGTTATGTATGAGAAGAATAAAATTCATCAACATATTATTCATTGTCTCTGGTCATTTTCAAATTGATAAAAATACATTATATCTAGTATTTCCAACCAATGGAGTGTTATTGTCAAAATCTAGATCTCTTCCTTTCAATCTTTCCAATGCATATTGTCCTCAGTTTTTCATGTCATGAAATCTCGTGTAACCTACTGAGGAAACGTGATCTGAAATAAATATGAATTTTAAAATAAAAAGCACCAAATATTGACATATAAAGATCTTCTGTTGTCCTCTTTCTTCCTTAATGTTTTGAGTATGGTTGCTTATGTAACTTTGGGACAATCTTCACAATTATTGAAATGGCAGATCATCTTTATTCCTCTGAAACCTTGAAAAATGTGTAGGACAAAATTATGTTGTTGATACCATCCATTCTTGGATCTGTTTCAAACTCAGGGTCGATATAAAAGAACACCTGCAAAAGAAAGATGTCCCTTAGTAGAATGATCTTCCTTCTAAAACAATTACTGATTCATACAACGCTACTTACAGGCATGTCAATCTGCTCCCCCGGAAGAAGGCGCTGCTCCTCGAAGCAAAAACACTGGATTTTATTGAAGTAAACTGCAGCCTGAAGATAAAAAGAAGAATTAATTATCACTTCCGGAAAATAGATATGAAACACTTCACTGGAAAAAGGAAATCAACAATTATCTCTAGTCAAGGATTCTAAAGTGGAATGCATAACTCATAGAAGCAGGGCTTTCAACGTACTATATTCATTATCTACAATACAAAACTTATAACTCTCTGGACAACTTACAGAAATCTGAGGTTATTTAAATATGCAATACCAAAATAGTAGGCATGACTTTTTAACCAATAAAGTGAACATATGTTTAGGCTACACGCTCCCTCAATCTCATAGATAGCAACTTTACCGCAAACTTATGACCAAGCTGATGGGTCAGTAATTCTTTACTCTCAAATATGGGGGTTTCTTGGAAATCAAACAAATCTAGGTCATATTCGTGCACACGTTAACAATCTTGTAAAACCCTAATTCTCATGGAAAGCAAATTTACCACAATCTCATATTTAAAAAAACCAGCTAATTTCTTCCTCAGGATTTCAGGAGCTGTATCTCTGACTAAAACTGACATAAACCCTCGCCTCGTCATAAGTGCTCTTGATTTCAGAGTTGTTTCTCATGATTAGTCATTTTCCCTGCCCAAATCTGTTTTCAAATCCAAGATATAGTTAGGCCTATGATCCGCTAAAAACACCAACAATTTGTCAAGGCATCTTTCAAATGTTGGGCTGGCATTGATTTCATATGCAGTGTTTCTATGTTATTCCTTCATTATCCTCAGACACTATATCTCAAGAAACCACACCGGTCCCAAAAGATCGGGATCATGTGGATGAGTTTGTGATGTCTTGATCACGAACTCGGTTTCGTACCTTTTTTTTTGGCAACATTATAAACTATGGTCGAAAGTAGAGAGCAATGAAAAATTTCACCACATTGTTTAGAGTTATCTCAATTAGTGTTGCTAAACATAGGACAAATCTCTAGCTCATCTCATAATCATATTCTCTTGACCGAACATTCCATTTTCTGTTACCACCAGTCTCTGGTTACAAGCTTATAAGCATTGTAATTTTTCAGGAATTAAATACTAGATGACAGCATAATGCAGCAACTTTACAGTTACCCTCCAATGACATCATGTTTCGACAACCTGACAACTACCCCCAAACGAAAGAATGCTTAGCCAAGCCTCAAATATAAACATTTACGAAGGCTGTGGCTGCACCTCCACTGACTATTCAAATACAGACAGGTAGAAACAAAACAAATTCTACAATTCAAATATTTTGAACTTTCAAAGGAAAAGGGAGGGAGGGAAGGGAACTAAGATGCAACTTGATGACCCAGTGGAGAAAGTACACTGTTCGGTTTTGAGAAAAATATAGATGATAAAGAGTGGAAAAACATATCCTTCGGGTTACTTGTGCTGAAGGTGACATCAACTTACCACTGGATAATTTATAGGTATATTGGATTATGAGAGAGAGAGAGAGAGAGATTAATATCTTCAAGAGCAACTCATCTGATACTAGCATCACTCCCTCAGAAACAACAAAAGACGAATCTAAATCCCTTTCATTTCTTTCAGTCAACATTGCTATTTTTATATCTTAATTTGCAAACATGAACCACCAAAAGAAGAAGCGCAAAGAGAATTAGAGTGGATAAATATTACAGTCTGCATAGAAACATATAAATAAAAATTTTAGAACACTAAACCTCCAAAGATAGTCAACATCTAAGTAAAATAAATCAGCAACTTAGTTACATGAGAGCTAGATAATCAATCGTTTATGGAACCAATTAAAATAACACACAGAAACATTGTTCATCTCAGAGTCAAGAAATCCCATTAGAACCCGCATAACAAGACACTAAAAATATCGAGCAGTACCTTCATAGGGGTAACATTATACGTAGAGACACCAACTATTGGAGTTGAGCTTCGATTTTCAGCAGTATAAAAAGCAAGTGCACTTTCTCCAGGTTTGACCCTTACCTTCCAGAAATAAAGCAAGAACGTTAGGTAAAGCATCAAAATTGTAGCAAGAACAATAATGCACATTACAAATAAATAAGGGTCAATTTCAGTTTAGTACCCTGAATGTTTACTCAAATGGTTCTCCTCCTCCCCTCATTCTACCCCCAGACTACAACCACCCTCACCAACACCACTCCAACCCCAATCCCACCTAAACGATAAAACCGACACAGCCACCAACCCCTCCTCATCCTCACCCCCACCATCCCACCCCAATCACAACCCCTCCTCCTCACCCTCTCTCCCCTGACCTCTTCCCCTACTCCCACCCCAGTATCTTCTCAGCACGTCCCACCCCAGGGTCTGACCCCCACCCTCCTTTCCACCACAACAAGAAGATTTGGCCACCTGCACGCCATCGACTAGATCAGAAAATTTGGATCTCACTCTGGTGTTTATTTTGAAAAAATTTTGTGAAAAAATGGGGGATGGTGGTGTTCTCATGATCCACTACCACACAGAAAATTTGGGATAAGCCTTTTGTTTTGGCTCAGGGAATTTGGGATCAGTGGAGGATGAACGTTTCAAATTTTTTATTCAGCAACCAAATCAAGGAATCATCCAGACAGAGAGGGTTGGGGTTTGAATTTGGCTGATGGTTATATGGGTTGTGGTTTGGGTAGGGTTGGGGTTGGAGTGATCACATGCCATTTGGGTGAAAGTTCAGAGTACTAAACTGAAATTGACCCAATAGATAAACATATTGTATGAGAAAAACCTCTCTTTGTGTAGGAATAAACTTCCATTGCATTCCATCAGCCACGTCTGCATTGAACTGAACCACAATCTCCCTGCAGGAGGATATCATATGGAAATATTAATACTCGGATCTTCCTTCAATCCAAGTCATAGAATAATACATATTGGAGAATAACATCTTGTCAGAAAGAAAAAAAAAACTAGTATAAGAATAAGGTTTTCATAAGATAGAAACAAAACAAAGGTTCACGTAAAAACTTTTGAAGTTGAGTGGAAGTAGCGTATAATTAGGACAGGGGTCATCACCTAGCAAAAATTCATTTATTAATATCTTAGGCTAGTGGTGGAGAGGAAAAATCAACAACAGAATAACAAATAACGATTTAATTAACTGTGCAAACATAAGAAGAAGACAAGCTACTATAGAAGCAGAAAGCAGACCTTGTAGTGACTGTGCCATCCTTAGCATGCCGAGCAATCTTCTGCTCAACACTCTACAGAAAGCAAAACCGCAATGCCTTAGTTGTAATCAATCAAATTGGGGAAAAAAACAAACAAACATTAAAGCCCAAATGAGATAATAGATTCAGACCTCACGACGTTGGACAGTGCCTCCATATCCAGTAGCTTGGCAGAATCTTCTGTAGAGAGGAACAGCTGCATAACTGCTTGCCACCATTGCAAACACCAAACCTGTAAGGTACAACAGCATCTTGCGTGATTTCTGCTGTGTGATAGCCTGAGCAGAATAGGGCCGCTGGATTCTCAACAAAGATTGAGAAGCAAATGGAGGAAGCTGACCGCACTTGTCAAATGAGCCTAGCTTGAAGCGCCAAATAGGACTACTGTGGCTAAAATGCCTCTGATATGCACTACTACTAGTACTGCAACCTCCAATGAAAGGTATGCATCTGAATCATCATTCATCAACAACAAACATTCAACTTTCATGCCAAAGGTAGATGGAATTCACCAAGTTTTCTGCTCTAACAAGATTTTGTATGAAAGCAACATGCCTGGATTCACATGTGATATGCTGTGGGTTCTTGAAGTAAGGCGAGAGGGGAAGGGCTCTTTTACAAACCCTTGACCATGACATGTTTGAAGAGTGCCAGATGTCACTTGATATTCACTACTGGCAGCATATCTGCAAACAAAGAGAAAGTAAACATTAAGAAAATCTTGTGTTCAATGGCATGTCCAAAGAGAAGGAAAACCATTAAATAGACAAAAGGATAATTTCAGGGCAATTTATTGGACTATGTTAGGAAGGAATGACAAAGAACTTCAGAAAACAAGTTTAAGGGTTTAAGCTAATTCATTGGCTCCTACTATTACAGTATACAGTTATTAGTAAAATCAATACCCTTACACAGAAAATTAAACAATATTAAACTCATCCTTTATCTCTCTCTGGATGTTTAATCATTTCTTGTAAACTTGTAACTGTGGCAACGCATGAGAGTTTGATAAAAGGTAATAAGTTCAATGGATCCTAACTCACACAGTCACAAACAAAGAAGTGAAACAAAAAGCAATCAGAAACAAACAGAGAAGTAAAAAAAAAGAAGCAAAACCAGAAGGTAATGAAGATAACAAACCAAATGGGACGCCTGTCTCAATCTCAGGCTCCTCCTCTTCACCTACCCTGTTGAGGTTGTCGATCGAAATGAAGAATTTTACCCAAAAAGAATCAAACCTAAACACAAAGTAAAATATTCTTAGTAATAAGATAGAAATATTGACACCTAAAATAAAACCCCCACAATCCAATTAGGCATCGGGGGAAAAATATATGAGCGAGAGAAAAACCCTAACAAATCCCAACCTAGAGAGAGTGCCCGTAAAGCTGAAACTTGATAAGGTCCTTGGACATCCGTCAAAACTCTGAAATGGTAAAAGATTGCCATGCCATTACTTTTCAAATGAAACTGTAACGTTCTTTGAGAACTGTATCTGAGGAGAAATTGAAAATGGAGGAGAAAGAATGGCCGGGAAACTGGTTGCTTCTAGCGGGGAAATGGAGAACTTCTACAGTGACTGCAACGTTCTGCAACCGCTCGAACAAAGCAACGCCGTGTTTTCTTTTGTTTTGGCTTACTGTTTTATCTGACAATTTTAACCCCAGGAATAATAGGGTAATTTTAATTGGAATAAGAAAAAATCACCAGAATGGCTAAGGGTATTAATGTAAAACTAAGAAGAAAAATAAACTGAATGACAACCTACCACGCTAAAAACTCTAGAGAGAGAAATCCATCTGTCGAACATTTGTATAGAATATATGTACTATTATAATGCCGGGCCAAATTACAATCCGAACACCATTATAGTTGTGTCATTATCTTGCTTCACAAATTACCTACTTTCAGTTGAACCCCTCCGTGAAGTTACCTGCTTTCAGTTGCAAACAATTGCCCTCTCTTTCATGGACGAAGCAGAAGCTCCAAGTCCTCCTCCGGTAGTCTCTCTCTCTCGTTATTACATAATTCGATCGAATTTTTATGAGAATCTGATCGTTTGAATTTTTGATAGTTTCTGGAGGTCAAATGTCAGAGTTCAGGCATGAAACGCCGCTTCGCGAGGGGGACAGACGCAGGTTTTGCAGTCTCACTGATAAACAAGAAATTGGGTTTGGGGGACCCACTTGCGGTGCATATTGAAGCCTTTAAAGAAGGAGAAGAGCCCATCAGTTTTGGACCCAGCTCGGCTCTCGTCGATTATGGCAATGGCTGGAGGTTACAGACCGTTTCCCAAGTGGATTCTCCTGGTAATTTGTTGTTTAATCATTGAAATCAAATTTAAAAATGGTTGAATTGTGAGTTGTAATGAATTTTGGGTTTTGTTCAAGTATAGGAATTGGAGGTGGACAAGGGGTTGGAAGGCCAATGGCAATGCCACTTCCTGGTGTAATGGTAAAGTTTTCTGTATGTTTTGTTTGTGTAAATTTAGCGGGTTGAGAATTTTGTTTTGAGATTTAAAGCATAGATGAGTTTGAACTGGACATTTGTTTGTAGTGGTTCCTAAAGGAAAATGTTTTCTTAATCAAAATTGAATGATGAATGGATTCAGTCGATTTATTATTATGATTAGTGAAGCCTGTGATACTTTATGGAATTTTCTAGTCAAGATAGATATTTCATAGGAAGAAAACATGGTACTAAAACCAAGATTAGATATATTCCTTAGACAGTTCCAGTGGGTCTTATTTGGAAGCTCAATTTCCAGGGCACATTAGGAAGGAAAAAATTAGAGTGGTCATAAGGAATGTCACAAGGAGTATAACGATAAATCGATATATCTCCACGAATTCAAGCTCAGTAGTGTCATCAAAGTTGCTTAGGAAACCTAAATAAATAATACTAGGAAGGAGATGCAGTGTGAAAATCCTTTTATGGAGCATTTATAACAGTAATGAACTGCTATTTGGTTGGTCTAAGAAAATGCTTGGAACTGTGATCGTGAACAAGCAAAAAATAGCAATAATAAAAATAAAGAAAAAGGAAGATTTAGAAGCATCTTAAAAGTTCATTAGTCACAGAGCAAAATTTAAATGCAAGAACTGAGTTCATACAGGAAATTCTTCTAGGAGCATCTTGTTTATGTTCCAGAAATCATCTATTGGAAGAAGGCTTTCAATAGTAAAAGCAGACTAGGTTAATAAAAACTGAGCTAGCCACTTTTCGGCGCAGTGTTCAAAAGTTATTGACGACATTAGTTGAAAATTGGGAAAGTGACTTATGCAGACAAAATATCCTGCAAAACATGTTCATAAACATGTTTTAACGGTTTTACCAACTGGTTTGTATAAACTTTAGGTTTCTAAATAACTGTTACCTTCCTGGATATGTAAGATAAGATTGCTATACTTGGAGGCTTCAATATGAATATAAATCACTAGGCTTGTGTTCACCAATACTTGAAAACCTTCACGGAGCTTCTCCAGTAGACTTCTTCACAACATGACTGGAGACACTATACTAACAACACAAGTTTGCAAATCTTTAAGTAAACACGCTCTTTTAGTGCAGAAGATACTTAAAGATAGTATTGCAATGTCTAATTAGCAAATTTAGTTCATTTTAGAAGTAGATTACATGACTTTTGACTTCAACACTGAGTCATTTTAGAGTTAGACCTGCTAGGCTGCTACAATCTAATAAATTATTATTTTTCACTGACTATTTTCAACTGCATCTCATGCATTAACACACAAACTTTATCAGACAAGTAGCTCATGTTCCTATGCTTTTTGCTTAGGCGATAAAAGCTCTAGTAAACTCATCTTACCTACAAATGGTTTTCTCACCAGGCCTCAAAGCCTCACTGAGTGCCTTTGACAACACTGATTAAGTTTTTGTTAAGTGATCATGATGCCATGAAATCTACTATTACATTTCTTCTCATGGAGAAAAACTTGATTGTGATGTTGATGAGTGAAAAATTGTGCTTGAAGGTTTTGGACATTATCTACTGGAAGATTTGAGTGGGGTTGCTAGACCCAGAAGTTTGTTTATGTAGTTTTGTTTTTGAGCTTCGGCTCCCTTAGAACCGTAAAAAAATAAAAAAATAAAAATGTGCTTGCACATTGGAATGAGTTGGTTTTGTTCTATATCTAATTATATTTTCTTTTTAACTTTTTGTTCCAAGAAAAGTAAATCTACAATGTAAAATGTTTTTAACAAGTATATCTGTTGATTTACAGTAATGTATTGCCTTTGAGTGGGTGAGATTGGCCTTCCCTAAGATTGAAATTTCTCTTTACCAATTGTTAAAATTTTTGCTCGTATTAATTTATATTTCTGTTTCTTTTTTTTCTTTTTTTTTGTAGCGTTCCGACAAGTTACATGTTGCAAAGAGGGTATCGAAACCAGAAATCAATTTTATGTACATTGGAAAAATAATATTAGCTTTCATTTTGATTTTTGTACTTGGTGCAATTTTCACGTTGGCTCTTGAGAACCTTCCTAGACTGATTTCTTTTTTCAGTTTATCTATGTAATTTATTTTGTTCTTTGAACACTGTAAAAGATAATTAATATATGTCAATGTCTTAAGTAAACGAAAAACAGAAAAGGAGAAATTCTTTCCAATCTGTATACTCTCCAACATAATGTATGATGTATCGTTTGTGTACTTATTGCATCAGTCTTTATGGCAACTGTTAATTATTTTTATTGGGTATAGTCATCTGTTAATTACACCTTCACATGATGTGGTCAAATAATGTAGTAAGAAAGCGCAAATGTCTAGCATTGCTCCATCAAAAAAAGAAACTTGAGCAACGTTAAAAATTTCTCCTAATCATCTTTATTATGAACTGTACTTGAAAAATCCAGGACCGATGCTCTCGGCTGAACGGTTGAGTTTCGACAGCATGTTACCAAACGTATGTGTTTGTTTCTGCAAGTAGTGAGGGAGCCAAAAAAATTCATAAACTTGAACTAAAATTTGTTACAGTTCTTGGAAGTCACACTTTGACAAAGTGTTCAGACTCCACGTACTGAATGTTTTAAAACCAGTTTCACCCAGAACCACCAAACAGGGAGCTGCGGAATTCTGAACCTTGACTTGTGTTCGGCAATTCTGTGCCGAATGTGTAGCATTGTGGCACAAACTTTTACAGTTAAATTCAGCCGTCAACATCAGCTATCAGCTGGCGCATAGTAAAACTTTTAAGAACGCAAAATGTATTTTGCAGCCGCAACAAGAGACTTCTACTAGAAGCAGTGGTGTCGCAACAGATAACGCTTTGGACAGCACAGATGCATTCATAACTAATGTGTTAGATTTCTATATAATGTCCATGATCTTTCACACAACTTGAAATACATAGAAGACATACCTAATGACATATTCCTTAAGTACACGATCTTTGAACTAATTCAATTGCAACAGCAGCAGCAACTCCAGCAAAAGACACAAACAACTCAAGACTTTTGCTCTATCTAAAAAACTGTTTCAGCTCTCTTAATGATGAGATTAGGTTAGAGAACATGTATGATGAGAGCAGGGTCTTAAGCTTATATAGGGATAGGTCAAGCCATCTCTACTCATCACCAAGGCCCGACTTGACTAACACTCTAAACCCATCAAGCAACAGTTCACGCAAAAGGAAATAAATAGGACCCTTTTAATTGGCTTCAAACTTTCCCTATTTCACAAGGTTTTAGGTCTCAAGGTATAACCTAATTTAAACTCTTATCAAACCTGATATAACTTAGTATCTAGTGCACCAATCTAAATAGGAATATAACATTCTCCTACTAGATCAAGCACTAGAGCACTAAGCTTCTGTATTGCAAAAGTTTGATAATCTTTATTGGCCATGAGTTTAAAGCAGTTAAGTTCTTCCCTTCAAGCTACAGTGAAAAGTGATTAGACAAAACGAACTATAGACAAACACTACTCTCCCTTATCAAAAACAAGTCATCTATAATCATATAATGCAATCTCAAAACACATGAAGCACCTACAAACGTGAACCTTAACATGTACTGATCCGTAATGTTATTAAAATAATAGTATCTCAAAGAGACCATAAACTCACATACATAAACAAAATGCATAATAAGTTTAAACACCTAAATAGTAAAAATGGTAGAAATTATTCAATAATCAAAACTATCAACCAAATTAACATCCTTAAATGCAAATTCCTCAATCCAAAAAACAGCAAAATTAGACATACTAGAAAACTATTAGAATGGGAAACAAGACTCCCACTAGATTGCAGCATCATAGCTAGGAAGTAATCCCATGCTCTCAACATGTCTCAGAAACTCTTCTGAAGGCATAAACTTTGTAAACGGATTTGCAGTCATATCTTTAGTTCTGATATGATCAAACCTGACTAGTTTATCTGCTACCTTTTCCCTTACTATTAAATTCTTTATGTCAATGTGCTGAAGTCCAGACGACATCTTGTTGTTCATGAAGTGAAAAGCAACCGCAGTGTTGTCATTGTATATTTGCACTAGTCTTGAAATCAAGTTCACCACCTTAATGTGTTTGATAAAATTCCTTAGCCATACTGCATGAGAACTGACTTCATAGCAAGCTATGTATTTTGAAAACATAGTTGAACTTGAAACACCAAATTGTTTAGCACTTTTCCAAGCAACAACTGCTCCTGCCATCTTGAAAAGAAAACCTGAAGCATAGATGTAATCATCCTCTGCTTTTCCAAGATTCGCATTAGCATAACCAACAAGCTCTAAATTCTCAATACATTTGTAAATCAACATGTAATCCTTTGGTCTCTGTAGATACCTTAGAATCTTCTTTCCAGCTATCCAATGTTGCATTCCCATATTTGACTGAAATCTCCCAATCTTGCTAATGCACAAGGCTAGGTCTGGCCTTGTACATACTTGTACGTACATAATGCTTCCAACTAGAGAAGCATACGTCTTGTTTCTCATCTCATCTTCTTCTTCCTTATTCTTAGGGCAATGCTCCTTCTTCAAATCTCCTATAGCTAACAGAACTTTCTGTCAAGAACACATACTCATGTCAAAATGCTTGAGTACCCTTTCAATGTATGTTTTTTGCAACAAGCCGAGTAGACCTCAAGTTGTGTGTCTCTGAATCTCAATGCCTAACACAAAAGCAACTTCTCCCAAATCCTTTATCTCAAAATTGTTTGAAAGTAGCTCTTTAGTGTCCTTTAATAAATTATGGTCATTTATAGCCAAAAGTATCTCATTGACATACAACACCAAAACAATAAATCAACTCCCACACTTCTTCAGATAAATGCATTGATTAGCAATGTTCTCTTCAAAATTGCAAGATGAGATAGTTTGATGGAATTGTAAATACCACCTCATGCATGCATGCTTGCTTCAATCCATAAATCGCATTGTCAAGTTTGCAAACTGTATGCTCTTTTCCCTCCTTTGCAAACCCTTCAAGTTGCCTCATGTAATTTGCTTCTTTAAATTCACCATTCAGGAAGGCAGTTTATCCATTTGATGTAAGAGCAAGTCATAATGCACCACTAATGCCATAATTATGTGGAAAGAATCTTTGGTGAAAACTATAGGAAACTTCTCAGTGTAGTCAATTCCCTTCCTTTGGGTGAATCCTTTTGCTACCAATCTAGCCTTAAATCTTTTGATTTTTCCATTCTTATCCTTTTTTGTTTTAAATACCTATTTCAAGCCTACCAATTTCTGGTTCTTATGAGGTTCAACTAATTCCCATACTTGATTATTCTTCATGCTTTCGAGTTCATTTAATATTGCTTCCCTCCATTTGTCTGCACTATGACTCTTTATAGCTTATTTAAAACTTGTTGGATCAGCTTCATCTCCAATGTCAAAATCTGCTTCCTGTAATACACATAATCTCAATTTGATGTAGATTTTCTTGGTCTATCATATCTCCTTGGTTGTACTGGTTCTGGTTGATAATCTGGCTTAGAATTTTGGTGGTTGATCAATTGGTTCTTCAAACTGAGGAGGTTTCAATACAGTATCACTTAAAGAAATTAAGGGTGTAACATCTTGTTCATCATTGTTGATCAAAGCTACACCACCTTCTTCTTCGAAAATAAAATCTTCATTCCGAGTGGCATTCTCCTCATGCTCTATGTGTGGGAGCAAATATTTTCGTCTCCAATCATAACATGCCAAGTGGAAAAGAAGAATATCCCTTAAATTAATTAATTGAACCAATTTATTTGGTCAATTAATTAATTGGGATAATATCTTAATTATAGGATATTATCTTTATTTAATAAGATAATATCATTAATTTAGATATTATCCTAATAAAGAGATACAATCATCATCAAATTAGGAGATTTCGATCCCAATCAAATCCCTAATGGACTCAATCTCTACGAATTTGGGTAAAGAATAAACTCTTTCCTAATAAGAATTTTATTCTCTACGAAACCCTAGCCTCTGAGGCTCCTATAAATAGATGGTTTCATTCATCACTCAAGGTACATCTAAACCTTCTTGGAAAACCCGAGAAAACTCTCTGTCTCTCTCTCCCTAGCCACCGCCGCCTCCGGCCACACATCTCTCCTCTCTCCATATATTACATACACGGCTCTGACGACCCGATTCTCACCCTAGAGAAATCTCTGTACCATTTTTAGCTATTGTTTCACCTAGATTCAATCGAACTAACTTAGCCATCAGAGAGCCTTTGGCCAACACCCTCCGGGTGTTGTCTATTTACTCTGGTCTTTTCTACAGAAATCGAGGAAGAGAGAGAAAGAAGATCGAAGGTTGAAGAATCACGAAGCGAATATTCTCCCGCGAGATTATTTGCACAAACACTATGAACTTTGTGTCACATCTCGGGATCTGCTCCGCCGTAGCACAATATTGTCCGCTTTAAGCCCTCATACCCTCACGGTTTTGTTTTTGGGAACTCACGAGTAACTTCCCAATGAGTCACCCATCCTAGGATTGCTCTAGCCTCAACTCGCTTAACTTCGGAGTTCCCATGACTCCGAAGCTAGTGAGCTCCCAAAAGGCCTCGTACTAGATGGATGTAGGCATGTACATATAAGACACATCACCCCCTCTCTGTTGGTCGATGTGGGATGTTACAATCCACCCCCCTTAGGGGCCTGACATCCTCGTCGACACACTCGCACCACACGACCGAGTATCTCTAATACCAAATTGTCACATCCCGGGATTGGCTCCGCCGTAGCATGATATTGTTCGCTTTGGGCCCTCCTCTCTGCCCTCACGGTTTTGTTTCTGGGAACTCATGAACAACTTCTCAGTGGGTCACCCATCCTGGGATTGCTCTAGCCCCAACTCGGTTAACTTCGGAGTTCCCATGACTCCGAAGCCAATGAGCTCTCAAAAGGCCTCGTACTAGATGGAGGTGAGCATGTACATATAAGGCACATCACCCCCTCTTCGTTGGTCGATGTGAGATGTTACACTTTGCACAGCCAATCTTAATAATTTGTGTACCATAATTTAGACAGTAAAATCTAAAACCCTTTGACCTTGTAGGATAACCAATAAAATGGCAGCTAATCATTTTAGGATCAAGCTTCTTCTCTGAAGAGTTGTAGATTCTAGCTTCATCCTTGTAACCCCATACATGAAGATGTGGCAGGCTAGGCTTTCTGGTAATCCAAATTTCGAATGGTGTCTTAGGCACGGACTTACTAGGCACTCTATTAAGTATATAGTTTGCTATTTGATTGCTGATGAGTCGATTTTATATTATATTTAGCTTTTTTTTTTTTTTTTTTTTTTTTTTTTTTTTTTTTTTTTTTTTTTTTTTTTTTTTTTTTTTTTTTTTTTTTTTTTTTTTTTTTTTTTTTTTTTTTTTTTTTTTTTTTTTTTTTTTTTTTTTTTTTTTTTTTTTTTTTTTTTTTTTTTTTTTTTTTTTTTTTTTTTTTTTTTTTTTTTTTTTTTTTTTTTTTTTTTTTTTTTTTTTTTTTTTTTTTTTTTTTTTTTTTTTTTTTTTTTTTTTTTTTTTTTTTTTTTTTTTTTTTTTTTTTTTTTTTTTTTTTTTTTTTTTTTTTTTTTTTTTTTTTTTTTTTTTTTTTTTTTTTTTTTTTTTTTTTTTTTTTTTTTTTTTTTTTTTTTTTTTTTTTTTTTTTTTTTTTTTTTTTTTTTTGGTGTTGTTAGGACCAATTTTTGGTATATTGGCAATTTCCTGTTACAAAAACATAGAGTAGGTCTTTGAGTGTAACCTACAGTTTTCAAGTGACATTCTGCTATCCTGGATCAGTGTGGCTCAAAGACAATGCCAAGGTATGTTTTGCATCCATGCATTCATATTTTCATATTTGCTTGATCATCAAAAGTGGTTGTAAGATGTACATGACTGATATATGATTTCAGTCTTATATAATCCAGTGCCAGACATCAATGAGTTTTTAACGATGGTTTTATATTCTTTAGCAAAAGGGCTCTTTTGTCTTTACGGCTGGGTTTTTAATTAAGTGGCTTTATTTGTTTTAAAGAAATAATTTATTTGTTAAAAAGCCCATTTTTGCTAAAAGCCTTTTTTGGTCTCTGACCTAGTTTTAAGCGTGTAATAAAAGAAAGGAACTTAGCCTTTTTGTTGGTGGTGTCTGCAACATTGAAAAAGAAGAAGAACGACAAAATATTTGCAGAGAGGTTTTTGAGAGTTCATATTGAAAACTCATGTGGCTGTTCCTTGTTAGCCTCCATGAGTGATTAAATAATCATCTTTTCATATATGTGTGAGTTCATGAGCATTATGCATGTTGGTGATCAACAATCGTCCCTTGAGGTGTGAGCAGCCGAGACTAGAGTTGTGCCATCTCTTGTTGACGAAGGAAGACAAGATCGCTGGTTGGGTTGAGTAGCAAAGGCGAGTAGGCAAGTCTGCCTTGTGAGCGTTAGTCTTGTGAGTTGAGACTTGTAAGACCTTTTTGTATTCTTTCTCATAGTGATTTGTTCTCCGGCATAGTGCCCGCAGTTGTTTTCCTCATCTTGAGGTTTTTTTACTGCGTCAACATATCGTGTGTCCCTTGTGCAATTGTTTGCGTTTTTATTTGAATTTATTCTGCTGCGTATTCTGGAATTTTTGCTTACAGGATTGTTACAGTATTTCAATCTTGTCGTGGTTTTTGAGTATTAAGAAACAGATCAGTTGGCCATTCTAGGGAATTTCAATTGGCATCAGAGCTGGTCACTAGACGTGCTTAGTGAGATCGTTGGGCTGTGCTAGAATGGATCGTGCATGTGGGTCTGTGACTCATCCTCCGTTTCTTGATGAGAATACTAACTATGGGGCTTGGAAAGCTAAGATGAAATCTTTTCTGTGGGCTCAAGGTACAAAGGTGTGGACAACTATTGAGAATGTTGGGAACCTCCAACAAAGGAAATTAAAGGGCGTGGAAAAGAGGTTGAAGGTGAAGGCCAGTCGACAACAAAGGTTGTAATTAAGCAAAATACAGAGTGGACTGATGAAGAAAACGATATGAGTGCCTACAATAAAAAAGGTCTTAACTCCATCTTCACTGCGGTATCAGCTGAAAAATTTGAGTTTATATGTCATTGCAAAACCTCAAAGGAGGCTTGGGATATTCTGGAAATTACTCATGAAGGAAATGCCACTGTCAGAGAATCCAAACTTCAACAACTGATGACTAAGTTTGAAAATATGAAGATGCTGGAAACTGAAATTTTTTTTTGAATTTTACGCTAGATTGAGTGTGGTGGTGAATGCTTGCAGCAACCTTGGTGATGCAATTCCTGAACACAGAATAGTGAAAAAGATTTTGAGATCTCTGCCTATGATGTATCACGCCAAGAAGACAGCGATTGAAGAGTGTAAGAATTTGAACACTTATAAACTTACTGAGTTAATTGGTTCTCTTACCACTTATGAGATGGAATTTCCAGAAATAAAGAAAAGCAAGGGCATTGCTCTAAATACAGTGAAAGAAGATGGGAGTGACAGTGTGTCAGAAGACAAAATGGATTATGCTTTGCTTACAAAACAATTTCGTAAGTTTTTGAAATCTAAGAATTCAAGGTCTGGTGAACAAAGAGGAAATTCAGGTTCAAGTACAAGAGGGAGTCGCCCTCGTGAGTTTACTTCTGACAAGTTATCACATACAACCAGAACTATGGAGAGAAAGGGCTCTAAAGATTCACTGAAGTGCTTTGAATGTGGTGGATATGGACACTTTGCCTCTGAATGCGCAAATAATTTGAGGAAGCAAAATAGTGGGAAAAATAAAGTAATGGCAGCAACTTGGAGTGATAGTGAGTCTGATAATGATTCAAATTCAGAAAATGAAGATCAAGTTGTTGCTTTCTCTGGGAGAATTCATGCGCAAAAGGATGAGAACTCTGATGTTGAAGAACCTGAGATAGAAGTGGTTATGAAGCAATTCAATAGTCTCTAGATTCCTTTGAAAAACTGAAGAAGAAAAATGCAGAGCTTGCTGATCAAGTGGCTTTTCTACAAGACGAACTAACCAGGACTGAAGCTGCCTTTCAATCCCAGTTGAAAACAGAAGAAAATCTGCGTGGGTCTTTGCTTGAAAAAATTCAGATGCTCCAAGACAAGTACCAGCTGCAGAAAGATATGAATGTTTCTCTTACTTTCGAAAGGGACCATGTTAGTGCTGAATTAAAATTAGCAACGGAAAAAATATTTGGTATGACCATTGGTGCAGAGAAGATTGACAGGATGTTAAGTCTGGGAAAAAGGGCTGGTGATACGAGAGGTTTGGGTTTTGAAAGTGAAAAGTCTAAGCAAGAGGTCAAAGCTGTGAAATTCATCAAAGAATTCTCTTCTACTGAAGCGAAGGTTAGCCCAAAGAAATTTATACCAATCTGTCATTTTTGTGGAGTTTTTGGTCATATACGGCCTAGATGCAATGTGCTTAGAAAGGAGAAGAGGTCAGCTTACTACTATTCTCCAAGAAATTTTAATCCATCTCAAAGAACCAAACTAGTGTGGAAAAAAAAGGAGGAAAAGTGCTTGGTGACTTTAATGGCCTTATCTGCTAGAAAATCTGATACATGGTATTTCGACAGTGGTTGTTCAAGACATATGTCTGGTGATAAATGTTGGTTTACAAATCTGAATACAGAGTGTGTGGAAGGCTCTGTGACATTTGGAGATGGAAGTAAAGGTAAAATTTTAGGGAAAGGAGATGTTGAGACACTTGGCTTACCATTCTTGAAAAATGTCATGTTGGTGGAAAATTTGCAGGCAAATTTGATAAGCATCAGTCAACTTTGTGATGATGGTAGCAGCGTGTGGTTTGATAAAGATCAATGTTATGTTGCTGATTTTCAAGGAAAGAAGGTTATGAGTGGCATGAGATCCAAAGATAATTGCTATTGTATTCAGGTGAATGAGAACAAAAGTCTTGTGTGCAATCGCGCTACTGATGACGTGATGGAACTGTGGCATAGAAGACTTGGTCATATCAACTTTCGTGATCTCTTGAAGCTGTCCAAGAATGAGTGTGTCAGAGGTCTGCCAAAGCTGAGTGGTAAGTCTGCAGGAGTGTGTGGTGCGTGCCAATTAGGTAAGCAAGTCAAGAGTGCTCACAAAAGCATATCCTACATATCAACATCCCAACCATTAGATTTGCTGCATATGGATTTAGTTGGTCCCATTCAGACTGAGAGCATAGGTGGAAAGAAGTATATGTTGGTGTTGGTGGATGACTTTACTCGGTTTACTTGGGTTGATTTTCTTCGTGAAAAATCTGATGCATTTAAGAGTTTTCGTGGCCTATGCAACAAAATTCAGATCGAGAAAAATGCTTCACATGTTACTGTCATGAGACTTCGAACAGACCATGGAACAGAGTTTGAAAATATAAGCTTTGCTGAATATTGTGAAGAGAAAGGAATAAAGCACGAATTTTCAGCACCTATTACACCTCAACATAATGGGGTGGTTGAGAGGAAGAATCGCACCTTGCTTGAAATGGGACGTGTGATCTTGACAAGTGCTAAGATAGCGAAGAAATTTTGGGCAGAAGCTATTAGCACAGCATGTTATACAGCAAATCGTGTATATCTTAGACCGGGCACAACTTCAACTCCTTATGAGCTTTGGAAAGGGAGAAAACCTAACATAAAGCACATGAGGGTTTTTGGGAGCGTCTGCTATATTTATAGAGATAGAGAAAACCTAGCAAAGTTTGATACAAGAAGTGATGCTGGCATCTTTTTGGGTTATTCTCTCACTAGCAGGGCTTATAGGGTGTTTAACAAGAGGACATGTACGGTAATGGAATCAATTAATGTTGTTGTCAATGATACTGATATGTCATTTGGTTCTTGTGCAGATGATGATGAGGATATTATTCCAGCAGCTCCTAGGCAAGAAGAAAAGGACAAGGTGGCTAACATTAATGATGAAGTGCATGCAGAAGAATATATGTTTTCACCTCCTCTTAGACCTGGTGCTCGGCAAGTCCAAAAGGACCACACACCATCTGATATTATTGGAGATTTAAATGATCAAAGAAAGACAAGAAGCCAAGTCGTTGCGGAGGTAACTCATCTGTGCTATGTTTCCAAATTGGAACCAAAAAATTCAAAAGAAGCACTTCTTGATTGTGATTGGATCATGGCTATGCAAGAGGAGTTAGACCAGTTCACTAGAAATGATGTGTGGTACTTGGTTCCACGTCCCAAGGACTTGAATGTGATAGGTACAAAATGGGTTTTCAGGAACAAAACTGATGAAAATGGTGTTATTACAAGAAATAAAGCAAGGTTGGTTGCACAGGGATATTCCCAGGTTGAAGGGTTGGATTTTGATGAAACTTTCGCTCCCGTGGCAAGGCTTGAATCAGTTAGATTGCTTTTAGCTATAGTTTGTCATATGAGGTTCAAACTACACCAGATGGATGTGAAAAGTGCGTTTCTAAATGGGGTTTTACAGGAGGAGGTATATGTAGAACAACCTGTAGGATTCAAAGATCCTTACAATCCTGATCATGTATATCGTCTTAGAAAAGCTCTCTATGGGCTGAAGCAAGCTCCTAGGGCTTGGTATGATCGGTTGTCATCCCATTTGCTGAATAAAGGGTATGTCAGAGGAGCTGTTGACAAAACTCTGTTTGTCAAAAAGACCAACAAGGACTTGATTGTTGCTCAGGTTTATGTCGACGATATTGTTTTTGGGTCTACATCTGAATTTCTTGTAAAAGAATTTACTGAAGTTATGAGCAGCGAATTTGAGATGAGTATGTGTGGGGAGCTGAGCTATTTCCTAGGCCTGCAAGTCAAGCAACAAGATCATGGTATCTTCATTTCTCAAACCAAGTATGCAAAAGACTTGGTAAAAAAGTTTGGTATGAGTTCTGCCAAACCAACAAGGAATCCCATGGCTACACACAACAAAATTGATGCTGACCCTTCTGGAAAATGTGTAGAACAAACACTTTACAGAAGCATGATTGGAAGCCTCTTATATTTAACAGCCAGTCGACCCGACATCTCATTCAGTGTTGGTGTGTGCGCTCGCTTTCAGGCAAATCCAAAGGAGTCTCACTTGAATGCAGTCAAGAGAATCATCAGATATGTAAGTGGTACTCCAACTTTAGGTGTATATTATTCATTTGACTCAAATTCTGAAATTGCAGGTTACACCGATGCCGATTGGGCTGGAAACGTTGATGATAGGAAGAGCACATCTGGAGGGTGCTTTTATGTAGGTAATAATCTTGTGTCTTGGCATAGCAAAAAGCAAGCTTGTGTTTCCTTGTCTACAGCCCGAAGCGGAATACATTGCTGCTGGAAGTTGTTGCACACAACTACTATGGATGAAGCAAATGATGAGTGATTACGGCATTCATCAAGGTACTTCAACTCTTTTTTGTGATAATCTGAGTGCAATAAATATTTCCAAAAATTCGGTTCAACACTCACGAACAAAACACATAGATATTAGGCATCATTTTATTCGTGAATTGGTTGAAGAAAAGGTGGTAAGTCTTGAGTTTGTTTGCACAGAAAAACAATTGGCTGATTTGTTTACAAAACCATTAGACACTGTTCGTTTTGAAGCTCTCAGGAAGTCTCTTGGTATTTGTTCCATTGAATGAACTCCCTCTAATTTTTTTTTTTTGCATTCACATTTCATTGTTGTATGCCCATGTCGATTAGTTTTCTTAGTTTCTGTTATTATTTTTTTTTCCTTCGGTTTTATTTTTTGTAGCCTTGTAGTATATCATTGCATTGCATTTTCAATCCCATTGTCATAAGCTTGTATTTCTTTGAACTAAGATTGGGTTTTCTAGTCTGAGTACGGGACTAACTGTGAGACACATGCTCTTAGTTGGGAAATATTTTTCTATGTTAGTCTCTGGCATTAATCCTTGCTTGGCATTTTCACAGCATTTCCTTGGTTCTTGCACACGCACACCAATATGAGCTATGAATGCCTTTGTTGCAAGATTTCACTTTAAACGACAATGATAGATATCTTTGGAGCTTGACTCAGGTTATCCCAAAGTAGCCGGACCTCTTACCTAACCAGTGTCGAGGGTCGCGTCGAATACGGGATGGCTTGGTCCATATTTATTTTCAAAAAAAAAAAAAAGAAAAAAAGAAAAAAAAAGTGTCACAACTTTGAAGCCTTTTGACTCGAGTTGCTAAGCCCATGGAGTATCCTTGATATACTTAGTGCCCTAAAGTCCTCTGGCTTGGGAGCATCTGGCCTAAGACTTGTTACAAGTCACTAGAAAGCTTAATAAAGTTGTGGACCGTGCTCCATAAAGAAAAAATATATATACAGCACAATTGTGAATCTGTTGAATCCCATTTGTATGCATTGTCATTCCTATCTCTCTATTGGTTCACTTTTCACACCAAGGACCCCTGTGCACTTTTGCTAGCCTTGATTATATGGTGTTGCCTGACATACAGAGATATTTCACAACACTTGATGTTGTGAGTTCTCATTGTTACTCTTCAATTTTGACTTGATATCTCCTTACAAGCTTTGCTTAGAAATCTCGTGTGTGACACTGGAAAAAAAAAAAAAAAAAAAAAAATTTCTTGTGTGCTTTCTTGCTCCTTCGTCATTACATGTATCTTTTGATACATTCATGGGAGATTTCATAATTTGGAACTTTTGCCTACATTGTTCTTTTTGGGAGTGGTTGTTTGATGTGCAAGTGGTTATTTCTTTGAGGGGGAGTTTGCCATTACCTATCCAAAAAACGGGGGAGTAAACATTCTGAGTTTTATTTTGACATATTGTCTTTTCAACCATACATGCTTTTCACTGGTTATTTTTTGGTTTAGTGGTGCAGAATTCAGGTTACCTTTTCTATTCCAAGTGGTTATGTTTGAGGAATTCTTTTCACTCACTTGTACTTGGTTTAGGGGGAGATTGTTAGGACCAATTTTTGTAACTAGAGTTTTTGTATAGGAAATGCCAAAGGGGGAGATTGTTAGGACCAATTTTTGGTATATTGGCAATTTCCTGTTACAAAAACATAGAGTAGGTCTTTGAGTGTAACCTACAGTTTTCAAGTGACATTCTGCTATCCTGGATCAGTGTGGCTCAGAGACAATGCCAAGGTATGTTTTGCATCCATGCATTCATATTTTCATATTTGCTTGATCATCAAAAGTGGTTGTAAGATGTACATGACTGATATATGATTTCAGTCTTATATAATCCAGTGCCAGACATCAATGAGTTTTTAACGATGGTTTTATATTCTTTAGCAAAAGGGCTCTTTTGTCTTTACGGCTGGGTTTTTAATTAAGTGGCTTTATTTGTTTTAAAGAAATAATTTATTTGTTAAAAAGCCCATTTTTGCTAAAAGCCTTTTTTGGTCTCTGACCTAGTTTTAAGCGTGTAATAAAAGAAAGGAACTTAGCCTTTTTGTTGGTGGGTCTGCAACATTGAAAAAGAAGAAGAACGACAAAATATTTGCAGAGAGGTTTTTGAGAGTTCATATTGAAAACTCATGTGGTTGTTCCTTGTTAGCCTCCATGAGTGATTAAATAATCATCTTTTCATATATGTGTGAGTTCATGAGCATTATGCATGTTGGTGATCAACAATCGTCCCTTGAGGTGTGAGCAGCCGAGACTAGAGTTGTGCCATCTCTTGTTGACGAAGGAAGACAAGATCGCTGGTTGGGTTGAGTAGCAAAGGCGAGTAGGCAAGTCTGCCTTGTGAGCGTTAGTCTTGTGAGTTGAGACTTGTAAGACCTTTTTGTATTCTTTCTCATAGTGATTTGTTCTCCGGCATAGTGCCCGCAGTTGTTTTCCTCATCTTGAGGTTTTTTACTGCGTCAACATATCGTGTGTCCCTTGTGCAATTGTTTGCGTTTTTATTTGAATTTATTCTGCTGCGTATTCTGGAATTTTTGCTTACAGGATTGTTACAGTATTTCAATCCTGTCGTGGTTTTTGAGTATTAAGAAACAGATCAGTTGGCCATTCTAGGGAATTTCAGAAAGCTTTTAGGCAACATGATTTGGGGCATTAAGCAGGATGGAATGAAGCAGCTAGCATAACAAAAAGACTCCTGTTGGCAGAATCTTCTTTTATTTTACTAGTGTCATTCCCTCTGCATTAATCCGTAGCTGACGTCTATCTGTAGTCGGAAAATATATATATGGCTAAGGAACCTGCAACTCACCGCTAATAGGTGTGGCGTGAAGGAATTGAAGGTGAAACCGAAGAGCCCTCACTGCTCTGGGATTCTCCTCCCTGCCATGCATCCTGAACTTTTTCAGCATACTGCAAGTTCCAAAGAACATCCTCAATAGAAGGTCTATCTGCTGGATCCTTACACAGACATCTCACACAAATTTCCATCAGCGTCTTTGAGGACTAATCCAAGCATGGCTGCCTAACTAGTGGATCTACCATGCTTCTTCGAGCTTCTTCATCAGCTGTAAGGGGCACTTGTAGCTGCACGGTGTTAATGAATGGGTGTGGTATAACCAAGGATTGAAATATCGGCCAATACACCGATATATCTGCCGATATATCGGTATTTTCAACTATCGACACCAATACTGGGGGGTAAGGCCATATTTTCCGCTGTATCGACGATATATTCCCCGATAAGTGCAATATTCCCGATATTTTGCCGATATCCTCGATATTTTCTGATACCCATAATAGAACCCAAAAAAAATTCAGAAGTTTTGAAGGTAATTGAAGTAAATTAAAACCCAAAAATTGCTAATCCTTGCCCATAACCTTATAATTTATTAATATGAATAATCTATGCACAGTCCACTGCCCACATACCTCCAATCCATTTGAAGAGGACATGGCGATCAATTTTGGATCTATGAGCATAGGAACTAGACCTACTACTAACTCAAATGAATCTTATTATGGCTATAGTTATGTCATGTCTGATTATAGTGGAACTAGTTATGGAGCTCAAGATGATGAAACAGATTATGGACCTACTAGTTGGGTTAATCCTAACTATCCTATATGGGAGGACCGTAAGGAGCTCGAGAGAGACTTATGCGCACCATGTTCTAACATGGCTTACAAACTGCTCGGGTTACATGACTTGGTATGACTATTGTATGAATCTGGATGGTTGTTCCCCATTGTTTGAACCTCATAGGAGCTCTTCATTTATGTAGGTGGATACTTGTCTAAATTGTAATCCAATGCTTAAACAAACTATGAATTTATGCATGGTTTATTCATTATAATCAAAATTTTATTTCCAAACTTTTTATTAATGCGCATTACATTCTATATTTCATCAATGTATATTTTATTATTAGTAAATTTTGAGTTTTATTTGTTCAATACATTAATTGATAATGTATATAACATCTATGAAAGTTTTATACCAAAATTGTGTTTAAATGCCTATATTTGTCCTTTTTGTTGATTTTTTTCCCGATACCTAAAACGATATCGATATATCCCTCGAAATATCTGTAAATTGGAGGCCTGATATTATATGCATGGCCGATATTTTAATCCTTGGGTATAACTTTCCCAAACCCGCCTAATTCATAGTGCAGGGCAGGAACATTTTCTGTTCTATAAATACACCAAATACCGATTTCTAGGAAAGGGAAAAATAACAATTATTTTCCAAACAAATTTGAATTCTCAGTTGTAATAAGTCTGAAACCAATCTCCTAAGCATAGAGGTTTAGATCTACCAAGAAGACCAAACCAAAACTCTGATGGTGCCTTTGCCGCCATTATGATTTTTTATTTTATTTTAAATATAATTGATGTTAGGAAGATCATATTGACAGTTGATAAGTAACCAAGCAGTTCTTTCCATCCTGAAGGCCTTGTAATGAAGTCTGATTCTAAGTTTAATCAAAGGACTGGTAAGACCATAGTGTAAGTAACTCAGGGGAAAGATGTCTAGTAGGGACGGTGATTGGTGTGAGGAGACTATGTTGGGGATTTTGAATCTTGATAGTAGGAGGTTCCTGGTTATTCTTATTACCTCATTGGTGGATTGGTTTGTTGAAAGTCTGTCTTACAATCCAAACGCACTGGTTGAAGGGATTGGTTAAGCTAGTGTTCAGTCGCGGTTGAAATTAGCCATGTATTAAGTCTTCCACGAAAGGTCAAAATACATAGTGGGGTGGTGTCATGAGCTTTGTGAGAACATTATATATATTTCTGTCCAAGGTTCGTATCAATATTGCTGCTAACGCTGCTAATATGTTAACTAAATTGGTTCCCTAAATGATGTTCAGCTCCATGTCATAGGATAGAGTAAATTTTAAAGTGATAAACGTCTAGAATTGTTGATTTCAGTGACAACAGAGTGGTTTTCTGTTAATAATACCACAATTATGTCCTCTTATGCCTTCCCAAATTAAGCTGTAGAGCTAGCAACAGGTAGTGGTTTTCTGTTATTCAACTAATATAAAATGCGTAACTGAAATCTCAATGAGCATAAGCCCCGAATTAGAAACCAAAATGTGCAAGAGGCTCTCCAAAACCCACAAATTTAGGATTAATCCCTCTCAACATGCACTGTGCCTTAACCAACTCTTGCATAGTGGACTATAAAATCAAAGCCTTCTATTCACCATTCTCCATTCTAATCAACATCACCCAATACGATACAAAAACTCGAAACCAAGAACCAGAAAAATAAACAATAAAAATGGCTGGAAAAAACACATGCTTGGGTGTCCATGCAGCTCTAACCGTGACATTAATTCTCCTCAATGCCATTATAGCCGTGGCAGATGATGATACACCGGTACCAGCCGACCAATCCCAAGTCAACACGTGGTTCAATAACAACGTGAATCCATACAAAGAACGGCAGGGCTCGCTTGACCCTGCCCTTGTAACAGCTGAGCTTGGTCAAACCGTCGTCAAGGTTATGAAAGATGGAAGTGGAGAATTCAAGACCATCACTGACGCCGTTAATAGCATTCCGGCCGAAAACACCAAACGTGTCATTGTGTACATTGGAGGGGGAGAGTACAATGAGAAAATCACAATTCCACGGAATAAACCGTTTCTTACATTTTATGGCTCTCCAACAAATATGCCAACTTTGATCTTTGGTGGCAATGCCCAAAAGTATGGAACTGTGGACAGTGCCACAGTGATTGCCGAATCCGACTACTTCGTGGCAGCTAACCTTATTATTAAGGTACGTAAATGTCTCACGTTTGCGGGAAATGATTCGTGTCACGTGATATTATCATCACACAAAATAATGTTTTTTTATTAACTTTCGTTAATATTTTGTTTCCTTATAATTTACGTTGATTTGTGGTTGTGTGAAGAACTCTTCGCCAAAGCCAGATGGGAAAAGAGTGGGAGAACAGGCATTGGCATTGAGGGTGTCGGGGAACAAGTCAGCCTTGTTCAATTGCAGGGTAATTGGTTTCCAGGACACACTTTGTGATGACAAGGGCAATCATTTTTTCAAGGACTGCTTTATTGAAGGCACTGTGGATTTCATCTTCGGAAGTGGAAAGTCTCTCTATTTGGTAATGCCACCCAAACTCTCCCTATAATTCCTAAATAAAAGGAAATCTTATAAAGGAACTTTTGTTAACTCTCCCTACATGTTTTACAAATCAAATCGCTAAATGCGAGTCTCTTCTTGTAATAGTAACTTTCACGTACATGTTGTGTGAGAAACGTTTTGTATACGACTAACTCTTCACCATAACTCAGTTGTTTGTTGTCTATGTATTATGTCATGGTTTTGATGGGTAGTTAATTCATGGGTGTGCAGAACACTGAGTTACATGTGCTGGGGAATAATGAAATGACAGTGATAACAGCACAAGCAAGGGACTCAGCTTCAGAGGATACTGGATACTCATTTGTCCACTGCAACATAACTGGGACTGGAAATGGCACGTATTTGGGCAGGGCTTGGAGGATCAGTCCCAGGGTGGTCTTTGCCTACACAGCATGTCTGAGGTCATCACCCCAGCCGGCTGGAACAACAAGAACCGCCCTGAACGTGACAGGTAAACAAATTAAAACACACTAATTAATTAAGCATTTCATATAATTGAATGGTTTTGAGAGTTAATTAATAGTTTCAATTTTTTTTGAATTTGTTGTTATATTCAGCACCGTGTTCTATGGAGAACACAAGTGTTCGGGTCCAGGTTCAAGTATGGTTGGGAGAGTAAAATACACCAAACAGCTGAACGAGGAACAAGTCAAACCTTTCCTCAACCTTGGCTATATTCAGGGTTCCAAATGGCTTCTCCCTCCTCCAAATCCAAAAGTGTAGATTTTCCTAAGACTAGGAGATAGTTTTCTTAACTTTGTACACATGTTTATATATGGGTGCTATTGAGAAAGCCACACACACGCATGCAAAATGCACAATGTATAAAATCAATATTATGCTTTAATTTCTAAAGATCTGCTGCTATACAATTTGAGCACAGTTTGTCAATTTGATTGGGAACAAAGATATGCGCAAAGGACTCACTAGTATAGTGGCTTGGACAATTTACTCCCTCATGCAAGGTTCTGGGTTTGAGTCCTAGTATCCGTGTAGTATGTGTGAGTTTAGTGCTATTGCCCCTCTCAATAGGAAAGGACCTCAAACAAAAAAAAACAAAAAAAGTGCGCTTAAGCCACAATTTGTAAAAATTAAAAATGGACCTCCTTCAATTTTCACATAAGAAATAATAAGTCATGCATTTTCAATGTATGGATCCGTTAAATAACTTCACCTTCTTGAAATTTGCTAAAGTAAAAACATATCAAAAATCGGTTCCAGTTTTGGACAAATCCCACTTTGTCCAGATTTAATAAATAAACAAGAACCAAAATTTATGATCTAGTCAAGCATTTAAATTTCACCTTAATCCACCATGTACAGTAAAATATGAATCACATGAGCAACGATTTAGGTTAAGGCTTGACTGGACTCCATCTAAACTTGCTTCATAACTCTGCCAGAATATATAGGTGCTAAGGTGGTTGATCTGACGGTTATGGTTCACAATTGGGAAAGGTTCAAGAGCTTATCTAACCCATGTAGCCTTCCTTGCAGCAAAGTGACCTAGATCCTAGAACTAGACTTTTAATTGCTTAACTTCTAAATTGTTTGTGAGGTGAAATACCTGTAGGCTGAGCTGGACCAAAGCACGATGTTAGTGGTCGAGCTAGGCCAGATCATGGTGTTAGTGGTCGAGCTGGGACAGAGAACGGTGTTAGTGGTCGAGCTGGGCCAGAGCACGGTGTTAGTTGTTGAGTTGGGCTAGACTACTGTTTTGGTGGTCAGGCTGGGCTCTAGCCTGGTCGCTATATATTTTTCCACCATGACCTATGTGGGCTTATGGACCAAGCGCATGAGGTTGATTTACGTAGTGTTCACTCAAAGGACCGACTTAGAAAGGGCCTTATCGTGTCATTGACATTGTACACCCTGGCACCTATTGACTAAGGGATCTCCGGGGAGCAAATTTGCCTCATCTTTGGAACGCGGAGCATATAAAGAACTATTACCAGTGATTTCATCATCATCTACATGCTATCATAGTTAAATCATCAGTTTGAGGTTTAGATTTTTTGTTATATTTATTTTCATTTGGTGTGGCTCATGAGAACTACCATGTTATGATAGTTCATGAGGTAGTTTTTTAGTTTTTCGACTTATTCAGCCAGCGTTCAAGCTCGCTTTTTGTTTGTTTTCAACTTTTTGGTAGTGAATACATTTTGGATTTCTTTTCCAACGTATTGTCTCTCTAAGCCTTAACAAGGGAACTCAAAGCGCCACATTCAAGTCACTAAGGAATCTAGCTCCATAGATTTGTCAAGCTCAGATGGACAAAAGGTCCGAGTTTCAATTGTTATCAAGCTCATGTGGACGAAAGGTCTGAGCTATATTCTTTATCGAGCTCATACGGACGAAAGGTCTAAGCTCAATTTTGGCCAAGCTCAGGTGGACAAAAGGTCCGAGCTATATTTTTATCAAGCTTTGATGCACGAAAGGTCCGAGCTATATTTTTTATCAAGCTCTGGAAGAAGAGTCCAAGCTATATCTTTTATCGAGCTCATATAGATGAAAGGTCTAATCTCAATTTCGGCCAAGCTCATATGGACGAAAAGTTTGAGCTATATTTTTTATCAAGCTCATATGGATGAAAAGACCGAGCTATATTCTTTATTGAGCTCATATGGACGAAAGGTCTAAGCTCAATTTTGGCCAAGCTTAGATGGATGAAAGGTCCAAGCTACATTTTTTATCAAGCTCCAAACAAAAAGTCCGTGCTATATTTTTATCAAGTTCATATAGACAAAAGGTCTAAGCTCAATTTCAGCCAGGCTCATACGGACGAAAAATTCGAACTATATTTTTTTATCAAGCTCATATGAACGAAAGGTCTGAGCTATATTCTTTATCGAGCTCATACAGACAAAAGGTCTAAGCTCAATTTTGGCCAAGCTCAGATGGACGAAGGTCCGAGCTACATTTTTTGTCAAGCTCTGGACGAAGAGTCTGAGCTATATTTTTATCAAGCTCATATAGACGAAAGGTCTAAGCTCAATTTCGGCCAAGCTCCTACATACGAAAAGTCCGAGCTATATTTTTTATCGAGCTCATACAGACGAAAGGTCTAAGCTCAATTTTAGCTAAGCTCAGATGGACGAAAGGTCCGAGCTATATTTTTTTTATCAAGCTTTGATGGGCGAAAAGCTCCGAGCTCATGCTGAGGTTGGCAAAGAGCCAACCTTAGCTCACCAAGCTCATGGTCAGGTTGGCAAAGAACCCACCTTGCCATGCCAAGCCCATGCCCAGGTTGGCAAGGAGCCGACCTCAACTCGCCAAGTTCATGGTCAGGTAGGCAAAGAGCCCACCTTGCCATACCAAGCTCATGGTCAGGTTGGCGAAGAACCCACCTCGTCATGCCAAGCTCAGGGCCAGGTTGGCGAAGAACCCAACTCGCCATACCAAGCTCATAGTGAGGTTGGCAAAGAACCTACCTCGCCATGTCAAGCTCATGGTTAGGTTGGCGAAGAACCCACCTCGCCATGCCAAGCTCATGGTCAGGTTGGCGAAAAACCAACCTCAACTTGCCAAGCTCCTGGTCAGGTTGGCTAAGAACCCACCTCGCCCTGCCAAGCTCATGGGCAGGTAGGCAAAAGCTTATGGTCAGGTTGGCAAGGAACCAACCTCAAATCGCCAAACTCATGGTCAGGTTGGCGAATAACCCACCTCACCATGCCAAGCTCATGGTCAGATTGGCAAGAAAACCAACCACAAATTGCCAAACTCAGCCTCAGGTGCTGAGCTTAGCCTTAGGTTGGCAAAGGTCCGACCTGGAGACTCGCCGACCTAAAGTGAGCTTCCGTCACTAATACCACCATGATACGTGGCATCTATACCATTACTCGATTTACACATCAGGTTATGTTTCTTCTATGCAGGACAAATTATTACTTTCTTCACTACTGCCCAAGTCCTTTTGCCATACTTTTTTATGGAGACTTGGGACCTCTTCATCATGCTGATATGTGACTTACCAAAAAAAGAAATGATGATACAATTTAATATTGTCAGCTCGGCCAAATTATCAAAATGCAACTCCCCACACAAAACTTTCTTGTCTGGGGACTTGGGGGGACTTCTGTTTGTGACGTAAAATACCTCTAGGCCAAGCTGGACCATAGCACGGTGTTAGTGGTCGAGTTAGGCTATACTACGATGTTAGTGGTAGGGCTGGGCTCGAGCCTGGTCGCTATATATTTTTCCATCATGACTTGTGGGCTTGCGGACCTATTAGTCCATGAGCTAGAGTCGGTGCGCATGAGGCTGATTTATGTAGTGTTCACTCAAAGGACTTCTAGTCCCAAAGAAGTTGGGATGTTTCGGGATCACCAAGACACTAATCTAAATGGAGTCCTAGTCCAAGGAGGGTTAGGTTGTTCTGGAGTCCTAGTTCGAAGAGAGCTGGTTTGCTCTTGAGTCCCACTCCGAGAAGGATTAGGTCATCTGGGATTATATAAAAGGCCATCCTCCGTGAAAGGTATGCCATTCTAAGCACTATAACCTATTGTGCAATTATACTCTCAAACACTTGACTGACTTAAGCATTGAAGGGGCCTTGGCCGGCACCACACCGGTGTCACCCATTGAGGCTATCTTGTTTTACAAGTTCTGGAGGACGACTTGGTTGGTCACGCTGACGTAGTCTGGAAGAATTGCTCGATCTTTATCTCGAAGAGGTCATCTTTTGTTGAATCAATTTTAGCATCAACACAAATGAACATATATTAATTTTTATGACATGCAGTGATCTCCTTGTACTGGCTGATCAGCCATCAAGGGCGAATGGAAATGTAAGGATTAACATAACAAGTTGGTTGGCGAGCTAGCTATAGGAAGGTAAAGGGTTTTGATTAATATTAGATACTTTATTAATTTTAGTAGTAGTGCATGTTAGTCTCGTGAAATAGTTGGCAAGCTCAATGTGCTAAGCCTTTCTTTCTTTGTTTCTTTGTTTGAGAGAGAGGGAGATAGAGAGGGAGAGAGAGAGAAAGAGAGAGAGACATTATGGTTGGTGAAGTTTGGGAAATATTGAGTGAGTGAGTGAATGAGTCTACTGCATGGAGTGTGTGGGGGACACGTGCAAAAGTTGTAGCTGTCTGCTGATCGACATAGATTTCAACTTATATGTAAACATTAATTAATTAATTAAGAATGAGGTGACAAGAGCCACCTTTATTTCTTTGGCCAACACTTCCAACTAATTCCTTATTGGTAAGTTTAGAAACATGTTGAGTTCTCTCCTAAAAGGATGAGAAACCCATACCCTACAGAGTGGTATTTGGCCTAAATTGCTATCATCTCTCTCTCTCTCTCTCCCTTGGTCCTCACATCTTCCACAAATTCGTGAGCTCGATCTTGCTACCAAAAATAGCAAGTCTGATTTTATTCGCCCATGAAGCCTTTCACAGATTAAAGCTGAACAAGAAAGGGAAAAAACCACCAATTGGGGATAAAGTTGGACATGAACAAGGTGTTTTATCGCATCAAGTTGGATTTCTTAGAAGGGGTCCTCAATTATGGGATGTCTCTCCTCAGTTAGCATTTTCGTGGTTTTGAACGGGAAGAATGGCTGCTTCTTCAAGCCTTCTAGGGGTCTTCGCCAAGGAGACCCGTTATCGGCCTACCTACTTTATCTTAGTGAACGGGAAGAATGGCCGCTTCTTTATCTTAGTTAATGATGCTCTCTCTCACCTCATATCTTTAGAGTGTGCTAGTGGCAGACTCAATGGCATCAGATTATGCAATGGCGGCCCCACTCTTTCTCACCTGCTATTCGCAGATGATACCCTTCTTTTCACCAAAGCCTCTCTTGAGAATTGCAGTAGATTGTCCCACATTTTGGATGCCTACTATGCAGCTTCTGGTGATATCTCTAATTTACACAAGTCTAATATGTTCTACAGTCCAAATACCTCAGGCCATATCAAAAGGGTGTGTGTTCAGTGCTAAATATTAAGGAGGTGGACAATCCGGGGAAGTATTTGGGTTTGCCATCGATCTGGAGCAGCTCAAAAAAGGAGGCCCTTGGTTATATAAAAGAGCATATTTTGAAGCTCATTCACGGGTGGAGCAACAAAGAGCTCTCTCTTGCGGGGAAGGAAGTGTTATTAAAGGCTGTCGCCACAGCGATCTCGGCTTACCCAATGACTTGTTTCCTATTACCAATTACTCTATGCAACGAGATCAATATGGTCATGGCTTCCTTTTGGTGGGGTGATAATGTCTCTGGAAGAAAGGTTCCTTGGAAGAAGTGGGCAAGTTTGGGAGAGGTGAAAAATTGTGGTGGACTTGGGTTTTGAGATCTGGTTTCGTTTAATAAGGCCTTATTGGCGAAACAATGTTGGAGAATTTTTAATAATCCTCAGGCCCTTCATAAGCCTATATTTTATATATATCTTATGCCTCATTTACTTATTTATTTGTTAATTACCTTTGATTAAATTGGTTGTTTTAATTGGTTTTGTGAGATTTGTGAAGGAATTGTGGAAATAGGAGAAAGTGTGCTAAAAAGGGCAAGAAGATGAAGATTGGAGTCTTATCAAGTCAAACAAGAAGAAATAAAGAAGACCCTATTTTAGAAGGAATCCTACTTTTATAACAATTGTAATTATACCTTAGATAGGATTTCTACGAGTCTTATAAATAGGAAGTTTAGGTCTTTGTTCAAGGGACCCATCATCCATCCATTATCCATCATCCTACATATTCATACTCATAGCCAAAATATCCAAAGGAGAATACAAAGAAAGCTTGTGCAACCTTGGCATTCTACTTGGAGAATTCGGTGTCTTCCATGTCTTCATCAACCATCATGATTCTCAATAAGTCTTTCATGAACTAATTTCTTTTACTAGGGCTACGATGTAGCCTAGCTATGAATACTCAAATTCTTTGATATTGTTAATTTTATTTATCTATACATGTTGAGTGCTTGTTACGTTCTTAATGCTTTCAATTAATTGGCCACTAATTGCATGATTTGGAGAATTAGGTTGAGACTGGAAGGAGATTCCTAGTAAATAGCTTCTTGTTAAGTACCATAAATTACATAGCCGACTCGGAAGACTAGGTTATGGTTTGTGTAATCTTTATTGTTTTCCACAAATCTTAATGGGTTCTTAGCTATTTAAATCCATAACTAAGAATAGAATGGGTTAATGGTAAGGAATACAACTAATATAAGTCGGAAGAGAGTATTGGTGAGGTTAGGGAAAATGATTATCAACATATTAGGTAATTAGAATTAACAAGATAGAAGGATTTGGGTGGGATTAGCTTGGTGAAATTGGTGCCCTAGTGCTTTATCATCTTTGTTTTCATATTTTACATTATTTACTTGATCTCAATTTACGTTACTTTTTTTAATTTGATTTTAATCATCATAATTCTCTTTTCGTTTAATTCAAATATAATTAGAAATAAATCACTCTAGTATTTAATAGAATACTTGATCCCTGTTGGAACGATACTCTACTTACTAATATATTAATTTGAGCGATATTGTCTACTTGCAATTAATCACATCAGCCCTCTGGGTCAGGATTCTCAAAAGTTTGTATTTCCTGAATTGTGATTTTCTTGAGGCTGAGAGGGGTGGCAAAGCCTCTTAGGCATCGAAAAGTTTACTTGAAGGAAGAGATGTTATTCTAAGTGGTGCTAGATGGCAAATTTTGGGAGGCAACTCTGTAAGGCTGTGGGAAGACTCATGGCTTCCACAATCTAATCATGGGTACCTTCATCCTATTGCTCCTGTGCCTTCCTCTGGCCCCAGGATGGTGGCAAATATAATAGATTGGGAGCACAAGACCTGGAATCTGGTGGACATTGAGAATCTGATTTATGTGGTTGAGACCAATGAGATCTTTTCCCTTCCATTTGGAGGTAAAGATACCCCTGACCGCTTGATTTGGCCTTTCACAAAAACTGGCTCGTATTTTGTCAGGTCGGGCTACCACTGGATCATTGGGAATATCAAGCGTGCTCAGCCAAATAAGATCGAATCCTCTCACCAGGTAGATAAGAAAGTCTGGAAATGTATTTGGGAGTGCAAAACTCTCCCAAAGATCAAATTATTCATGTGGTGTGCTGTCCATGGAATTGTTCCTACCTTTGCCAATTTGTTCAAAAGGAAGTTAAGTCCCTCCCCTCTCTGCCCTCTATGCCATGACTTTCCCGAATCTGTGGAACACGTTTTATTCTTAAGCCCGTGGGCTCGGAAAGTTTGGTATGCTAGTAGTTTGTCCTTCAGGCCCGATGATCAAGCTTTTTCTTTGTTGGATAGATGGATTTTGGCTATTATAGATGGATTTTGACTATTTCCTGTTGTTCTGTCTTCTTAAGCCTGGAGAAACAATGGATTTTATCTCATGCCTCCTTTGTATGTTGGAGCATTTGGAAAGCCTAGAGTTCCTTTACTTATGACCATCATTGTGTTGGCCTCCCCACTCCATACGTGGTGGCTGGATTGGCGAGCCGGGATACCTCTGAATTTCTTGCAACTTGCTTGCCTGAGAAAGGAGTGTCCTTCCCAAGTTCTAAGGGGTATGTGCCCAGACCAACTGCCCGTAATTGGTTGCCTCCCCTGTAGGCTACATTAAAGCAAATTGTGATGGTTTGTGAGATCATGTGTTAAAGGTTGCTTCATCTGGTGTTGTTCTTAGAAACCATGATGGAGAGGTGGTTGGTGGTAAGGCTAATTTGTTCCAGGCGTTGTCTGCTGACGTTGCTGAGGGTCAAGCTCTGTTGGATGGCCTGAGTTTGGCTAAGGACAATGGGTTTCTCAAGGTAATTATGGAAACGGAATTGAAGGTTTGCTTTTCTACGGCAAAGGATGTTCTATCTTGCGTTATGTGGCTCAGTTTCCTATTTTCCATGCTATCGAAGATCTGAGGGCTTCCTCTGAATACCAAGCAGCGGATTGGGTAGCTTCTCAAGTTAAGAGAGGGTTGTGCACTGAGGCAAGGGTCAAAAGACCTCCAACTGCCCAGGTTTTCATCTTGTCTTGCGATGGCCTGCCTTGCCTTCCGACTACGGCTGCTCGGTCCTGAGGCTGTGTCTAGCTGTTTTGCTTCTTGCCTGGCTCTAGTTTTATTTTGTGCTCCTTGTTTGCTTGTCGATTGACCTTTGTGGTCTCGGCTTGTTTTGTTTGGCTCTGCCATTTGTCTTTGTTTTATGAAATACCCAGTTACCAAAAATAATTATATAAAAAATAAATAAAAAGATTAATGTGACAAGATGTATATATAGACGGTCAAAACTAAAGTGATTCTTTACACTCCTTTTCTGTTGGATTTGGGGTTCAGTAACCTATAAAGTCATTGTTTACACTCGCTTAATATGAGCAATGTGAAGGATGTGCTCTACAACCATCAATTGTCTTTGTGTAGCTAGCTATGGCGTGGATTCTCAAGGATCACAAAGGAAAGGTTTTTTTTTTTTTTTTTTTTTTTTTTTTTTTTTTTTTTTTTTTTTTTTTTTTTTTTTTTTTTTTTTTTTTTTTTTTTTTTTTTTTTTTTTTTTTTTTTTTTTTTTTTTTTTTTTTTTTTTTTTTTTTTTTTTTTTTTTTTTTTTTTTTTTTTTTTTTTTTTTTTTTTTTTTTTTTTTTTTTTTTTTTTTTTTTTTTTTTTTTTTTTTTTTTTTTTTTTTTTTTTTTTTTTTTTTTTTTTTTTTTTTTTTTTTTTTTTTTTTTTTTTTTTTTTTTTTTTTTTTTTTTTTTTTTTTTTTTTTTTTTTTTTTTTTTTTTTTTTTTTTTTTTTTTTTTTTTTTTTTTTTTTTTTTTTTTTTTTTTTTTTTTTTTTTTTTTTTTTTTTTTTTTCCCCCTCGTAAGTGCTTACTCAAGGGAAGCGCTTTACCTCTTGGGTTCTTAATGAAAAATTTTTTCTTCAACAATAAGGTACCATGTAAAACTGCTACTAGGTAAAAACCATTCCTCCAGAACCACTCCCCAACCAGCCAAGTATCTTCTGTTCAAATGATACATTTTGTCCTTGTTTTAGATGGCTGTGGGCCAGTTTGAAAGTGCTTTTAAAATGGCCAAAAGCACTTGGGGAAAAAGTTGGGAGTGCTTTTGGGTTATAAAAGTACTTGCAAGTGTTTTCTGGAGAACCGCCTAAATCTGCTTCTTCAGGAAGCACTTCCAAGCGCTCTTCCAGGAAGCCTTGAATTCTATGTGCTTCTAATAAAAGCACTTCCAACAAAAAGTGAAGCAAATCTGCTTTCTAGATGAAATTAGGGATCGTTTGTTACACTTATTTTGGGTCTAACCAGCCACAAAAGATTGAGTTTAGTTATTGGATTCTGGAAATATTGTATCTTGTTATCTCATACTCTGTGCTGTCATTAGAAGGTGAAATGTTGAGTTTAGTTTATTGGATTCTGGAAATGTTATCTCATATTGTATCTTGTGTTTTTGTTATTTTGTTAAAAATTCAGCGGAAATGTTGAAGTGCTCACCTCCTCCTTCAAGAACGCTTTCTAAGTATGCGCCACGATTCACATAATGAGGTTTGTTGATTAACTGTAGATGAATATTGCATGACTAGCTATACAACTGATGATCTGAAGTATGTAATGTACTTCTTTCTTACGACCCTGATATTGTGATAGGTTAAACCTGAGAAAGTAAAACTTGATCATTGGTAGTGGTGGGAAGAAGGTGAAGAGTATTATAGAAGAGACTGGAGTAGATGCAATTGACACGCAAGAAGACGGGATAGTAAGACCAGACTAGACCCCATCTGCGACCATATATTTCATTTAATAATTTCACCCTAAATAACTTTTTTCTGGCTATTGCAGGTGAAAATTACTGCCAGGGATTTGGCTAGTATAGAAAAGTCTAAAGCTATATTACTAATTTGACAATGGTTCCAACAATTGGTGATATTACAGGTAGCCTTTTTTTTCTATAGGAAATAACTTTTTTTTTTGATCAATGTGCAATAGCTTGTTTTTGTTTCTGCTCAAATGTATCGTGACTGTACAATTTTCAAAAGATACAGTTATTGTCCTTATAATTCAAAGTATAAATATCATAACTATTACCTTTCTCAAATTTAAAATAATCGAACTTCATTCTGCATGTTGCTTGTACAAATAATATATATTCGTGGAGAACATTCCTTGATTTCTATCAAATAAGTTTTCAAGAGCAATGATGATATATAAATTTAGAGAAAAATTGAATTAATGTATCAAAGAGTCAAATGTATCTATCAAAATGAATTCTGTTGGATAAGGATACTGTGGCTCTTAGATTCATCGTCTTGATTTGAAGAGATGAGTTGTATTGCTGTCCATTCTGCTGTTGTATAATGCGCTATTTTGTGGGAAGTTTGATTTTTTCGGTGGAAAGAAAAGGGGTGTTGTTCTGGGGAGATGCGTTATGATGGCAGTTTTCTGGGTTTTATGGGTTTGGTATTTGAAAATGTGTTGGGTGAGGAGTTGCAGTGCATATGGGATAGGGTGCATTTTTGCGATTCTTTGTGGGATCGGTAGCTTTGGAGTTGAGAAATCCTTGTTGACTAATTTTGTACCGCTTTACTTTCATTTTCAAAATATAATTCTGTTTCTTATTGGGGGGAAAAAAAGAAGATAAATTGTATTGCATTATGACACTGTATCTATGTCACAGGTATGTTAGTGGTTTTTCTATTATTTATAATCATTTTACATTCACAGTTTATGTAAAACTGGCACGTAATATAGTAATTATTATATTTAAAAGGAGAGAGATCTCTTATAAAGTAAATTAAGTTATTGAACTTATTGTAATAGTCTTATGGACGAATGACCCGAATCGAAAACTCCCTTCTTTGTAATTGGATTTTATATATTTTTTTCATTTCTTTTCCGAGGCTAGTCAAAGATTATGTGTTGGACTTACTGTGCTTTTGACATTAATATGTAAATAGGACAATGCATTAGGAATTCCAAGCACTCTATATTCATTAGGGTATCGGAGAACAGGATGTCTTTTTATATACCTTCATATACCTTCTTCTTGGTTAATTATGCATTAGATCAGTAACTAATTATTTGACTTTCTGGTTTTAATGTACCAGGAACTGCGAGATCAAATCAATAGCTCCATATGGAGTATTTGTGGAAATAGCACCTGGGCGAGAGGTATAATGCATTGCATTGTTAACAACCAATTTATTAGTTCTTTTACCTTTTTGAGCATTATAAAACCTTGTGTTAAGTATAGGTAGGCCCATTTTATAAAGAAATGGGGTTGAAAACAGTAATATCAGCAGGCATCTCAATCTCAAATTTTTCAGGGACTTTGCCATATTAGTGAGTTGAGTTCGAATTGGCTGGCAAAGGCAGAAGATGTAAGAACATTATATTTTCCATATTATTATTTTCTTATATGTTTCTACACGTGTAAGAATCATGTGGATAAAACTTTCCTGTTTATTTAATTTTACAGGCTTTTAAAGTTGGAGACCATATTGATGTTAAACTATTGAGGTACGATCTACTATTTCTGACATCCTTAGAAAGAAATAACTGTAATGTTAACTGTCTGGTGATAAATGATTTATTTAGTATTAAATTATTATCCTCTCATTGGAACATTAACCTTTTCTGACAGCTATATACCAAGAAAAATCAGTCTCCTTATCCTAGAAATGTGAACATATATTGTATAAATAAGATAAACAATGGCCATTGTAATCTATGGTCCTGCAAAAGTTGGTCTCATTAATGGAGATTTGGATCTGGTCCTAACCTTTGCATCAAGTTGCCACCTCATGGGCTGAACCTGTGTAATTGTGTATTATAGACTAATACTTGTATTGTTGCATTTGACAATGATCTTACTAATACGACCATGGTAAGGCCCTTTTTGATTTCGCGCCCTTAAACAAAGCAAGAAATCCTTGCACCGAAGAAATTCAAAGAAGGGATTTTTTCCTTCAACTAAGACAGGTTGACAAGACTAACTCATTAAGCATGGTTCCAAATTTTTACGCCAATGCGTACAACGGCCAGATTTTGATCACAACAGAATGCATTGATTGTTCAGTAGAAAAACTTTAGTCATTCATGCGAGAATTTGAAGTACGACCATCCTTTACATAATTTGGCCTTGCATTATTGATTTAAGAAGTCCTTTTAGAAATCAGATTTAAAACTGACAAGAATTCATAGTTGCAGACCAGAAGCTTTCTCTCTCTTTACTTAATGAGTTTTAGGTTTTTAGTTTTGGTAATTTTTTTATTGCTTACCTTTACCATGCATTCTTTTCATTCCTTGCTAATTGTTGATCAATTTTGGTTTTACTGGGTTTTCACCTACTCTGAACTACAATAGGATAATTTGTCTGTGTCATGCAGGTAAATGAGAAGGGGCAACTTCGCCTTAGCCACCGAGCGCTACTTCCAGATACAGATCCAGAGAAGGCCAGTGCAAAGCAACCTACAGGTGACGCCAAAGATGTTGTAGGTTCTCAAGAAACATCTGACAAAGGTTTACCTAAAAAAATGATTAGCATTCGAAAGGGGGACTCAGCTGAAAAATATAAGCTCGCCCAAAAATAATACAGCAGAGAATACTTTGCTCCCACAAAAGAAGTTTATCCGGAGATTAGTCACCCCTGCCAAAGATAGACCAAATATCAACAAAGATAAGACAAAAGAAGAGCAGCAGTGAAGTAGTCATAGCGTCTCGAGCAATGGGGGAAAATACTTTAGTGAATGGAGATGCTAACATTGGATAGTAAGGATATTTCCTTCTTGACCTACTGACGAGGATAATTTGTTGGTCCTGTTTGTCATGTTGAAAAATGATGGTCAATGCCTCGAAACTAACAGGAAGAAATGGTATGAATTGCCCACCTATTATATATATTCTCTTAATTAATTTTGCATAGATGTCACTTTAGAAATGGACCTGAAAAAGGTCACATACTATTTCGAGATTGAGCATTGCCATTCAACAATAGGTACAAACAACTGACAACCTTAAACATTGTCTAGAGTGCTAGTGAAAGTTATTTTATTTATGTTCATCTTCAATCTTTCTGTTAGGCTTCAATTATTATAACAATGCTGATCATGATGCCAGAAACGGTTATATACATTTTTCATTATCCGAGTATTAATTAATACCTTCTTGTGGTCAATTTTCGTTTTATGAGTCACTGCCTGAACTGCAAATGGTATATAGGTTATTTACTCAAGAATTTACTAATTAGAAATGGTGGAATCTGTTTTTGACAGGAAATTGTTTATTACGACGTTCCACCGAAAGGTTCATCTCACATGCAATGACGTGAATGTGTCACATTCTGCAGAGGAACCTGGTTAAATGTGACAACCTCATATGTTCTTTAAGAAAGGGAAGTATTATGGTCTTGGAAAATTTGCTGAACCACTGATTCTTACTAGATCAAGAAGAGCTCCATTGTGGTGTGGGGTAAATTCTTTGCTAGGTGCTTGAGAGTTTCTTTTGCAATAGAGGAGGATGTCATGGTGCATTTTTTGCTTAGATTTGTTTTGGGGCTAATATCTAAGCAAAGCATTCGATAATGTCAACCTGATAGTTTCGTTTTTGTTGGCTATTGCTGAAGCACAATTTTTTTTTGGTAATATGTTGTAAAACATCATAGTTGAGCTCTTTCGCAACAGTTTATAAATATTTTTTTCGTTGCTAGGCTTGTCACTTCTAAAGCATATTTAATACAAGTTGAGTTCAAAAGCTTCATGTTTCTCAAATTATGAACATTGAACTCGTATGAATTGCTATTTGAAGACACCCTCATTTCTTTTTCTTTTTTTACACAAGTAAAACATTGCAAAGAAGATCCACATGGGATCTGTAACCCTCACAAATCAAAATACATTTATGTAAAACGTTCCCAGGAAAGTTCCGAAACCAAATTCATGTCTCTGAAGAAGCATATCCTATCTTAGCCAAAGTTCAACCACTGGTGGTTTCACGTAGGAATGATGTAAAGAATAACGATGGAACCATGTAGAAGATACCAAATACTTGATGTCCCTACTTGCTTTTTATCTCTCCTTTTTGCAATGGGGGATCTGATGATTTAGGATTGGGATTAGAACTTTACAATCGCCTTCAATTTCCAGCTGTGATGTGATAAGACTAGAGGCCCATATTAAAGCATTCCTTAAAAGTCGTAGCTTCCAGCCCGCAAACACATAAGAAAACTAATAGGGGATGACAAAATGATTCATAATTACGAAACCCAGCGGAAGATGACCATCAAAATTGATTTTAAAATAGTTTAGAAAGGGGAGGACTCCAACCATAAGATTTTGCAATTTTTTGTTTCCACTTCTTAAAAGAAATATTATTTTTTAAAATATGATAGATTTTATTAGATCAATCGGAATAACATTACAAAGAACCGAGACTGTAAAAGGAGTCATCCCAACAACAATATGGCTGATATGGGTAAAACTTCCTCATAACCTGAGCCAGCCGAAAAGCTGAAACGATCTAGAGAGAAATCACTCTTGAAAATAACATTTCTATAATCTCTCTCAATAGCCATAATTGCCCCAAATCTAGTGCAATGACATTAAGGACAAAAACGGTCGCTAACCGGCATGATTCTCCTAGAGAGATTAAGAACACCTAGCAAACTCAATTTATGTGATCAAAAGAGAAAGAAGAAAAAACACAGAAAACTCATAGAGTTTCTAGACTTTATTGAACAAACTAAATCCAATTTAAAATTTAAATAATGTGGGCAAAAGAAAACCAACTGCCTCTAATCTTCCTTCAGGACACGACATAGAGAGCGCCACCTAGTTACTTCGTAGCTTCAACACACCAATAAACAGTGGATGTATAATGGAACCCCTGTATCCTCATGGAATGATCACTACCGTCCCTCATCACTACCCTTACTTTAGCCATTCTATCCACATGGATTATTTCCCTTTTGTACGTGGCGCTTACAGGCTGTCCTAACGAACCATGTATAAAATATTGGTATAGTATCAACGGAGAAGAGCATGATAGAACTTTCACTTGCTTGGTCACAATGCACAATTGGCGGCAAGCAATCGTGGTGCATGTAAAACAAGGCATGAGTTAACACCTTTCACAATATTCACCCTTTTGCTCCCACCCAACTCTTTAGCTTCATCATCTTTGCCTAACACTGAGGCCAAGCTTCCCCTTTCAAGATATCATGCACCAAAAATGAGTGTCGTTGATGTGAACAGAAACCATAAAGCTTCACAATGTTTCGGTGTCTATCTTAGACAGTACCCTTATTTCATTTAAAGAATTCCTTTTGAAGATTCTTTGGTCGTTCTGTAACATATGGAGTTTTCTTCACAGCAACTACATTGGCAGATGACAAATTGGCCCTGTAGATGCTTCCATGTCCCCCCAGTCCAATGCAATGTGTTGAATCTGTGGAATTTAAAAAGGATTTAAAATTTAACCGTTTTTATTATTTAATTATTTGGCTGTTTTATTTTATTTTTGTGGGGGTTATACATATTTAATTTTCAAGTATTATTTCTATATTGAATGCCTTAGTTTTATGGCTTATGTGGTGAAGGTTACATGTTCTTGAATGCCTATAAAAGGCCACTCCTCCTTCACATTTGAAACAACACAACCCCATCAGAATATCACATACCACAATCTGATTCTTTTTCTCTTCTACCTTTTATATTTTCTCTACTTATATTATTAGTTTTGGCAACGGTTCTGTGACTTGGATACCTATAGTCCGTCTATGAACGTGCTCATAACAGATCCTAAATTTGTGTACAAGGGGTTGTATTTTGGAGTCTTGTAGACCGTCAGTACCTGCACGTAGGGAGGCTACAAAGGCTTTAGAACAGCATATTTGACGTGTTTCACCGTACCAAACTCACCTTATTACTTAGTATTTATTTTTCTTTTACTTACTTATAATTTGTTATCTTCAATTTCATTGTACCTTAAAGCTTTCCAATTGTTTATATGTTATTTTATATATAAATGTTTTTGTATTTGGCTTTACGGAAAGTGAAAAACTAAATTTTTTACAAAAATCTAAAGCCTTTAAAGTTGTTTTCTTCCCATATTGCTAGCTTTAATATCTTGTAACTCTTTAACGTGGGATAATAATGTGGTAAGTGTAGCATTACTCTTTGACGTTATTTTTTTTTTTTTTTTTTTTGAAATGGTTAATTGATATTAACTTATTTAGAAGCTTTTGCATTGCACATTCAATACGAGATAATTTTCATTTACTACAGCTTTAATTCAAAACTTTAGTGCCGCAATTGCATATTATCAATTTTATGACGTTTAGAGATTCTTGTTTGGCAACAGTTGTTGATATTGTTGGGTGTTTATTGCATTACTAAACTTTATGCAATTTAATCACATCTTTGTTTTAATATCTTGGACTCATTTCAATTTAATCACATATTTTTTTTAAAAATAAATAAAAGTTTTGGTACAAACTCATATATTTTGAGAATTCCCTTAATTTGTGGGGGTTGAGTTTTTCCTTAACTATGTGGGTAATTGTTGGAATTGTGTGAGTATTTCAGCATACAAAATTAATAATTATTTATGTTGAATTTAATTTTCCAGATTTTGAGTGGTTTGATTACCTCTTTAAAACTGAATTTTTTTGTACATTATTATATAAGTTGCGATATCTTTTTTGTTGAGATTTATCTTATTTTGTTTTAATAATTAGCATGCTTACGTTATTTGCCTTCAATAATGATGATAATAATAATAATAATTATTTATTTTAAAAACCATGTGAACTGGGATTTGATTTTCCTCAAAGGGAAACTTTAATGCTATATTAATGTGTGGCTAATGTTGAGCAGTTTTTGTTTTATATTGAAAAAACGTTGGACCCATTTATGTAGTTAACTGCATTCTTACTGTCATAGGCTCTTTGGAGGTAACACAACAATCATTAATTAAACTCCTTTCTTTCCAAATAATAATAATTATTAAATTAATTAAATTATATAAACTCTTCTTGTTAATTGGTGACATGGAGAAATCACACAATTTCCTTCTCACTTCTCTTTCCCACAATTTGAGTGTGTTTTTAATTTCTCTATGCTATCATGGGAAAGATTCATTATATTCATTTAGTGACATAATAATTTTATATTTCTTTGGCAAAACATGCTGTGTCGTGTCTGTGTGAAATTTGTTTTCATTATGAAAGTTTATATGAGGACTAATTTATCTCAACCTTGATATGAAAGTGTATACAACTAATGATGATTTTGGTATAAAATTTTTGGTAGAGACTTTTATTGTCTTACAAGGCCATATTGAGAAGATACAATGACAACTTGGATATGCATTCATGATTTCAGCCAATTGAAGTGCACATAAGGGGAGTAAGAGTATCCTAAAATACTCAGTGTTTATAGTTTAATGAATTAATTTTTATATTGTTGTTCATAAGTGGTAGCAGGTGTACTCAAAGTTTCATGGACTTGAGAGGTACTCTTGATTATAAGATTTAATGTATGATGTTTTTCCGTTATACTTAAATGTATACCAAATTTCCAATTATACTGAGGTGAAATCCAATAATTATTTGTGTGCAAGATTGTGTAGGAAATATTTCAATAACATGCAGGTTTAAAGCGCGCTAAAATGGAGAACAAAGACATGACCTACATTATATATGCCTTGTGAAGGCTAGTCTTGATATGCATGCCTCGTGGAGGAGGCTATTAATGCAAAATGTCAAGGGGGATGTGCTTAAGCCTATAAGGGAGTCACCTAGGGAGGTAACCCAACTTCTGTGATTGGCGATCCCATAAGGGAAATTCAATGTGGTACAAACAATCCATACTGCCTGACACATATAGCACTCATAAAAATATGGAGATATCCTTGAGATATTCTTATGCTCATCCCTAAGGCAAAAGTGTTATTTTATGTGACGTCGGGAAGGGATTTATCCCTAAATGAGTTTCGAGGTGGGCAAACTCCCGTAAGGTGCAGGTCATAAATTAGAGCTAGTAACTCTAGCAACTCTGATGATTCTCTTTACGACGTTATGGTACCCTCGGTCCTTAATCTTGTAAACCATTGTTTACTAGAATAAGGACCCTAATTGACATCCCTAAGGTCCACCATTACCAATTCCTTGTAATATGGATCCATATCTTTGTAAACATATGATTTACAAAATTATGGATTGGGTGAACCCTAACGTTGTAATCCAAGTAAAAAAACTTTGTGGAATGCTACTCAAAACTTGTAAGTTATGAGTTTAGTGATTCTCTTTTGACGCTATGGGACCCTCTGTCGTTAATCTTGTAAATCCTTGTTTTCACAAGAATAAGAAATAATTTTACTTGTTCAAGGTCCAACTACCTTAATAGTGCACACTTTTACATTTTTAGGATTCAATTAACGAAATAGAACACTTATAAAGAGAACCCTTATAGATAGGGATATGATTTCCCCATTCCCTTTTTCTCCACTTACACTCTCTTTTACTTTTTAATACTTTTTAATCAATTTTGTTCATCCTATTTCCTATTCTACCCTTACCCTCCATTAATTCCTTTTTACTTCACTTTTATATTAGTTCTTTTTCTTTGTACTTAATTTTCAAAATTGCACTCCATTAAAATTTTTTTTTCCTTTAATTGAGTAAGAAATTAAGTTTTTTTCTTCCTTTAATACTGAAAATGGAGTAAGTTAGAAAATTAAGTATAAAGAAAAAGAAATAATATAAAAGTGAATTAAAAAAGAAATTAATATAGAGTAAGGGTAGAATAGGAAAGAGAATTAAAAAAATTGATTAAAAAGTATTAAAAAGCAAAAAGGAGTGTAAGTGGAGAAAAAGGGAGTGGGGAAATCATCTCCCTTAAATAAGGAACATAAAATTGACGTCTTATTAAATTAAAAATAAAAATAAAAAGAAAGTTATCTTCAACAACAAAAAAAACCCATTTGTAAAAGAAATAATAATAATAATAAAGGCTTCCTCTAGGGCTATGTTAAGATGCTAATTTGAAATATTGCTCTCATGTGTATTAACATTAGATAATTTTTTTTCTTGCCTAGTCTATCATTGGTCTATCATTGGCCTACCATGGATTATTCTAGTTAAGAAAATGTATTTACTTATAACATTAATATATATATATCTCTTCAAAACAATACAGCTTCCCTCAAAGGATTGGTGCTTTTGATGTCATTTTGGTGTCTTTGGTTGTATTGTTGAATTTTATCGAATGAAGTTTCTCTTGATTAAAAATAAAAATAAACCCACAATCCTACAAAGATAAGAATTTGATTTTCTTTACTTTTATTTTTATTTTTAAGAAAGGTATGCTGAAGCACAATATTATGATATTGCACACAAATAATCAAGAGTAACACACTCGATGCAAATTTTCACGTTATTCTTAAATATCTTTCATAATAGACCTAGCAATTATTGTTGCACCTAAGTATACAATTAAGCCACTTTTCAATAACGTGAAAATTTGACATATTCAACATAGCCACACTCGATGCAAATCTAGTTGTTAAGCAAAATATCATAATAGACCTAGCAAACTACAAGATTGAACAGCAATAAAAAATTTAAAGTTACAATAAAGTTAAACAAACACGAAATTCAGAAAAACACATAAATTTAGAACCACTATTAACCATAAAACGTTAAAAACTCAAACATATCAATCACCACACAACTTACCAAACAATTACTCACAATCTAAAATGTATAAATATGTAATTGTCGAATCTTACTGTAATTTGATGGCTCCCCAGCGTATCTGAAGTTATTATCCATATCAGTTACTTCAGTCCTCAGTTTGTTACTCAATTTCAACAACCCACACAAGAGACAAAAAGATGAATATAGAGTATGGTGTGTGCAGAGAGTGGGTTTTGGGAGGGTGGGTTTTTTTGCGGTGGAGAGAATTGACGTTGGAAAAGTTGGAAAAGTAGGAGTAGGGTAGGGTGAGGGCGCTGTAATTAGGTTAACCTTTTTTTAAAATCTGTTTTTTTATATAATTATTCTTTGTTATAGTTAATTGACGAATATACCCTTAAACTTAATGGAAATTTTAACGGAGTTAGACGTAGGTGGTGAATTGCAACACTTTACAAAGTTCAGGTGGTTAAAAATAAAAATTAAAAGTTCAGGTGGTAATGACACACATACTTGAAAGTTCAGGTGGTATTTATGCAAATTTTTCTTTTTTTAAATAAACAAAAGGATTATGCGAGATTAGCTCCTCAGTATCGGTCATCAGATGCACAAACATCCACCACCCTCAAAGAGGGGACCAATACTCCGGAAGCCCCCTGCCCGTCCCCTTGATCATAATTTATTAATAAGAAACAAAAAAGAGATACGAGAATAGCAGGGGGGACCAAACCAAACCATGTAGAAGAGAAAGACAATGACAGAAAGGCACAACAACATGCTGACCTAAGAGACCAAACTCTGAAAGAGTAAACAAAAGAAACTAGGAGAACCGGTAATTAGGCATGCCCAGCTAGTCCCGCTGACAAAAGGCAAAACAAAAGGTGTAGTATCCCACCAAATTAAACCAGAGCCCAAAGCACCATAATTTGCCAAAGCATCAGTAGCATGATTATCCTACGAAAGATAGAAATCTTAAATGACATGTGTTGGAGACAATGCAAGCAATTTTGCCAATCAACTCGTAGACACGAAGGGACCAAATTTGTCATAAGTATATGAAAATTGTTATATTTTGTTTTTCCTAAATTGAAAGCTACATAAATTCTTTGGGAAATCAAAGGAGATAAGGAGAATTCTACGTTACCATGAAATGAAAATTAATTATTCTTTTTTTTTAATTGAGGGAGAAACAAAACAATTATTCATACACGATAAATTTGTAGCTAATAAAGTTTTATTGTTTTTTTGTTACCAGTTAACAAAAAGAAATTCAGTTTGGTTAATTGGAAAAAGCTACCCACAATAGTTGTGAAATAATTAAATGAATCATGAACACCAACCTCAGTCCCATACTTGAAAGTTTTGTGAAATAATTGACGAAATTGAATGAATTGTAACGAATTGCATTATACCCTGGAACCAATTGCATTTTACAATGCAATTGCATTAAACCCATACCTTTGACCTGTTACCTGGAAAAACCAATTAACACAGACTCAGCTAATTGGACTGCCGTTGCAGGCACATATGGCTACGTGGCGCTAGGTAATGTTTTTGCTCCTTTTACTTGTTTTTTTTAATTATTATTTTTTTTTGGGTTCTATATACTTGAGCAGATTTTACGCGCAGGCAAATGATTCTCTTTCTTTCCAAGATCCAGTTTTTGTGAACTTTCATAACAAGTTTATTTGTGCGACTTGTTTCCTACTATATATATACTGTTGTTTGTACATAGTAACTGATTTTGATTTATAAGTTAAATCTTTGAATTGGAACTTGGAAAGTAAATTTTTACAGAATTGCGTCGGAGACTTTTTTTTGCCAGGTATTAGAGATTCTATTTATGCATGATACAATTCTGTAAACTCCATTTGAATAGTTATAAATATGCTAATAGTGCTGCTTCTATGAGCTTTTATCTTAGCAGAACTTGCTTATAAAATGGAAGTGAACGCGCAATGCGATGTTTATAGCTTCGGAGTAGTAACACTGGAAACAATTTTTTCTCATCTTTGTCATCAGGATCGTCTTCTTCGTTGTCATCTGGATTACCTGCCCATCAAATGCCAGTTGTGGATGTTGTGGACCAACGTATTTCCCCTCCACCAAATCAAGAAGCAGGGGAAGATAGCGTGATTTATGGAACTTTCTTTTGAAAGTTTGTGAGAAAGATTTTGAAAGTTTGTGTGTGTGTGATTTATGGAACAAAAAAACTTCATTGTTCTTCTACTTATCACTGCTTACAAGAATAAGGTGTTAGTTTTATACATTTGATGTTTTCTCTTCCCTCAGTTCTTTTTCTCACAAACAATAGAAAAATAGTGTTTGTCACAAGTATTTGAAGCAAAAGCAAATTACAATCTTCACATCCTTAGTGGCCATATACTTGAAAGATTTATGGATAACGAAAGAAGAAAGGTTCAAATAACCAACTTTTACTGTGGATTGGAGAAGAACGATGTGAATTGAAACAAGACATTAACAAAATTGACAAAATTGAAAGGTGATTTCAAATTAAGACAAAGTGACAAAAATTGTAATTGCCCTTTTTTCTTCTTGATACAAAGTGATATTGGTGGATCAAACCCAAGATCTCGGATGCATGAGTTCTTGCTCTTAATCACTTTCTTTTATTTATATTGGCAAACACAAACTACATAATCTCCATGGAATTTGAGATATGTCTTTCTTTGCCTTCTTGAAAATTAACTCACGTTGCGACTTAAAAATATTAAAATTATGTTGGAATTACTGCAACTTCATCAAAGATTCTGTTGAAAATTGATTCACAGTGTTTTGTTTTGGGTTGAAATGTTTACAAAGAAAAAATTAAAAAAATGGTAGTGTAGAGCATCCCATTGGAGCAACTACTCCTTTAAAGTCCCAAAGATTCCCATTGGGCTTTAAAAGGAGGCTAATGCAGTGGATAGAACCTCAGTTTAGAGGCTCCAATTGGGGATGGCCCTAGGTGCCTCTCCAAAAAGCACTAAAAAATAGTTTCATAACTTAAGCACTACGAGAAAACCTCTTTATTAGTTGTTGAAAGAGTTACGGCGTTTAAATCTGCTATCCTCCCAAATCCAATCCTTAGTGTCATGAATCATATATTCCTGGTAACTAATTATGCCTCCACATTTGTGGAAGCAAAATATCTATGGATCCACGGTCAAATAATTAAGCCAATCAATTTGGGAATTATTTGGCCTAATTGAGAGTTATTTGATTTAATTAGCAATTATTCGATTCTTACCCTAATTAAGGATTTGATTTAAATCAAATCCCTAATTACGTCAATCTTTCCAAATTGGGGAAGAATAATTCATTTCCATCTGTGGAATTATTCTTCCAAAAACCTAGCCTCCGAGGCTCCTATAAATATATGGCTACACTTAGGTTGAGGTACGTCTAAACTTTTGTGAAATTTTGCAGAAATTCTATCTCACAAACCCTAGCCGCCATAACTCTTTCTCTCTCTCACACAGGGCTTCAGCCACCACACATGGCTCTAGTCACCCGGTTCTCACCCTAGAGAAATCTCCATCCTTTTGTTAGCTATTGTTTTCCTACAAACAATCGAACTTAGGCATCGGAGGGCCTTTGGCCAGCACCCCTCGAGTGTGGTCCTTTACTCCATATTGTTTTGCAGGAGAAAGAGAAGTGAAGGGGAAGATGGAATCTTAGATGAATATTCTTGTGGGACGAAAATCGCTCCCACAACATTCTTAAAGAAATCTAAGTAAATATTAAACAAATTATTTTTTTGGCTAAAGTTAGGAAGTGGAGGGGGATTTTCTCAAACACATAGCTAAGGGGTTATGAGAGTTCGAACATGACCACTAATTTGCTAGCAAGATCATTTTCCACTCGCTAGACCCATTGGCTCCAACTTTAGTTCAGTTAATGAAAACTCAAATATACATATACAAATAGAATACGCCCGAGAAATTCACAATCTTATTCTCTGTTCTGAAATATGTAGGGTTGATTTGGAAAAAACTGAGATTGAGGAGGAATGCCCAAAAATAAGAAGAAAAAACACAACGCCGCCTGCATGATCAGGTTTTCCCTCAATAAGGAGGACATAATAGGACCCAAGCAGAATACATTTCCAAAAATAAAAGAAGAAAAAACACAGAATATTGAATGATCTTTTAAGTCATGTGCGTGAGCCCGAAGGTGAAAACAAAGTCAATTAATCTAACTTACACACACATTTTCAGGGTAAAGTCAATTGATCTGTTAAGTTCTTTACAGTGCTAATAGTGGCACTCTCTTGCAATAATGACAAGAACTTGACCTCATCATCATCAATTTCACATTCCTATTCCTATGTATGGTATAAATCACAAAAATAGAGACAATTTTGCGTTTAGTTCTTTTAACACACACCAATAAGAGAAGACGAAGGCAAAAAAAAAGAGTTACTGATCCCACCAGACACGTTATCCATTACAACTTACTGATCATCAATTAGTAACCCCTCACTTCCATCAATTTCATTTCATTAATACTTGTCTTTGGTTTGAAAGTAGAAGGGTTTTTCTGTCTTTTTTGAAAAGGTTTTGGCTTTTTTCAAAAGTAAAAGTTTTTTGTGTGGCTAAAACCTAAATTTACTTAAATTCATCAGGGACTAAACCTAGATAAAAGTGCAAATTATGACACATATAATGCATGAAAGTCAAAGCTCTTGAATAAAAATTTAGAATGTCACATATCAAAATTTGGAAATATTTTTGCTCATCACGTTAACTCAAGGTGTATCCTAACCACTATTCTCAACACTTGACATGTATACATGGGCATAACCATAGTTAACTCTTTGATTTGCATTTGTGGAACCATGATTATACCCATAAACATATGTCAAGTGTTGAGAAGTGTAGTGATGATACATCTTGAGTTAAAATGGTGAGCAAAAATGCACCCATCAAAATTTAGGAAATGGGACTAAAATGTATACAACTCTCATTACTTTGAAACTTATTCTTCACGTGATGACTTAGGTCAGAAAGAAAGAAGAAGGAAAAAAGATGGAAATGAATGATTGGTTGAAATTACATTGACAAGTTATTCCTCTTCAGATTTGTTGGGGACAGCTGGAGTGGATTAATTTTTCCACTAAAGCAAAGCAATAATCATGTTTTGTTTGAATTGTTCTAGTCATGACAGGACTATACCATTTCCTTTGTCTGGCTAGGGCACTTTCATGTTAATCATGCTTTGAGAAAATGCAAAAGGACTATACCATTTCCTTTGTCTGGCTAGGGCACTTTCATGATCATGCTTTGAGAAAATGCAAAAGTTACAATTCCAACTTTAAAGAAATGGGACGAAGACTTACAGTGTGAAAACCCCAAACCGTTGTTACTTAGAAATGTTTTTCCTTGTGAGAGGGAAAGAAAAAATGAAACAATAATTTAATTGTCCAATGCCATGGTGACATTCAAGTGTGAATTTGAGGTCCAAGAATCAGTTCTCTGCACACCCATAAGAAAACCACGGGTTCTCACACAACTAAATCAAGAGCACAAGGAACACGCTCTCAAAGACTTTACAATGCTCAACTACTGAACCCCAAAGACTAACCCACGATGTATATAAGTAGTAAGGCATGACCCATACAATATACGCATACCACACAAACAATAACCATGACATCTTTAACTTCCGCTAAACTATGCTTCCTGCCTCATTGCCTTGTCATCTTGTTGTATGTTTCATCACCAAATTGGGTTGCTTTTCCTTCTGCTACTTCTACTTCTGATACTGAAGCAAAGGCTCTTCTCAAATGGAAAGCCAGCTTATTTCAAAATCAAGCCCTCAACAACCTCACCTGGTACGACCCTCCCACTCATAATATTAATGCCACCAATTCTTCCAGCAACAATCCAAAACCAAGAACAAGCCCATGCACTTGGACTGGTGTTTCATGCAACTCAGCTGGAAGTGTCAGAAAGATAGACCTTTCCACTTGTGGAATACAAGGTACGCTACATGAATTTTCATTCTTGTCCTTCCCTAATCTTGAATATCTTGACCTCCACATAAACGAACTCTTTGATACTATCCCACCTCAAATCAGTAACCTCTCCAAACTCTACAATCTTGATCTCTCGAACAATCAGTTTTCCGGGAGAATCCCACCAGAAATCAGTCTCTTGAGAAATCTTACCTATCTCTATCTCTATGGTAATAAACTTTCTGGTTTGATTCCCAAGGAGATAGGGAACTTGAAATCTCTTGTATTCCTAGATTTGAGCATTAATCAACTCAACGATTCAATTCCAACATCGTTTGCTAACTTGAGCAACTTGGAGACCTTATCCCTAAGAGAAAACCAACTTTCTGGTTTGATTCCCAAGGAGATAGGGAGCTTGAAATCTCTTGTATACCTAGATTTGTGCATTAATCATCTCAACGATTCAATTCCAACATCATTTGCTAACTTGAGAAACTTGGATTACTTGTCCCTAGGAGAAAACCAACTTTCCGGCTCCATTCCCCAAGAGTTAGAGAATCTCAAGAATTTGAATAAATTGCAGTTGAGTATAAACCAATTTTCTGGTTATTTGCCCCAAAATATTTGCCAAGGTGGAAAACTCACATGGTTTGCAGCAGGTGAAAACTATTTGACTGGTCCAATCCCTAAAAGCTTGAAAAACTGCACAAGCTTAGTTAGAGTCCGTCTTGAACATAACCAATTTACAGGCAATATATCTGGAGAGTTTGGTGTTTATCCGAATCTTGATTTTATAGATGTAAGCCATAACAACTGGTATGGAGAAATCTCACAAAATTGGCAAAAATGCCCAAAGTTGACAGCCCTACGACTTGCGGGAAACAACCTTACTGGGAGCATCCCACCTGAGATAGGCAATGCAACCCAAATTCATGAGCTAGATCTCTCTTTGAATAATTTAGTTGGGTTGATCCCAAAAGAATTCGGGAGGTTGTCATTGTTGGTGAAGTTGATGTTGAATGGAAATAAACTTTCAGGTCATATACCGTTGGAATTCGGATCATTGAATGATCTTGAATATCTTGACTTGTCAACAAACAAATTGAATGAGTCAATTCCCAACATTCTAGTTGACTTGTTCAGATTGCACTACTTGAATTTGAGCAACAACAAGTTGGCTCAAGCAATTCCATTTAAGTTGGGGAAGTTAGTTCAATTGAATGACCTGAATTTAAGTCATAACTTACTTGAAGGTAAGATACCATCAGAAATGGGCAGTATGCAGAGTTTGGGGACACTTGATCTTTCCCACAACAATCTTTCGGGTTCCATACCGTCAAGTTTCGAAGAGATGCATGGCTTGTCGTACGTTGACATATCCTACAATCACTTGGAAGGTCCCCTTCCCAACATTAGGGCATTTCTAGAAGCTCTGCCAGAAAGATTGAAAGGGAACAAAGGATTGTGTGGCAAAGTTGGAGTTCTGCTGCCACCCTGCAATGCACATGGCTCAAAAAAGGACCAAAAGTTAATATTCTCTCTTCTAGCGGTATTTGTACTTGTTGCTTTCTTTACAATTATCTTTGTAATAGTGCAAAGAAAGAAGAAGCATCAAGATACTAAACAAAACCACATGCATGGAGAAATTTCCTTTTCAGTTTTAAATTTTGATGGAAAATCAATGTATGAGGAAATCATAAGGGCAACTGAAGATTTTGATTCCATATATTGCATTGGGATTGGAGGACATGGAAGCGTTTATAGAGTGAATTTGTCATCTGGAGACGTAGTGGCCGTGAAGAAATTTCATCTACTATGGGATGGCGAGACAGAATTTCAGAAGGAGTTCTTGAATGAAGTAAGGGCACTTAGTGAGATAAGACATCGAAATATTGTGAAGCTCTATGGTTTCTGCGCACATAAACGACACTTGTTTTTGGTGTATGAGTATCTTGAAAGAGGTAGCTTGGCCATAATGTTAAGCAAAGATGAAGAAGCTACGAAGTTGGGGTGGAGTAAAAGGGTGAATATTGTTAAAGGCTTAGCTCATGCCTTGTCTTACATGCACCACGATTGCTTGCCACCGATTGTACATCGTGACATCTCAAGCAAGAACATTTTGTTGGATTCTGAATATGAGGCATGTGTTTCAGACTTTGGCACTGCTAAGTTTTTAAATCCATACTCAACTAATTGGACTGCCACTGTAGGCACTTATGGTTACATGGCACCAGGTAATATTGTGATTCCCTGTTCTCTGTATTTAGCACTTTTAAGAGCATCTCCAACTGATGTGTCAAAAGTGCCACATAGACATTTAACGGCTAGAAATAACATCTCACATCACTCCAACCGATGTGTCAAAGGTGATGTGGAATGAAGGCTGGATGTTGAGATGTTATTTTTGACATTCTAAAAGTAAGATGTCAAATGAATATTTTATTATTTTTAAAAGATAACTGGCTGTTACTTTCATTTATTATTTTCCTTTTTTTTAATTTTTTTCTTCTTTATCTTAAATGATTTGACTGTTACAATAATTATTTATTTGACATATCGGGTGGAGTGTAAAACTATGTAAATGTCAAATTGCCACATCAGCCATCAAATTTAAATTTGATGTTTGGTATTTGACATCTCCCTTGGAGATGCTCTAAGCTTTTGTTTTTAGACCAATGCTTCATTTTCATCATTAGGAGCGGTAACATAAACACATTGGACTTCTTTGATTTAGAAAATATAACTAATAGATATTTTTTTATGTGAATGATGATGGAAACTTTTCTTATTTAATTCTTTTTCTTCTTCAGTCCAGCTTCTATTAAGCTATCTTCTCTAGTTCTGAAAAAGAACCAAATTTCCTCGAATTTGTAGGTTGTGTTTCAATCAATTATTAATTTGATTGGGAAATTGTGACTTCCTCACTATCCTTTTTCTGAGAAGCAATGTTTTGAACACTTCAATCTGAGCCTCTTATTATACGTGTGTACAATTGATGCATGATACAATTTCTTCTATGTGCTTTTTCTAAGCAGAGCTTGCATATACAATGGAAGTGAACGAGAAGTCCGATGTTTATAGTTTTGGAGTTGTCACACTGGAAATAATTATGGGAAGCCATCCAGGAGATGTTTTCTCATCTTTATCATCCGGGGCATCATCTTCGTCCTCATCTGCATCACCTGCCCCTGAAATGCCAATTTTGGAAGTTCTGGACCAACGCATCTCCCCACCCACAAAACAAGAGGCAGGGGAGGTGGTGTATCTGGTGAAGATCGCATTTGCATCCTTGAATCCCAGTTCGCAGTGTCGTCCAACAATGAAGAAAGTTTCTCAACTCCTGTCATCAACGCAGAGGCTGCATTTGTCAAAGCCATTACATATGACGACATGTGGTGAATTGCTTGCTCTTGATGGTTTCACTGCCTGATCAGGACATGTGCTGCTTTTCATTGGAGTCTGCCTTATTCTAATTCTTCTTAGATGTTTGGATTATTGTAATCTATTAGGGCCCGTTTGGTAACGTTTTCGGAGAGTGTTTTCTGAGAATATTTTCAGAGAATGAAAACAAGAAAACAAGAAAACAAATTTGCATTTTCAGGAAATGAAAATGCGTCTGGTAGATTAATTAGAAAACATATTCAGAAAACAAAAACAATGAAAATGTGTCTGGTAGTACAATTTGAAAATAATAATATGTGACTTATTTTCAATTGTATTTTTGCTAATTTCAGTTTTTTTTAATAAAAAAAAATCTGCTATTTTTCAAAGACAACAATTTATAAACAATAAAAAAATGTATAATTTAACAAATAAAAAATTCTAATATTTTTTTTAAGACAAACTATCTTATCTCATTTCTTTTTCTCTTTCTCTTTCTTTCTTCCTTTCCTTCCTTCCCAGGCCCGTGCCCTTCTTTTTTATCTTTTTCTTTCTCTTTTCCTTTTTTCTTCTTCTATTCCTTCCCAGACTTTCTTTTTTCTTTCTTCCTTTTTCTCTGTTTTCTCTTCTCTTCTTCTTCCTCTCTTATTTTTTATTTTCTTCTTCCTCTCTCTGATTCTTCCTGTTCTTCTTCTCTCTTCATACCCATCCTCTCTCTGTTTTCATTTGTTAATGGTTGGTGTTGGTTCCATTGGGTGGTGATAGTGGTTCAACTGGGTTTGTGGCAGTTATGGTTCGATTGCTTTGGTGGTGATCGTGCTTTGGAGGTGCCGGTGCGGCAAACTAGACGATGGGTCTGGATCGGGGGAGATGGGTTTCCACAGTGGTGCTCCTCAGTTTTTTTTTTTTTTTTTTTTTTTTTTTTTTTTTTTTTGGGTGCTGGTGATAAGTAAATCACGATCTCAGAGATTTTAGAAGAAGAAGAATAGCTATGGAGAATTTCAAAGACAAGAATCGATGTTGATTGGAGAAAGAGAGATGGAAAAAATGAATTATCGTATGGACTGAAAATGAAAACGTTGAAAACGAAAACAACATAATATCGTTTTCAACTTTTGTTCATGAATTGGATTTGTTTTTGGAAAATATTTTTAGGGAAAACAAAAACGTTCCACCGAACAGGTTTTTGCCAGAAAACAGGAAATGAAAACAGAAAACGGGCCGTGAAAACGATACCGAACGCGGCCTTAGTATTTAGAAATATTTTATATTTTCGTCTACACATCTTGGTTTTCATTAAAATTCTTTAAAATTTTAATTCTTATTTTAGTATAGGTAGTTTCTTTAAAATTCTTATTTTAGTCCTCAAACGTTCAAATCAATCAATATGATCTTTTATATTTTCGTCTACACATCTTGGTTTTCATTGTCACATTCCAACAAAACTTGGTTAAAAATTGGTCACATATCATCACCTCAGCAACTAAGGGATATATCATCAAAATATAGCTCAATTTAGTCCTAGAACTCAAATTTTTGCTCAATAAAATCATCTGCTTTCCATTCAGGGTTTCACATTCAGGCTTCGTTAAGGAGAGAACACAGCCTTGTTGGGCAAAATATGTATTTTTTTACTTTGTTATCAAGGTTTCAATTCATTCATCCAAACAAAGTGTTAAGGATCATATTGATTGATTTGAAAGTTTGAGAACTCAAATGAAAATTTTTGAAAATTTCAAGGACCATTCATGACAAAAACCTTTTTCAATATCTTTCTATTCGGAGAGGCTGCATTTATTGCAGGGACAGTCACTAGAAGGGACTAATGTGGGCTATAGCCAGGTGAGTTGTAATTTTATCAGCCAAAAATTTAATTTAGCCCACCCATGCCTACTAATAACAATCATGCCACGCTCACATCCAAAGACTTACAGGTTTGCAATCTTAGTTGGGATGTTTATGCTAGAGTTTCTTCAATTTTGCATGATCGTTAGTGGAGACGCACCAGATTGTCTTAATTTTGATGTTAGACCGCTCTATTATTGTAATGGCATTTTGTGGCTAGTTTGTATTGACCATTTATGGCTAGTGGCTTTTTTAGCTGAATTATGAATGCAATTCTAGAATTTCTATAAATAAATAATAAAAAATTGTATGTCTCATGTTGCCACCTAATGTATTATGAATATTAGTGAATGCCACCTAAATTGCAACAAAATAATAACTTAGAGGACGATTAATGTGATGAATCAATATTTTCTTCGGAGGGACACATTGAGACATGACACAACATTGAAGTTACATTGTGCGAGTTTCCCTTTGATTCAAATTTAGTTTCGAAACAAAAACTTCGGTTAAAATTTGGATGGTTAATCGAAATATAAAATAGCGTATTTCATTTTTCCCTTTTTTTTCTCCTTATGGTCCAAACTCATAATAACATAGAAAAATGAAATTTGGATTTGCGATAGGTTCTTCTTTTTTCATGGAAGGCTCATGATTTTCTTTTGACTTGAAGATGAGCAGCCAAAGAAATGGAATAGGAAGTTGGACCAAAATGTATTCCGGGACATATCAATCAAGAACATGACCCACTACTAGCAACATTGATATCGTCTCCAACTTAACCACCTGTTTAGCAGGTGTGAGGTTCTATACAAAAGGCCTCGATATTATTAGGAGTTGAGTAATTTATTATAGAGATATTTAGTGATATACCCATTCTTAGCACTAATATTATAGATAAACCCTCCATCATTGAATTTCTATAAACAAACCCAAAAAAAACCCCAAAAATGACAGCTGGCCTTATTGAATTTAATATTGATTATTAAATTACTTTAATGCCCTATTGAGTGTTTTGGGTATTTTTATGAGATTTTGAGGTTGGGCTTGTTTTAAGAAATTTATGGTAGTTTTGTAATTTATAAGAAGTTAAGGCCTCTTTGTTATGTTGTAAATGGATTTTGGGTGTGTTTATAAAGTTCATTTCATATGGGGTATTTTTATAATTTAGGCCCCCATATTGGGTATATTAGTGAATCTCCCTTTATTATATGAGACTTTCTATTTTGTTAAGTATCCCACTTGTGTCTTGGCTCACACTTTAACAAAGGTGCTTTGTTACTTAGAAATGTTTTTCTTTATGAGAGGGAAATAAAAAATGAAACAACAAATACATGGTTTAACCAAAGTGCAAGAAGTAAAGTCGGTGGGAGTTTTCTTTGGCTTTGTGAGAGTTTGGGTTCTTGAACCATTGTTCAGGTTTTTTTTTTTTCGCCAAAAGACTCTTCACTGTTCTTTACTCATTACTCCTTTGAAGTTTTTTAGAATGTAGAAAGTTGTAAAATCACTTAAATATCCAAACCCATTTTATGTAAAACTTATTTCTGTTTTGAAATATGTACAAAGACCCATGTGAATTGACAGCCACTCCCAGGTCTCTTTGGCTTTCCGTCAAGCATACAATGATCCACCAATAACGTCCAATCAAGCTCTTACTTCTAGCAATTTCATTTCATTCAGTTCCAACACAAAAATGCAAAATTTCCCAAACCGTCTTCTAATTAAGAAAATGACAAAGACCTTTCCAAAGTCTTCAACTCTGAAAAGAGAGTAGGCGTAGGTTTAGAATTACTGCAGAAATTCTATCTCACAAACTCTAGTCACTATAACTCTTTTTCCTTCAAGGCTCCAACTACCCGGTTCGCACCATATATACATCTCCGTACCTTTTTGTTAGCTATTGTTTTCCTACAAACACTCGAACTAACTTAGGCATCGGAGGACCTTTGGCCAACACCCCTCGGGTGTGGTCCTCTCATTCTGATTTATTTTGCAGGGAGAAAGAGACAACGAAGAAGACAACGGAATCTTAGATGAATATTACCGTGGGACGAAAATCGCTCCCACAAATTGGTGCTTTCACTAAGAGCACAAGTTATACTCAACGCGTGCTCAAGGAATCCGTTCCTCCTATTTTTCAATCCACCGAAGCCTTCCAAACAACCATGGTTGGAAGCAAACGTGCTAGGACCAAAACCACTGTGACTGCGCACTCCGGAACGGCTGAAACATTGCTGCCACCACAATGGGCAGGGGCTGTACCTGTTTTGCAGCAGCCTCCCTCGGCTGCCAGCGCATTTCCGCAACTTCTCTTGGCTGCCAGCACATCACAGCAACCTCCCGTGGCTGCCCATACCTTGCCACAGCCTTTGAAAGCCATAGAACAGCCTGTTGGAAAATTTAATATTAACTAATATTGATTTTCCTATTTGAATGAAAATTAAAAAAATCCATTGGGTTAATGACATGACCCTTGGGTTAAAGACATCTTCACATGGGGAGTAACAACTCTTCAAACCAAGGTATGCATTGTTTGGGGTGACAACTCTTCAGACCAAGGGATGCATTGTTTGCCTTTTCAGATTGGGATACCTTTTTGGAAAGGGTATTTCATCATCTATAAATAGAGCAATCCTCCTACACTTTTATTAATTCAATCAATTCTCTACATATATACTTTCATATATAGAGAACATTAGATTTTTCATAAAGAGAGGTTCCTGCATAATTTGGTTCAAAGTTCCTTGTGAATTGCAGTGCTTCTTTCACAAGGAGGGGAGTCGTTGTATCCTGGGAGGCGAACGCTAGTGAACCATAAGCACCAGTGTGGGGCGTAATTCGTCTTAAGGTCAGAGTATCCAACACTTGCCTCGACTCAATTAAGGTTCTTCTAATTCAATTCTCTTTTTGTAAAATTTGTTTTATGCGCAATATTTTTTTTGTTTATTTTATAGCAATTTAGCACTCATTTTTCCTACAATCTTAAGACGAATTATTAGCTGTGTTAATTGCTATATATATTAGTCTCTGTTTATGCATTTAAATGAAAAGGTGCAAAACAGTTTTATTTTGATGCGTATGACATTGACGGCCTTATTGCATTACTGATAATTAGTTGTTTATTCGATTGAGTTGATTTCCTTCAATTAACATTAAAGTTAACATTGATGATTCCACTGTTAAGGTGTGGGATTCTAGAAAGTTGTAGTTGGAGCATGTGATGGCATGATACATACGTTTTCTGTTGATTACATCTCCAGAGGTCTTGGTAATGTTATTGAAAAGTATTCGGGTGTTACTGATATCAAGAAGAAGGATATTAAGGAAGGTGCCATAATTGTACAAATCAGATGGTTATGTACAGCACCCAAAATTGTGGGATCCATCTTTGAGATACAAGAATGAATACCAATTCTTGGACATTGAGAGCAACTCCTGAAGAGGGCTATGTTTCTTCACTGGTAACAGGACTTTGTGAAAATTGGTTTGTTTTGGGATCTTCAAAGGGGGAAAGCTAATTAGTAGTTCTATTACAAAGAGCTTAAGAAGTGAAGATATTTTAAGAATAAATATCTCCATTGTATTGCCTATAGAATGAGATGCATATGGACAAAGGGTACCAAAGCCTTACCCTATGCATAAATTGATGTGCACTTTATAAAGGAAAATTAGTTTTATAATGATTTGCTTTAATCAATTAATGAGGGTATGGTAACTAGAACATGTTAATTATGTTATAAACATGGTTCTACTACTAATACAACATTAAATTGATTTAAAGGAAAATTATAAACTAATACTATAGAACCATTATCTCATTCTTTAAGGATAAAGTAAAAGTTTTCTACTTCTTAGGCATATGAAAAAATGATTAACAGATTGCTCAATACCTTCAACAATTATGTGAAAATTGTGGGGGTGATAGACATGAAGGAAAATTTGGAATTCTATTTCCTAACAGAGAAAATGGAAGTTTTCTAGCACCACGTTTTTGTGGAGAGAGGCTTTGGTGTTCATAAGTGTTTAAATTTCTCTTATACAAGGTATGAGAAGGTTAGAGACCTTCCTATAAGTACCACAAATGTGGGGGTGTCTAACTGAGTATTAGAAGGTTACTCAGTTGGCACAATTATTAAGTCTTAACAAAATAAATTAAACGCTCAACTACTCTTGAATGGAATTTATTTCCACATATGAAATTATGATGGCAATATATTACAGAAATAGTCAACCTAGTGGATCCAATTTTTTAAAGGTCAGACTAGAGAGTTAGTTGATCATCGAGGGGAATGGGAGTATAAGCCTAAATATTTAAAGTCTCCATAGTGGATACCCAACCTAGCTAACTGGAGATCCCAATATCTAGGTTCAAAAGGGACAACCAAATTATGGATGACTAAGTAGTAGCACTGCCGAGATTACATCTCCTACCCATGTCCTATGATGAAACAGTGCTGCCTGTAGAGTGTTTTAGGGTAATCTTTGATTTTAATGATTCCTATAGCTTGGAAATCCAAGTGGGGTAGTGCAGGATACTCTTAATAGGAAGTCACCTATGTGAATGTGAAATGAGGCCGTTTCTATGATAATTTTTTAAGGCTTGAATTCTCTAAAGCTCTCATGAATACCAGGAATGCTCAGGGCCAAAACGAGCACAACCGATCGAACCAAATAAGTTTAGAAGGGTATTGTGTGAGTGCTATTGTCTGGGTTTACACAAACGGCTAAACAGTTCAAGACATCACGTTCACTGATTAGCCAAGTAAATCCAATAGTATTTCACTATGGAAGGTTCAAGGCCAAAAGCTACCTATCTAGATGCAGTATTCTTCTAATAGGGACTCTCTCTAGTGTCTTCATTTTTTTTTGCATGTTGTTGAGTCAATTTCCATTCATGTGGGGGATTGTTGGAAAATTTAATATTAACTAATATTGATTTTCCTATTTGAATGGAAATTAATAAAATCCATTGGGTTAATGACATGACCCTTGGGTTAAAGACATCTTCACATGGGGAGTAACAACTCTTCAAACCAAGGGATGCATTGTTTGGGGTGACAACTCTTCAGACCAAGGGATGCATTGTTTGCCTTTTCAGATTGGGATACCTTTTTGGAAAGGGTATTTCATCATCTATAAATAGAGCAATCCTCCTACACTTTTATTAATTCAATCAATTCTCTACATATATACTTTCATATATAGAGAACATTAGATTTTTCATAAAGAGAGGTAATAATTTGGTTCAAAGTTCCTTGTGAATTGCAGTGCTTCTTTCATAAGGAGGGGAGTCGTTGTATCCTGGGAGGCAAACGCTAGTGAACCATAAGCACCAGTGTGGGGCGTAATTCGTCTTAAGGTCAGAGTGTCCAACACTTGCCTCGGCTCAATTAAGGTTCAATTCTCTTTTTGTAAAATCTGTTTTATGCGCAATATTTATTTTGTTTATTTTATAGCAATTTAGCACTCTTTTTTCCTACACAGCTGCCAATGGCCGCCGAAAATACCATACATGCGGCTGGAATTGCTGCACCTCTTGTTGCCGTGCCAAACCATGGCCCCATGGCCTGCTTCACCTTGCCACCGCAAGGACCAAGCGACGGTACCATTTTGGAACAAATCCGAACGTTCCCTCCTCTGCAACCTCACTTGACGTGTGCACCCGTATGCACATCTAATGGAGCCCTATCCCATATGCCATTAGACCCAATCCATACCTCTCTACCCGACCTACGAAGTCAAGTGGGCCTTAATTCATGGGTTGATCAACTTGCGCAAAGGGTCGATGACCAAAACAATCTAATTGGCCAACTACTCAAGTAGATCAACTTGAATCAAGTAGCTGACCTTGGAGCCCGTGACGAAGAGAGAAGGATCGGCGAGCATACCTGCGAGCATCTTGAGAGATCCCGGACTAATGGGACAAGGATAGATGGGCAGGAGACAGAACGTGCTGAAGAGATGCAAACATCTGCATGTCGTACTCTGAGCCGGTCGACAATCCTTTCAAGGTTTGGTCCAAGGATCAGTGTGCAAGAAAGGTTGGGCCCACAGTCCATTGTCCACGCTCTTGGGTCCGTAAAGAAGTATCCATTCTCGGCTGGGCCCATAAGGGGCACGAGTCTATGAACGACTGCATGACGAACACAACTACCGACACTCACCAACTCGTTCAAGAACCAACTCACGACGATGACTTGTGAAGGAATCCTCGCAAGCTTAATCTCCCAATCTGCCCCACAGGCTGGGCAACCAAGGAGGTCGACCTCTGCGAGTCGACGAGGAAGTCAACCATCCCCACCCGAATCACGAAGGTCACCAACATGATTAGCAAGCCATGCGCACAGAGGACGTCAAGAAGCTCATAAACGACCGACTTCGAAACTTGAAGATTGGCGGAAATTTCAAAGATGTTCTACGCAGGCAGGTGGACCAAGCAAACTCTATGCCTTTCACTACCGAAATCGAGCAGGCTACACCCTCGATTCCAATCCAAAGAGCCATCTGAAACACTTCAAAAGTGTTATGATCCTCTACAAGGCCGGTTCCTAGTGAAGACTTGTTCATGTACCTAGCAGTGCCCAACTCGGCCTTCAGTTCAGCTCTTAGCTGAGAAGAATTGGGGGGGTCAACATCCTGTATTCTACACGTCAAAAGCTCTCCTCGATGCAGAGACTTCCTATCCGAAATTGGAGAAGCTCATTTTGGCCCTTATAGTTTCCGCGAGAAAGCTGCAACCCTACTACCAAGCTCACTAAGTCATCGTCATGACCGACTTTCCTTTGAGATCAATCCTTCATATCCCTGACGCTTCTCAGCGACTTATGAAGTGGGCTATAGAGCTAAGCTAATATGACCTCCCTTACTGGCCAAAGACTGTAATAAAAGCCCAGGTTTTAGCAAACTTTGTCACAGAATTCACCTCATCAGCCAAAGAAGAGAAGATGGTCAACAAAAACAAGGAAAGTTAGATGGCAGATAGGACCTCCGCTGAACTTGGCCAACCTAGAGACATGTGGCAGTTGAACGTAGACAAAGCGTCGAACCAAAAAGGAGCTGGAGTAGGTGTCGTCATCATCACCCCGAATGGAACCTTGTTAGAGCAAGCTTTCATGCTTTCTTTCAATTAACCATGTCAGACCATGAAATAATACTCAAAGCGTGCTCCAAATCCATTTTCCACACTTTGTTTCAATTAACCATGGTTGATACAAGACGTACGAAGAGTAACACCACCACGACGAGCCCATCTCATGGTGTCGCAGTGGAAACCTCGCTGGAACCGCATTGTAGCAGCCTCCCATGGCTGCCATCTCATTCTAGCAGCCCCCTGGCGAGTTCCAGCAACCTCCCATGGTTGCTAGTGCGTTCCAGTAGCCCCCCAACAAGTTCCAACAGCCTCCCATGGCTGCCAGCTCGTTCCAGTAGCCCCCAAACGAGTTCTAGCAACCTCCCATGGTCGCCAGCTTGTTCTAGGAGCCCCCCATGGTTGCCCAATCGACTCCAGGAGCCTCATAACTGCTCCAAACAGCTATTGTAACAACCGAGACACAGTAGCAGCGGCGTCATGTGGCTACTAAAATTGCAACACAGCCATGCGGCCTCATGGCCCCCTTCGTCATCCAACCATAAAGGCTCGGCGTCGGTGCCTCTACCCATGACGGTACCGCCATTCGTGGCTACCTCAATACCTTCTGTTTCATTCCTCGGTCTGATAGCAAATCCATTCACTTCCTCCTTTGCAACCATACTTGACGTATGCACCTGTGTAGGTGTTGAATGGAGCCCTAGCCCATATGCCATTGGCCCGGATCCACACCTCTCTTCCCAACCTACGCAGTCAAGTGGGCCTTAACTCACGGGTTGATAAGCTCACTTGGAGGGTCGACGACGAAAACAATCTAATTGGCCAACTACTTAGGCAGATCAACTTGAATCAAGGCCCTGACCTTGGATCCCGTGACAAGGAGAGAAGGATGCACGAGCATATCGGTGAGTAGTTCGAGAGGTCGCGGACTGGTTGGGCAGAGACAAACGGGCAAGGGGGAGAACAAGATCGTACCGAAGAGATGCAGACATCTGCAAGCCGTCTTCTGAGCCGGTCAACGATCCATTCGAGATTAGATCCAAGGACCAATGTGCACAAGAGGTTGGGCCCACAGTCCATTGTCCACGCTCGCTTGGGCCCACAAGGAAGTATCCATTCTAGACTGGGCCCACAAGTTGCACGGGTTCGTGAACAATTGCGTGACAGATACAACGACCGAGGCTCACCAACCCGCTCGAGAACCAACTCACGACGGCAAGCCATGGAGGATTTCGAGCAAGCTCAATCTACTAATCTACCCGAGGGGCAGGACAGCCAATGAGGTCAATCTTTGTAAGCCAACGAGGAAGTCAACCAGGGCCGCCCAAATCCAGGAGGTCACCCACGTGACCCACAAGCCTTGCGCACAAAAGACGTTGAGAAGCTTGTGAACAACCGGCTTCGAGATTTGAAGATTAGAGAAGGTTTCAGAGATGTTTTGCGCTGGGAAATGGACCAAGTGAACTCCTCACCATTCACCGGCGAAATCAAGCAGGCTGCTCCCAAATGATTAAGAAGAACCTTGATCACCTGTTTACCCTGCACAAGAAATCTGATGAATCATTTCGAGATTACATCAAGAGGTTCAAAGTAGAAAAGGCAAACATTGTAGGATGTAATGACCAAATTGAGTCCTCAGCCTTCAAAAAGGGCCTGCTAGTTGAGCACGACTTATATCGCGAGCTAACCATTGCTCCCAGCCAAACTCTAGTAGAGGTCTTAGCGACCACTGAATGCTATGTGCTCTAGGATGACTACCAGGCAAGCTGACCCACCAGCCAAACAGGCAGGTCAGAGAGGCAACAGATTCAGCAACAAGAAAAGTGCCAAGAGCAAGTCCCAAGGAGATCCCCAGACAGATGAGAACTTCACTAAGTTTTCCATCCTCATACATCAAATCAGCTACTCAGCTTAAGAATAGTGCCAAGCGCAACTCCCAAGGAGCCACCCTAGAAGGTCTTAAGGATTAACACGATCCTGGCCTACTCCTAGGAGTCCGGGCTAACCAGCAAATAAAAGACGAGGAAGATCGAATAGGCCACTATGATCTCCCAAATCGCGACCAGTCTTTCACCGGCAAAAGACGATCCCATGATAGGCTTCCAAAAGAAAGATTTAATCAGCCTCAATCTGCCACACAATGACGCCCTCGTCATCAGCATCCAAATCCCTCAAGCCATGGTCGATCGAGTCCACTCAAACGAGGGCAGCACAGCTAACATCCTACAGTTGGCGGTCATCCAACAGATGGGCTTAAAGACAAATATCAATAAGTCAGCCAGGTGGCTAACCGGCTTTAATGGCGCGACAACGGTTACTGTAGCACGATAGACCTCGATGTCTATTCTCCACCAGTAGTCAGCTTACAAACCTTCATGGTCATTAACGAAGTCTCCCTTTACAATGGCATTTTAGGCAAACCGTGGATTAGCAAGATCATCGCCATCACCTCTGCCACGTATAAGAAAATCCATTACCTAATCCCTGTGGGCGTGTCGGCCAGATCAACAATGATCAGGTAATGGCGAGGAAATTCTCAGCTTAAGAGAAGCAAGCAAACACAGTTCCTCCTTGTGAATCAAGCATATTTGAAGGGAGTAGAACGAGCATATGAGAAAGCAGATCCCGATCCTAACTGTTGAGCAGACTAGAGAGGAAAGAGAATAGCCACTCTTCAATAGCAATCAAAGAATCAGGACCAAGTCGAGGGAATCCGTCCGAATGTCTCTCTTGAAGAAGGATGGAAGCCTGAAGAGGACGTCAAGCTAGTAACCCCTAATCCTGACCAGCCAGACAGAAAAGCGCTGATCGGTTCGCTCTTAAGCCCAAACGAGAAGGTGGAGCTGACCACTTTCCTCCAAAACAACAAGGACATGTTTGCATGGTCGCCATCTAACATGCCTGACATCGACCCAAATATCATCTACCACCGGCTCCATGTCAACCCTGCTATTGAAATAAAAAAATTCATTGACAGCAAATTAAATGCTAGCCCAAGTTTAAAGAAGTTGGGCTCATAGCTAAATGGTTTTGTGGACTTGTTGGTAAATTGGTTTAGGCCCAAATGAATTAATATTGATATTTTTACAAGGAAATATTAATATATATTGAAAGCAAAAACAGTTTCATGTACATGAAGTGTGGAATTGAGGGGGTGACTGTAATGGGAAGTTACTCCCACCCACACAGTACGTGAGCCCTTAACTGATCCCACTCTGTCAGTTCCTCTGGGTCTATAAAAAGGGACCAAAGGAGGAAAGGAAGGAGGACAGGAGAAGAGAAAAAGAAAAGAGGTGCTGCAGGAGAGAAAACGCAGAGAGGAACCAAGGGCTGCAAAGAAGGGAGGAGCCAAGAAGCAAGAAAGTGCTTCAGAAATTGATATTGAAGCGTGAAGAAACGATACCCAAGGTCCTGCAGAAAGTTTCAAATAACAGAAAAATCAAGGAAGAAACAAAAGGGCAGGAGCAATCAGAGAAGAAAGGCAAGGTATAAAGTTCATTCTTTGCTGTAAAACTTCAGGGTGTCTCTCAGTACAGGTTATTCCTTTGCGGCTCAAAAACATCCGATGCAAAGTTTAATCCAACAAGCCTCTGTAAATGGTAGATCATGAGTTCTGCGTGGATGCCAACATCTTGAAAACACATTTCTCTATGAAAGCAACAAATATCTCTCATATCAATCTGCCATAAAGGCTTTGAGAATGTGCGCTACGAAATTCCTCCATGTCCTTGCTGTCAATTTGTCAGAGATCTCAAGAAACTGTAGACGGAAGGATTAGATCCTTCCCAGAGATAAAATAGTGGTGTCACTGCAACATTGCATAGAAAGAGCTCTCGCAAGGACCTCCTTTCTGTGAAAATATACAGATGGGCATCCATAAGAACCCCTCTGTATTAATCCTCCCAAATTGGTGATGAGATGGCTGCACAACTTTTACACAAAGAGAGCTCTTGCAAGGATCTCTCTATTGTGAAAATTATGCAAATGGGCTTTCACAAGAACCCCTTTGTATTAAGTGCTGTGAGCGCTTTGCAAGTGTTCATAGACACACTCGATGAAAATGCAGATTCTCTTGAGTAACAAACAGAAAGACAAAGATATTCAAGAGGTCTCTGTACAAAAAGAAAATTGCCTTCTTGTCAAACCAAAAATGCACAAGTGAGCAGCACAAATCACGAAGACAAATAGCCACACAACAAGCCTCCTCATGTGGCTGTTGAAGAACCCAAAAGCAACATAAGCCAAAAAAACAAAGAAGGCTAAAGGTTGAAGAAGTCCCAAAAGCTGAAAGAGAAACAAAATCCAAAGGAGAAGAAGAAAGACTTGCCATATGCAAAAGGAGAAGTCAAAGCTAAATGGATGCACAGCTTGCTGCCAACAACTTTTCTTCAAACCAAAATTTGGTCTTTAGACCAAAAAAATGAAGAAACTTGTTGCTCAAAGAAAGCCTTCCTGCCATGCCCAAGATTGAAGAAGAAAAGCAATAAAAAAAGGAGTTTCGTATTACTGAAAGAAACCAAAAAAAAACAAAACAAGGAAGAAAAAGCCAAAAAGGGACAAAGAAAAGGAAAAGTACCTTTTTATTTTGACAAACAGACGTTGTTGCCTTTAAGCTCCCATACTTCCAATGGGTTTTGTGGTCTAAGTCTGACTTTAAGTTCCCATACTTCCAATTTATATTTTAATTGGTTATGTAGTCTAAGTCTGACAGACATGAGCAGAGGAAAGAAGAAAGGACTTACCTCGATTTTGGTTTCTCAAACTCAAAGCTCTGTAATGGTTTTGGTTTCAATTGGCAGCTGGCTCTTAGACATGGACTCTTTGTTTATGGGCCAACTAATAGAAATGTTAAGGCCCGAAAACAAATTGATGGGTTGACAAAATAAATTACCCATTAACTCTCAAAAGCCCAAAATATTTTATGGGTGGTCCAAATAAATTATGTGGTTAATGGATTAATCCTTAAAACCATATGTGAGTAAATTAATTGGCTCATCAAAATGCCTTTTAATTTTCTTTGGACTTTAACAATAAAAATGGTACAAAACCATTCCACATTTTCTCATGGGTCATCTACCCTGCAAATTTTCAATGAGATCAAAATTCAAATTTCTCAAACATAAAATTCTTTCAAAGGGTCATTTACCCTTTGAAGGTCCAATCAACTTTGGAACTACGCCGGTTTGATCCCATCAAGGGTACGTAGGCAGTCTAGCATCCCAATAGACGCAACCGCAACCAAATCCCCACAAATTAAATATCTACCTTTACGCAAATCAACTTTGGAACTACGTCGGTTTGATCCCATCAAGGGTACGTAGGCAGTCTAACATCCCAATAGGTGCAACCGCAACCAAATTTGAATCACTGGTTACCGCAACCAAATTCTCACCAATCAAATCTCCACAAAAATCATTCCGAACTACGTTGGTTTGATCCCTTTGAAAGGGTACGTAGGCAATCTAGAGATTCAATCTAGATGCAACCATCCCAAACACAACTCCATATCGAATCCCTGGCTTATTCAGCTAAATTCACTCAAACACCCCTCAATCAAATTCATTCAAATTCCCCTTTTTTGCAATGAGTCATCTATTCATTGCGAATCTTTGAACTACGAGTGGCTTGATTCCTGCAAAGGATACGTAGGCACCCTGAGGTTGAACTTGGGAGCAGCCGCAAAACCAAACACATACATTCTGTTTCTTTATGATGGAATCAAAGGGTTTTCCCTTGTAGCGAGGGATTGTAATTAAGAGACTTGTGTCTCGAATGGGTCGAACCTAAAATAATAAAACCCCATTAATTGATTAGTGGTGGTGAAATTATGTTTGGAGGTTTACAGTTTTTATCTAACACCTGCCAACAAGCTAGTGGTGTAGAAGAGATGCAACTTCACATCCTAGCGGGTTGCAATCATTGAATCCGAGATCGACAAGCTTCTATCCGCTGGCTTCATTGAAAAGGTATACTACTCAAAGTGGCTAACCAATGTTGTTTTGGTGGCAAAACAAAAAGGAAAATAGAGAGTTTGCATCGATTACACCAACCTCAACAAAGTGTGCCTTGAAGACAACTTCCCATTGCCGAGAATCGACCAGCTCGTGGATTCAACTTCTGGCAATCAGCTGCTTAGCTTCATGGAAGCCTGCTCCGGCTATAATCATCATCGAGAGAGGGACCTAGTAGTACAAGGTCATGCATTTTAGGCTGAAGAACGTCAGAGCGACCTACCAAGGAAGTCTATGTAGACGACATGCTGGTCAAAGCGACCATGCACATCAAGAACCTCACTGAGGCATTCAGCATGCTCCGCCAGTATCGTATGAAGCTGAATTCAAGTAAATGCATGTTCGGTGAATCGTCGGGTCGATTCCTAAGGTACCTAGTCACTCAACGAGGTATCGAGGCACACCCACGCCAAATCAAGGCCATTCTTGAGATGAAGTCACCTTTAAAGGATATACGAAGTCTGACGGGCAAAGCAGTGGCCCTCAACCGATTCCTCTCGAGATCTATCGACAAGTGCAGACCATTCTTCAAAACTTTGAAGAAGGGACAAAAAGACAAGTGGGACGAGGAGTGCGAAGTAGTTTCCCAGAATCCGAAGACTCACCTCACTTCATCTCCCCTGCTCTCAAAGCCAGTTCCCGGTGAAGACTTATTGGTGTACCGGGCAGTGTCCAACTCGGCCGTCAGCTTAGCTCTCATCCGAGAAGAACTGGGGGGCCAACATCCGGTATTCTACATGTCAAAAGCTCTCCTCGATGCAGAGACTCACTAGTCGAAATGACAAGACCGGCTCCAAATTTCCCCCTGAAATTCATGACAAACCCTGCTTCCCGTCCGACAATGAAGCGATGTTGTACCCACTTTACTAAAAAGCCATTTAGCCCTAAATTAAATGGATTGACGAATCGACTTTTATTGAAATTTCGGCAAAGTCTCCCTTGTAACTAGGACAATTCCCAATTTACCGTCCCTGCAAACAACACCAGAACAACCCAACTTCCAGCATACACATGATAAGGGCACACACAACAGTTAAGACTAATCCAAAGGACTTCACGCTCTCAACCAAAATTCGAAACGAGCAAGCAGAGCAACTAAGGATTTAGTTTACAACCAGGGAAAGTAGGGAAGGATAAAGGAGGAATTTCTATAGTGCGGACACCGGTGATGCCTCGACGTGGCGGCCTCGACCTCAGGGTTGCAAAACAGAAAGTGTGAGTGGACAAAAACAAAGCTTTACCCACCCCCCCCCCCCCCCCCCCCCACCCCCCACATTTATAAAAATGCCAAAAAGACTAAGACAATCAAAATCCTTTTGTATACATACATATATACCTTCCAATACTTGAAAATAATTCAATTCAGTATACTTACATGAAGATATATGATAAGGGAAAAATTATTTAATTAATACTTCTCAAATTATTGGAAAACATAAATTTATTCATTTAATCCTTATTGTAAAACCGTAAAATCAAAACTTCCAAAGTAATCCTGATAATATAAAATATAATCAACAAAACCCAAAAATCCTTTTTCATGTAACCAAACCCTTGCAAGAATACAATTTGCCTAGTAATTCCCAAATATCCAATCACAAATCCGAACTCCTTTTCAAATATTCATACCTATGCAGAGTAGTCTCAATGCACATGCTCAAGAAACCTCAAAACCTGAAAAGTAAATCCACATATATACACTTATACATATATATATATAAGTATAAATAAAAATAAAAATATACACATGCCCAAATAAACACATCATCCCAACAAAGGGATTGTTTGACTAGACCACATGGCAAAATCCTCAATACTCATGTGGCTAGGGAATGAGCAGTCCAATCGAAGGACTATTGCTCTCCAGACATGCATGGTAGAATCTTTAATACACATGCGTCTGAAATGAGTCATACGCGCAAAGACAGCCAGTCAAGGCCTTCGGTACACCCGGTTAGGGGTGCCCAGTTCCCGACACACCTCCGAAGAGTTACCGTGTGTCTAAAATATCCTGAGTAACAGTGTTGAGGACCAAAAAATCCACAGTTCGGCCCAAAAATATTCTCGACCCAATGCAATACCTTACCGAGAAGAAACTCGATTTGGGCACGCGAAAGTTCGTCATATGCACTTGCACACATGCCACGCCAAGCAAATAAGCAACACGCCACGCTACAAGCTTAAGTGGGCCCAAGCCACGCGAATGCCCGGGGCTTGCTTGAGTGGGTTGTGGTATGGATAAGAATTTGCTTCAACCCTAATCATGAGCAGGGCTTTTCTTTTTTTCTTTTTTTTTTTTTTTTTTTTTTTTTTTTTTTTTTTTGTGGAATAAATTATTAATAAACTATTAATAGAGAGGAAAGAGAAGTGTCAGGTGAAGGGAAAGAAAGAAATGGAAAGGGGAAGACGATGAAAGAGAGGGAGAGAAGGCTATGGGCCCTTTTTTAATTTTTAATTTTTAATTTTTTAAATTCTCACATAAAAGTTAACTAAGGTTAACAATGGGACATGTGTCACCCTTTTAGGTGGTGGTGAGCATACACCTTTGGAAAAATTGTGCTATACAAACTGATGTGGCATGTTGTCTATTTAGTTGCCTCTTGAAAAAAAATGCTCACTTCAATGGATTAGGCAATGCAATTGTACTACCAATATTATATTATGTGGGGCCATTAAAATAATTGGTATTAAGAAATTACTTCAAAAACAAAAAACAAAAGTAACTTGTATTTTATAATAAGAAAATTATATGGGGCCCAATATACCTCTTTCATTTAAAGTTGGCAACAATGCCTTGTTGGGGAGAGTAGGTATCATTTGCCTGCTACTTTGCATAGTCCCATGAAGTAGGAAAATTATATAATACTACGATAGTATGGCCACGTGATACATCTTGTACACGTATTATAATATGTGTGGACGGCATAGTTTATTCCCCCCCCCCCTTTTTAGGGAATAGTATCAATATATATCCACTTATATTATAACACGTGTACAAGATGTACGACGTGACCATATTTTTTGTTTCCTTAAAATTAAGGAGGACCTCCTCCTCAAAGAAAATGGGATTTTGACCCTTGTCAAATTTCAAAACAAAGAAAATTAAAAGAATTTCATAAAAAGAAAAAGTTAAATGAAATTGACAAGTGTCAAAATCTCATTTGTTATGAGCAGTGCCAGCCTTGAGCCAAGAAGGGAAGTGCGACTGCCCTGGGCCCTACCTCAAGGGAGGGCCGCAATTTTTTTTTATTTTTTACATGAGGTTAGATTTGTTTTTATTACTTATATAGATAACTGCAGCATTGTTATTGAAGTTGACTATAGCACTAGTGGTTTAGGCAGTGTTTTAATTCCAATCAAACCTAGGTTCGAATCCCACTATTGTAATTGTTTCTTCTTCTTTTTCGGTCGAAGTGAATGGTTCTTCTTTAGTACTTCAGTTTTTTGAATTATTATTTTTTTTAATCCTTGCTTATATACAAAAAATAAATTATATCTGTCTGATATCTAAACTTTTCTTTATTTCTTTATAAGTATTGCCTACTAAAAATAGGATCTTTTGTAGTTGTGGATGGATGCTCTACATCTTAATCTTATATCAAACTACAATACGAAAGAAAGATTATGTCTAACTAATTAAAAAGAATAATGTTAGGAAGAGAGGTTGCCTCCTTTCCACCTACTTTCATTTTTCTGAAGGAAAAAATAGAATATGTCCTCTTTCACTATTTAAGAACAAAGATGTTGATGCCTAAAATTGGTTCAACAGAAGATGACCTCTTCGAGATTGAGGTCGGGCAATTCTTCCAAACGAGGTTGGCGTGACCAACCAAGTCGTCCTCCAGAACCTGCGAAACAAGATAGCCTCAGTGTGTGACACCGATGTGGTGTCGGCCAAGGACCCTCCGATGCTTAAGTCAGTTGAGTGTTTGAGAATAAAATTGCACAATAGGTTCTAGTGCTTAGAATTGCATACCTTTTACAGAGGATGGCCTTAGCCTTTTATATCATCCCAGACGACCTAATCTTTCTCGGAGTGGAGCTCTAGAGCAAACCAGCTCTCCTTGAACTAGGACTCTAGAACAACCTAATCCTCCTCGGACTAGGACTCCATTTTGGATTGGCGTCTTGGTGATCCCGAAACATCCCAACTTCCTTGGGATTAGAAGTCCTTTGAGTGAACACCACGTAAATCAGACTCATGTGCACCGAGGCTGAGCTCAAATGGGCCCACGAGTCCACACAGGTCAGGGTGGAAAAATATATGGTGACCAAGCTCGAGCCCAGTCCGACCATTAACACTGTGGTCTAGCCCAGCTCGACCACTAACACCATGGTTTGGCCCAGCTCGACCAATAACACCGTGGTGTAGCCTAGCTCGGCCTAGAGGTATTTTACCTCACAAACAGAAGTCCCCCAAGTCCCCAAACAAGAGAGGTTTGTGTGGGGAGTTGTACTTTAATAATTTGGCCGAGCTAGCAATATTAAGTTATAAAATAATTTTTTTATATCTCCCGTGTCACAGATCGGCACCAGGAGTCCCCCAAGTTTCCACAAAAACGAGCTTGGCAAAAGGACTTGGTTAGTGGTGAGGAGAATAAGAGGTCGGGCATGGCGAGTGGGTTCTTCGCCGACCTGCCTATGAGCTCGGCATGGTGAGGTAGAGGTCGGCTCCTTGCCGACCTGATCATGATCGTGGCATGGCGAGGTGGGTTCTTTCCAACCTGCCTATGAGCTCGGCATGGTGAGGTAGAGGTCGGCTCCTTGCCGACCTGATCATGATCGTGGCATGGCGAGATGGGTTCTTCTCCAACCTGACCATGAGCTTGGCATGTTGAGGTAGAGGTTTGCTCCTTGCCGACCTGGCCATGATCTTAGCATGACGAGGTGGGTTCTTGGCCAACCTGACAATGAGCTTGGTATGACGAGGTAGAGGTCGGCTCCTTGTCGACCTGGCCCTGAGCTTGGCATGACGAGGTGGCCTTGATCTTGGCATGACGAGGTGGCCTTGATCTTGGCATGACGAGGTGGGTTCTTGGCCATGAGCTTGGCATGTTGAGGTAGAGGTCAGCTTATTGTCGACCTGGCCATGATCTTGGCATGACGAGGTGGGTTCTTGGCCAACCTGACAATGAGCTTGGTATGACGAGGTAGAGGTCGGCTCCTTGTCGACTTGGCCATGAGCTTGGCATGACGAGGTGGCCATGATCTTGGCATGACGAGGTGGGTTCTTGGCCAACCTAACAATGAGCTTGGTATGACGAGGTAGAGGTCATCTCCTTGACCACCTGGCCCTGAGCTTGGCATGACGAGGTGGCCATGATCTTGGTATGACGAGGTGGGTTCTTGGCCAACCTGACAATGAGCTTGGTATGGCGAAGTAGAGGTCGGCTCCTCGCCAACCTGGCCATGAGCTTTGTGAACTAAGGTTGGCTCTTTGCCAACCTGAGCACAAGCTTGGAAAAGGTTGAGCTCAAAGCTTTCGTCCATCAAAGCTTGATAAAATATAGCCCAGACCTCTCGTCCATATGGGCTTGGCAAAAAATGAGCTTAGACCTTTCGTCTTTATGAGCTCGATAAAAATATAGCTCGGACCTTTCGTCCATATGAGCTTGATAAAAAATATAGCTTAGACATTTCGTCCACATAAGCTTGATGAAAATATAGCTCAGACCTTTCATCCATATGAGCTTGGCCAAAATGGAGCTTAGACCTTTCGTCTATATGAGCTCGATAAAAATATAGCTCGGACCTTTTGTCCACCTGAGCTTGATAAAAATGTAGCTCGGACGTTTCGTCCATACAAGCTTGATAAAAGATATAGCTCGGACCTTTCGTCCATATGAGCTTGGCCAAAATTGAGCTTAGACCTTTCGTCTATATAAGCTCGATAAAAATATACCTCGGACCTTTCGTCCACATGAGCTTGATAAAAAATATAGCTCGGACCTTTCGTCCATATGAGCTTGGCCAAAATTAAGCCTAGACCTTTCGTCTATATGAGCTCGATAAAAATATAGCTTGGACCTTTCGTCCACATGAGCTTGATAAAAAGTATAGCTCGGACCTTTCGTCCATACGAGCTTGGCCAAAATTGAGCGTAGACCTTTCGTCTACATGAGCTCGATAAAAATATAGCTCGGACCTTTCGTGCACATGAGCTTGATGAAAAATATAGCTCGAACCTTTCGTCCATATGAGCTTGGCCAAAATTGAGCTTAGACCTTTCGTCTATATGAGCTCGATAAAAATATAGCTCGGACCTTTCGTCCACATGAGCTTGATAAAAAGTATAGCTCGGACCTTTCGTCCATACGAGCTTGGCCAAAATTGAGCTTAGACCTTTCGTCTATATGAGCTCGATAAAAACATAGCTCGGACCTTTCGTGCACATGAGCTTGATCAAAATTGAGCTTAGACCTTTCGTCTATATGAACTCGATAAAAAAAATATAGCTCGGACCTTTTGTCCATCTGAGCTTGATAAAAAATATAGCTCGGACCTTTCGTCCATATGAGCTCGGCAAATCTTTAGAGCTTGATTCCATCCTGACTTGAATGCGGCCCTTTGAGTTACTTTGTTAAGGCTTGGAGAGACAATACGTTGGAAAAGGAATCCCAATTTTATTCACTAGTAAAAAATTGAAAACAAAACAAGAGCGAGCTCGTATGTTGGCTGACTAAGTCGAAGAACTAAAAACTACCACGTGAGCTATCATAACAAGATAGTCCCACACTGAATGAAAAGAAACAAAACAAAAAATCTGAATCTCAAACTGATGATCTAACTTTGAGAGCATGTAGACGAGGAGGAAGTCATTGGTAATACTTCCTTAAATGCTCAGCGTTCCAAGGATGGGGCAGACTTGTTCCCTTGAGATCCCTTAGTCGATAGGTGCCCGGGCGTACAACTTCAATGACACGGTAAGACCCTTCCCAGGTCGGTTCCAAGCTTCCATCTGAAGGTTTGCGAGTAGCAAGCATGACCTTGCGGAGTACCAGGTCACCAACTTGGAAAGCTCAATGTTTGACACGGGAGTTGTAGTAGCGAGCTACACGTTGTTGGTATGAGGCATTGCGCAGCTGAGCATGGTCCCGTCGTTCATCTACTAAATCCAGGTTAAAATTCATCTGGTTATCATTTGCTTCAGCTTGAAACACTTCCACCCTGTGCGTAGCCATTCCAATCTCAACAGGCACTACAGCTTCGGCTCCAAAAGCAAGGGCATACGGGGTGTCCCCCGTGGATGTTCGATGTGAAGTTCTGTATGCCCAAAGGACTTGAGGTAATAGTTCAGCCCATGCTCCTTTAGCCTTGTCCAACCTTGTTTTCAAGTTCTTTTTTATCAACTTATTGATTGCTTTGACTTGGCCATTAGCTTGAGGATGAGCATGAGATGCGAAGAAATGCTTGATGTTGAGCTCGGCACACAACTCACGAAGCTTGGCATTATCAAATTGCTTACCATTATCGGTAACTATGGAGTATGGGATACCAAATCAACATATGATGTTCTTCCAAAGGAACGCGGTGCAGTTCTTCTCGGTTATTGTAGCTAGGGGTTCAGGCTCAGCCCACTTGGTGAAATAGTCCATTGCAACAATTGCAAACTTGGTCTGACCTTTTCCCTTTGGCATAGGGCCAATCAAGTCAATTCCCCATTGAGCAAAGGGCCAAGGACTACTAATTGAAGTCAAATTCTCTGGTGTTGATGGGGAACCACCGCGTATTCTTGGCATTTGGGACAAGTTTGAGCAATCTTCTGAGCATCAGCTTGGAGTGTTGGCCAATAATATCCTTGTCTGAGGGCTTTGTGAGCAAGAGATCGAGTGCCTGCGTGATTTCCACAAACCCCTTTGTGGATTTCACGAAGCACATAGTTAGCCTCATCTGGTGTCAGGCACCGCAAGTATGGCAAAGAGAAACCTCTTTTATACAACTTGTTGTTGATGATCAGATATCGGGATGACTTATACCATACACGTCGAGCTTCTGCTTTGTCCTCAGGTAGGACTCCATGCGTTAGATAATCATGTATTGGATCCATCCAAGTTGGCTCAGAGCTAATAGGGAACACCTCCACGTGATCTTCCTCTATGCTAGGTTTCTCCAAGAATTCCACCGGGATGGATCTCCCCAGGTCGATATCGATAGAAGATGCCAATCGAGCAAGGGAGTCAGCTTTCGCATTCTCGAGCTGAGGAATTTGAATGATTTCATAACCAATGAAATCATCCAACAACTTCTTGGCCTTGGCCAGGTAGGCACTCATGCTTCTATCTCGACCTACCAATTGAGGTCATGCCATATGAGCTGTTAGGCGGAGTTCCACCTTCCGATCCATCTCATCTTGCATCCGCTTCCATCTCATCTTTCGTAGCACGTGGTTGCTTATCTGGTGCATTGTCATATGGCTCTGCTTGCTTCTTCTCACCCAAGAATCGGCTTAGACGACCTCGCCTAATTAATGCTTCAATCTCATCCTGGAGTTCGTAACATTGGTCCGTCGTATGACCGTTCTCGCGGTGATACCTGCAATATCGATTTGGATCCTTTCACCCCTTGGAAAACCTCGAAGGTCGTGGTTTCGGCCACTCAGTTTGGATGTGGAAGAAGACCTCCTCTCGATTAGTATTCAAGAGGGTGTAGTTGTCGAACCGTGGTCGAAATAGATTTTGTGGCCGATCTCGGTCTCTCTCACCTCGTCTAGAATTCTCAAATCTTTCTTTCTTGTAGTCTGGCTTTTCATGTACATCCTTCCGATCTTCTCTCCGTTTATCTCCTACACCAGGCTGTGACGGGTCCTTTCCTTCTGATATATCATATGTCATCTCCTCAGCTATGGCATGACGATACGCCTCGGACACCAGGTCCTCATAACTTTTAGGTGGAAACTTGTTGACATGGAACAGGAAAGGTCCTCTTCGAAACCCAGCTAGAAGGGCAGTATAGGCCATATCTTTGGAGCAACTAGGGATGCTAATTACTTCTCGATTGAAACGGTTGATGTAGTCTTGCAACTTCTCCTTAGGGCCTTGCCTGATGCTGAGGAGGTAGTTAGGTGGGTATCTCTTCTTTGAGGTAGATAGAAATTGGTTCACGAAGCTCTGTTTGAGCAGGTCAAATAAGCTGATGGAGTTTGGATTTAAGGACTTGAACCAATCCTTAGCTGATCCTTCTAAGAGTAGAGGAAAAGTGGGACATTTCATGGCATCTCCAGCATCCTTCACATTCATCCAGTAACCGAAGTCGTTCAAGAAGTCCACCGGGTCAGTGGTCCCATCATAGAGTCACATCCTAGGCTGTTTAAAATCTTTTGGGAGCTTGAATTCAAGGATGTCCTTAGTGAATGGTAGGGTGTCAGTTGTCGTGACCAGGTCGAGAGGTCCTGGGCCCCGTTCACGCTCAAGGGCCGTTAGGCGAAGTTCCACCTTACGATCCATCTCATCTTGCATCCGCTTCATGGCCTCCAAAATTCTACTTTCCCCAGCTTGCTCGTCTCTATTAGGGCGAACTTCAGACTGATCCACTTCCCGGTCACAATCGACCTCACGATCACGACCATGATTGACCTCACGATCACGATCAACTTCACGATCGCGATTATGAGGTCGGACGTACTGAGCTTTCTTTGCCTCAAGCAAATCCCCTAGGTCAAGGTATTCACTCTGACTTTTAGTTGGCATGCGAGAGAAACCAGAGAATGAGCCGCGAAGGCTAGGTTCGAAAGTTTGCAGCTTCAGACGGTCTGTTCCATTAGGAGATCGGGGACGAATCTCACCCTCTTCATCGTTCTGTCCTTCACGTTGAAGTTTGCCTCGGCGTTGGGGTCCGCCCTGTTGACTATCTCCATGTTCTTGACGCCACTCTTCTAGCCTTCGCTGCCTTCCTGTGTAGGTCTTCTCAGCTCCTCCTCCGACCTCCTTGTTCTGGTCACGGAGTTCATTAATGTCTTTCTTCATCTCCTTCAGGTAGGTCTCGATGTTAGTTAGGCGATTGGATTTCTTCTTCCCATTGATAGGCGCAGCAGGGGTGACGGGTTCATTGTGGCTGGACTCTTGACTCATGGTGTCAAGCAAGTGGTTGTTGTCTAAAAAATTAAATGGAAATCAACAAGATGTCGATTCCCACAAACGGCGCCAAACTGTTGATGCCTAAAAGTGGTTCAACAGAAGATGACCTCTTCGAGATCGAGGTCGGGCAATTCTTCCAAACGAGGTTGGCGTGACCAACCAAGTCGTCCTCCAGAACCTGCGAAACAAGGTAGCCTCAGTGGGTGACACCGGTGTGGTGCCGGCCAAGGACCCTCCGATGCTTAAGTCAGTCGAGTGTTTGAAAATAAAATTGCACAATAGGTTCTAGTGCTTAGAATTGCATGCCTTTTACGAAGGATGGCCTTAGCCTTTTATGTCATCCCAGACGACCTAATCCTTCTCGGAGTGGGGCTCTAGAGCAAACCAGCTCTCCTTGAACTAGGACTCTAGAACAACCTAATCCTCCTCGGACTAGGACTCCATTTTGGATTGGCGTCTTGGTGATCCCGAAACATCCCAACTTCCTTGGGATTAGAAGTCCTTTGAGTGAACACCACGTAAATCAGACTCATGTGCACCGAGGCTGAGCTCAAATGGGCCCATGAGTCCACACAGGTCAGGGTGGAAAAATATATGGTGACCAAGCTCGAGCCCAGTCCGACCACTAACACTGTGGTCTAGCCCAGCTCGACCACTAACACCATGGTTTGGCCCAGCTCGACCAATAACACCGTGGTGTAGCCTAGCTCGGCCTAGAGGTATTTTACCTCACAAACAAAAGAGATTGTTTTCTTTCCATTGAAAAATCGGTAAATAAGAGTAAAGGGGCATCAGTCTGCCTAGAAATGGTCCTCAATTTTAGCTTGGCTATTAAATTATTCAATTCATGGCCAAGGTTACTGCCACCATCATCATCACCACAAACACCCCCACCATCATTGTTGTCACCATAACCCAACCACCATTTCCGCCACCACCCCACCTCAATTACTGCTACCACTCCCACCTCACCACCACCCTATCAATAGCAACCGCACCATCAATATCACACATGATGACACCACCACAATCACACAAATGTTAAATTTCGTGTTTAATTCATTATATTTTTAGATTGGTCAAATAATAAACTTTACAAATTCTAAAACATTAATTTCTATCATTTTAAATACCATTATTTATGAATTCTTTAGTATTTTTAAATTTTCTCTTCCAAACTTACCAAGAGAGATTAGGATTTTATATAAGGTTTGATATGATGGGGAGAGGTGTAATAGTATGGGAAAAGGTAAGAATTTACAATAAATAAGAAAATTGAGTAAAATAGTTCGATTTGGGTAAAACACCCGTTTTGATTTAGAAATCGATAATTCGACCGGTTCAAATTCTCTTTTCAGGCCAACTTATTATTAATTTTTTTTAAAAGGTGAAAACGGCACCAAATCAGACCAATCAATCCTATTCAATTGCATTTTTTGATTCGGTTTTTATTAGAGTAAAATAGAAGCCGAAACCAGTCCGATTTGATTTTTGAGTTGACTTTTAATCACTACAATTTTTTTAAAATAAATTTCGGCACGGTTCTCTGATTCCCCCCCTCCCAACATTCTAAATGCCTAGCCCTGCTTATTTTCTTTAGTTTTTAGTTTTTCCAAGCGTATTATCTTCTTAGCTGAAAATTACATTTTTGAGTAGAATTGGAATTGGCAAGATTTTGGTGGAATTAAGGATTTGTGGCTGTAATTGTTATTATTTGAAAGGCTTTTTAAATTTTAACATTTTATTTTCTGTTTTAATATTTTACTGTTTTCTTTTATTTATTGTGGGAGTTACAAATTATTTAACTTTCAGTTTTTATTTTCTATTCATTACCTTAATTTTTCTGGTTAAATGTGTCTGGAGATTACAAGTATTGGATGCCTATAAAAGGCCACTCCTTCTTCACCTTTGAACATACCACAATCAGATTTCTATATTCTCCTACTTTCATATATTCTTCACTTTCCATATTATTATTTTAGGCAACGGTTTTGTGACTTGGAGATTTCTATTCCAATGTGCTCGTAGCGGACCTTAAACCTGTGTATTGGAGTCGTATCTTGGAGTCCTGTAAACTATCATTATCTGCACGTAGGGAGGCTACAAAGGCTTTAGGACATCGTCTTTTGACGTGCTTTCACTATACCAAGCTTGCTTTCTTACTCTTGAATTATTTTATTTATCTATTATTTGTTTCTTTATTTTTACTTTACTGTTGAAGCTTTGTTTTATATATTATTTATATCTAAAGGTTTAAAAGAATTTTATAGAAAAGGAAAAACACAATTTTTAATAACAGTAATCCCTGAACCTTTTAATTTAAATAATCCATTATGTTGCGCTGGTTCTTGGAACTTTTTAATTTAAACTATCCATTAGAGAGAAGCAGAGGGTGAACAAGATTCAATCAAAAGTCAAATCAATGATGACATTGGAAGGAGTAGCCATAATCATACGAATCAAAATTTAAACTATCCTTTACTCACGTCACTGTTGTTCATTCTTATCTCATCTGGTGGAGACTAACAAGTTCCATAGGTCCAACCAAATTGTTCTCCTTTCTGAATAATGCTTATGAATGCATCAAACTGTTATTTGAGTAAATTCTTTTATAGTGGTATTGATTGAATATATCATAGGATTTTGTCTCAAAGGAGTATATAACGTGCCCATATTGATGCACTTATAATCTTTTTCATGTAGGTCCTGTTCTTCCTATCAAAGATATTGTTCTTTGTGCTCATGATGGTGGTGCAAAAGTCCTTGTATTCCACATAAGGTGGTTGATGTGAGGAAATTTTTTAATTTTTTTAATTTTTTTATAAAGAGAACTTCTATTGCCACCGAAAAACTTCAATCTTTCACTAAGCAGAGCACCACAGGACTCAAAATTCCTCCATGATAAACCTGCCTCCCTAAATAACCGACTTCACAACGAAGAAACTAATGAATGCTGACATTCTTGTTGCTTCTTCTCACAAGGTTAGGATACTGCCTTATGTACTGTAACCTAGCCTTACGAGCAAGGAAAGTATATGAAGCAAAGAATAAACATGCCTCAGATGTGTGGGCCTACAGCCTACAGGCGTCGGATTCTTATATGGAAAGAGAGAGTGATCTCTTGTCCCCCATGCCTCCATTTCTAGGTAAGCTTCTTATTTGAAAGTTCTGTTGCTTTTTTATATCTCTATCTAAGACAGCAATGGCTTCAGTGTAATTTGAAGTTGACTATAATGTTTCACCTCTCTTTCTAGGTGGTGGTGAAATGATATCTGATGTATTCCTAGATCATATCACCTATGCAGAACCTCCATCTAGGTTGGTGAATTCGTCTACCTCGAAAACTTTATGTTTAAATTAAATCTAATGGCCAGGTGGAAGCTGTGAACAAGATCATCAAGAAAACTCTAAAAACTAAGCTTGACAAAGCTAAGGGTTGCTGGCCGGAGCTACTCCCAGAAGTTCTCTGGTCTTATCGCACCACCTTCCGGACCTCAACAGGAGAAACACCTTTCTCTCTCTCCTTTGGTACCGAAGCAGTGGCACCAGTGGAGATTGGCCAGCCCACATACCGCACCTCCACCTATGAGGCCGAGGCCAATGACGAGCAGCTAGCCCTGAACCTCGACTTCATTGACGAGCTTCGTGACCAATCCAACATGCGCAATGTCGCGTACAAACAGCGCATCGCTAAGTACTACGACTCCCGAGTCAAAGCCCGTGCTTTCAAACTTGGGGACTGGGTCATGCGCAAGGTTTCCTTGGCCACCAAGAATCCCACTGAAGGTACCTTGGGCCCAACATGGGAAGGTCCTTATGAGGTTACCAAAGTCTGCCGCCCCGGCACTTATCAGCTTCGTGACACCAAGGGCAAGACCTTGCCTCATCCTTGGAATGCTGATCACCTCAAGTACTACTATAAGTAAACATACCTAGACTCTAGGCTATTATGTTTTCTCCTACTTTGGTCTCGAGCCTTGACTCAACCAACTCTTGTACTTTTTGCCTTCCGGCACATATTTAATGAACGCCCGACCCTGGCTCATTTTCATCAATCACATGGTTCCCATTTTGCTAAGCACAATTGATATCAAATGACAACAAGTCTCATATCATAGCACATCAAAATAACCTTGCCCCAGGCAAGGCAAAATGTTCATACATAACCAAAATAAACATCAAGTGTTTAAACTAAAAAGCTAGAATACATAAAGAAGGCAACGCCTTCAGGACTCAGTCGATGGAGCATCCGTAATGGCTGGCTCTGGCTCTGGCTCTGGAACGACATCAGTGGTACGACTAGATGAGGGAGGCTCGCCACTCGTGTCAAAGTTAATCTCCACTGAAGGGTTGAACATCGCCACCCTCTCCTCCCAACCCAGCTGCATCGCCACCATCTGATCCATGATGTAGTTCCTCAGCTCATCCGAACCCCGAAACGACTCGATCGCTTCGACCCGGGCAGCAGCTACCTCCTCGGCCCTCGACCGCTTCAGCTCTTCCATCTCCTTGGCCATCGCCGCTTTCTGCAGCACCAGGGTGTTCTTCTCTCGGATGGCCTCCTGCGCCTCCGCTACCTTATCCTTGGCCATCTCATTGCGCCTCTTCAACCTCTGGATCTCTTTATCTGCCTTGGCCATATTCACGTACATCTCACCATAAGCCTGCAACACAACATTATCAGTTCAAGGCAAATTCGAATTATATGAACAAAGTCTTAAGGCAAGCCAACTTACATAGGCCTGGGTCAGGAGCGTCTTCTGGGCCCGATCTGCATAGGAGGTAGCCGGGGTCCTCGCCAGAACCTCTGGGTCACTCTTCACGCCTTCCAGGAAGACGTTCACCAAGGGAACCTCCTGCCGATGCATGGCCAGGTTCACCTCCTTCTTCTGCCGACGCAGTCCAGAGAAGTCCACCTTCTCTACCCCCTCGGCGTAAACATCATCCATACCAAAGGGGAGCTTCGGCGGCGCCTGCGGGTCAAAGGGGGGAAGCCTCGGCCCTGTCCCCATCACGCTCCGGTGAGCTTCCTCCAGCGCTCTCTTCTTTCCCAGCACATCAGAGACTAGGCCCTCCTCATCTCTGGAACGCCTCCCAGCAGCCTGTTGGGCACCTCCCTTCTCTGCCTTCTTGGCCCGAGACTCCCTCAGCCGTTTCTGCATCTCGGGATCATCCAGATCCATGGCCACCTTCGTGCTCCCCCTTATGATCCCTGCCACTGCACATCAAAAGGCCAAGTCAGTTTCAACTACAAAATAAATCATAAGACAAACAACAACAGTGACCCAGGTACTTACTCCCTTGCAAGAGTCCGGACTCGTACAGGTTCTTCTGGGTGACTAAGTTTCTACGCTCACGCTGGGTCTCCGACAACAGTGACCTCACTCTCTCAACCTCGTCTTCTCGCTCCTTGGAGATCGGTCCCCACTTCACCGAACCTGCACCACAGTTCAGATATCAACTTAGCCATTTATGCTTGCACAAGCAAAACAATAAAACATAAATAAAGACCCAAGCGTCAAAACACTACAACACAACTAGTCTTAAAGGATGGGGCTAAGGACCTATCGACTGGAAGTGGGTTGGAATATGTCTGGAGACGGTCTTCCCTGGAGGACACTCCCAATCACCATAGGCCAAGCACCACCTGTTCCGCCAAGACTTCTGCGTACTCGGCTTATGCCCAATAAAGTAACCTCTCTCCTTTGCCTTCCGGCAATTGGCTTGTACCCAGCCAAAGGTCCCCTGTTGCTTGGAGATCGAATACAAGTACATAAACTGCTCAAATGTTGGCTCCCCCAACCCAACCAACCACCAAGCAATGTAAACTCCATGAAGAAGTAGCCAAAAGTTGGGATTGTATTGCCCCGGCGCATACCCCAACTTGGCCAGCATCATCTGTACCCAAGGATGAAACGGTAGTCTGAGACCATGCTGGTACATATCGGTGAATATCATCACTGAACCCTCCGGAGGATATCTCACTACATCCGCAGCACTAGGTAACCTCAGGCCCACATAGGATGGCACACTATAATCTGTCCGAAGCTCAACCAACTTGGCTTCTGTGAGTGTATTCCGATTTCCCAACGGAACACCAACCCGGATGTCCACCCCCCCTGAAGCTGAAACCATGGCTATACCCACAGACTCTGATGGTGATGTCTGATTGCTCGAGCCCACCTCCGGTGTATGTGCCAAGGCTAGAACCCGATCAACACTGGCTTCTAACACTTTATACTTCTTCTGCATCTTCCTATATGCCTCTGACCCAGACTCTACTGATGGCCCAGCCATCTCACCCTCATGAACTCCCATCCTAGCTTCTATAAGCCCTTCTACAAAACTATCTGTCTGGGAACTCTCCTCTTCAGAACAAACATACTCACTGGCCTCTTCACTCTCAGACATCTACAACATGCAGAAACAAGAAAAAGGAACTAATGCACATGCAAAGAGGATCTAAGCACAAAAACACAAAATTGGACAGCCTCTACATGCTTTTTGATCCAGATGCATACATTCAACATGTTCATACTCATGCTCAAGGTGTTCATCATACTCTTCAACATGTTCATACAAAAAATTGAATTTCATTTCAAGAATTCAAGGGAAATGAGGTCTAACCTTGTTTGCACCACCACCAAAATCTCACCAGAAATCTTTTTCTCCTTCTCACTTTCTGACAATCTTTCTCAAAAAATCTCCAAGTATGATGCCTACGTCACTCCACGTTCCTATTTATAAGGCCCTAGGGTTACAAGAGAAACCCTAGCACCCTTTCACCTTCCCTCCCAAAACCCTAGGCCCTAGGGTTACAAGAGTACCTACACAGCATTTGCAATTTCAAATTAGTCAAAAAAAAAAAAAAAAAAGAAGGACGTGGAAGGGACCAGGGCTCAAGGTTTAGCTCACAATTCAATTTTGCCCAACAGGATGGCTGGAGCCCGACCCTTGTCCTAGCTCTTAAGAAGCCCAAGCCCAGTACAAGGCTAGGCCCAAATTTGCCTTGGATAAAAGCCAAGCCCAAAACCCAGTTCTAAATATAAAGGCCCAGCTTTCCTACATTTAAATTCACACCCAAGCCCAAACTGGTCCTAGTCCAGGCCCAAAGTCACGGGCCCAACCCCCACATCCACCCAAATTTGCCCAACCAAACAGCTACAATTTGGGCCAGCTCCAAACCCCGAAAGACCCAGCTCTAATCAGGTCAGCCAGCAAAAATTTACGAACACCCTTGCCAAACGGTAAGGGATGGGCAGCAATAAAATGGAGGCAACCAAAATTCCTTACCTTCACAAGACCCAGCTCCACGTCTACAAGGATTGCCCAGGCCAAGCTCCAAGCTGCTGAAGCACGACCAGCTCAAGTCGGAACGAGTCAAACAATTTGATCAAGGGTTGAGCAAGAAAATCGAGGGCTTCACAAAGTTCCCAGCTGTTTCTTCCCGAAGGCCCAGCTCTAAATTTCAGCCCCAGACTTACCTCAAGCAATTTGATCAAGGCACCCAGCCTCCCAAGCCCAGGTACCCACTTATCAAATCTGCCCAGCTCCAAGACTCTCGCCGAAAAAAGAAAAAAAAACAAAGGAATCTCAATTTTCCGATCCACCCTCACAGCTCCAGCTCCACCAACTCCACGTCCCTCTTCAAAATCAGCCACGGTGCCCGGCCCCTTGTTGACACAACCCTGACGAAGCCAAGCTCCACTCTTGCTGACAGTTCACGAAAATCACAATGCCAAATCACCTTGCCGACACCACCAAGCTCGAACCCAGCAAAGACCCAACGCCAAGCTGCACCAACAATTTTTCCAGGCACCCAGCTCCTCAAAACTGGTGCTTCAACTCCAGGCACTTGCCGAAGTAACCGCAAATTCCTAAACTCACCAAAGGCCAAGCCCAAGAGCTCAGCTATCGAACGTGACCCAAGCTACATACCCGTGCACAAAGAAGTCCCGACTCGCTTAAATCACCCAGCCCCTGCTCCGTTTTGCTCAAGACACCCAAAACGCAAAGAAGCCGAACCACTAAGGGCCTAGACCCGAGGGCCCAGCTCAACCAAAGTGCTCAAGGCACCTTCAAATCTCTGCTTGCCGAACGGCAAGCACCGTTCGGACGGAAAGGGAGACACCCGATCTGCCCAGCTCCCAAAGCTCAGCTCTGCCGAAATGGTTGAGACAGCCGAAACCTTGCCGAAACTCCGGCAACCGGTTCCGGATCGGCTCCAACTCCTAGCCAAACCGCCCCAATGGCAAAGAGAACTCAGCCCCACCTCACCGGAATCAATGGCAGACTCGACCCCTCCTTGAACACTCAACCTGGCTGAAGCCGTGCACACCCACCATGGTCTCACAAAAGCCCCTCACCCACCCTTGCCGAACGGCAAGGGCTGTGAAAGTCTGATTCCAAGCTCGTGGATGCCTTGCCGACACTCCAAGAAGAACCAAGGCTCACGAGGTACCTGGATGCTCTAAGCCCCAGCTACTTTCAATTTCGCTAGACTTAAAAAGCCCAGCTACCTTGCCAAAAACACAAAACCTCCTAGCCAGCTCAGCCTTAACGAAGGAAGAGGAAGCTACCAAAAAAATATCCCAACCATTGCTTGCCGAACGGCAAGAGCTGTTTACACCTATTTATATACCCCCCTCTCTAAAAAAGACCAAACCCTAGCCCTTCTATCCCAGCCTTGGCCTCCTTACCGAAGGTACAAGGTCCCAGCTACAATATCACAAGGCCTAGCCACACATAACCCAGCATGTACCTAGCCCTTTTTCATTTCAACTTGCCGAACGGCAGGTTCCGTAAAACAAAAAAAGGGAGGCACACCAATCATCCTCTAAACCTGGCCTCCCAACTAAACTCACGGGTTCAGCCCCTTGTTCCCTTTTTCCCTTTTTTGCCAATACCCCAGCTCACCTTGGGCCACTTTTTAGATGGCAGCCCCTAATTTCAGATGCCTCAATGGCCCAACCTAAACTTCTCCACAACCCATACCACTTGGCCATTCACACAAAAAAAAAAACAAAAAACAAAAAAAAACAAAAACAAAAAACAAAAAACAAAAAAAAAAAAAAAAGGGGCCGGAATGGCAAGGGGGCTAGGAAAATGGAAAATTGAAGCCCATATTCTTTCCTCCTTCAAGCTTCAGCCCAATCTTTTGGGACCCAGGCCTTTGCTCCTTAAAACCATCACTTGGTTACCAAACGGCAGGACCTAAGTCAACAATCACTGCAGCTTCGACAACCCAAGCTCACTTTTCTTTTCAAGGTACCCAGCTACCCACAATCACTGAGGCTAACACAGCTTTTATTCTACCTTCCAAGTGTTAACGCAACTTCTAGCTTGACAACTTGGGGGACTAGGGACTGCCCTACGGCTCCCACTGAACCTGGAATGCTCGGTCATGATCACGCAAAAGCTTACAAGTTCCCAACCCAGAAGTCACTTCTTGACCGCGAACTTGGGGGGACTACTGTTTACACCATAATCAACCGAGCATATCCAGTCTCAAAACAACTAGCACCAAGGCAGACACGCCTTCTCTCCTGCCGAAGGAAGACACTCTTCCGAGGTGCCAGGCACCTGCCGAAACTCCCGACTGCCAAAGCTCACAAACTGTTAAACCTAATTCTCGTGACACGTGTCACCACCGCGGCGACTTGCACAGAGTCCCACATCGGAAATCTACACCAACCTCCAACTTTCACTTCCCTATAAAAAGGGAACAGTACCCTAGTAAGAGGGGTAACTACCTTTCTGCCTTTTACTATTACTCTGCAAAAGTTACCCTTCTTAGCTGACTTAAGCATCGGAGAGCCTTCGGCCGGCACCACACCGGTGCCCGGAGCTTGACGACTGCTTCCCCTATTTTTGTCTTCTGCAGGCTAGCCTTTATTGAAGGCCCAGACCCTTTCCATGCTGAAGGCAAACCCCCTTTTTCCTCTAAGTTGACCCTCTCCGAAAAAGAGCATCAACAAAATTAAATGCAATGAGAACAGCAGCTTTGTTACCACTTTGAAGTTATTGTCTGAATTATCTGTGTTTAATTGTCACCTTGATAGATGAATTTGAATGCAAGAAGTCCTGCTCGCAAGAATATCAAGACCAGAAGATGCTTATGGTGAAGTAAGTAGGTCCTGTGTGCATGTTAGTCAATAAAACTGACCTTCCGTTGTAAAGTAGCTTATATGCAAGTGCACACAAATATTCTTGCTGCGTTCTACATACATTGGGCCTTTTTTTTTCTGATAAATCATGTCCTGATCTTGTTTCCCATTACCTTAAAGGAATGTCAGTTTTTTCCTTGTCCGGTGAAATTTTTAGCTATTTCTTGAAGCAGTCACTCTTTATGAGCGTGGTTGCTCTTAGGCACATTTTATTCGTGCTCTTATCTTTTAAAGCTTGATTCCTTTATCTACATTAATTATACACTGATTTGTGCCACCTTCTGATATATCCTTTTGTAATTGTCCCTCATTGCCTAAATTAGATTTGAGGCTGGAACAACAGCAATTGGGTTAGGAGCAGCTACTGATTAGCTATCAGGATTTGGTATGCAAACAATACATGATTATGAGGTAAGTTGAATTGTTCTACCTTTTGAATTTCTTGTTCTATATATCTGGTTTATACTGTTTTGTTGCAGGGCTTTTCTTTTGGTTAATTGTAGTAATTGAAAGAGAAACTATTACAGTGCAAAAAATAATTGTATTGCATTGACAGGGCTAGTAACATTTAAGACTCCAAAAGGCAGAAAGGTGAATCGCGTAACTGTATGCAATTTGTATGCAAAAGATACAAAGCAAATCGCATTGACGCCAGAAAGGCATTTGACAGGGCTAGTAACGTTTAAGACTTCCATTGATATTTGACATCCATGTGAGTTGAGTACAATAGACTGCAGTCATGTATGTGGTCTTACTTAGGTTCACTACTATTCAATTCACATAGACAGGACAAGTAAATGAAGTGAAAAAAATAAAAATTAGATGTTCAGTTAAATATTTCATGATTATTGATGGAAGCAATTGACAAAAGAATTGGATTATTGATCTGTTGTAAACAGTTGGACTCCATTCCAAGTACTTTATCTAACGAAATCTATACCAAGATTGTGCTTTTCTTTTTTAAGCCAAGATCACATGTTTATGTAGTACTTAACTTGATTGCAATTTTATTTTTTATTTTTACAGATATTTCTTGCAAAATATCTGTACAATAGACTTTGTTCGGTCCCTGATATTCGCATTTATCGTACAGCCCCCTCAGAACACATCTTCTGCGCTGCTCTGTGTTCTTTCAACGTCGAAAATATACACCCTACATATCTGGCAACTTTTCTTGACCAACAGGTATGGAAGGAACATAAATGAGATTTAATAAAATAGCTTATACTGAGTTATGTGATCCCAGCAAGAAATGGCTATCCAATCAGGTTACCATTTTGCGCAACCCCTTCATCGGCATTTAGCGGGCAAGTCTTCACTCATACAACACTGTCGAGGATATTAATGACTTTATCCAGGCCCTCAATGACACAGTCAGCTTCTTTAATTCTTTCAAGTAGGGGCTTGACCTCTTCCCATCCTTGCCAGCCTTCTGTAAATTTTGTATAAACTTTTCTACGGACACACATCGTAAGCTTATATCATCTGAGTATAGTTTGTGCAATAATCTGTTAAGACTTAAGAGGGATTCTTATTTTCAATTCAATAGTTTGTCTCACTTGCCTTTGAAATGACTATCTTGTCTCATGAAACTAGTTTTAGTGTCTCACTTAAACTTTATCCTTAAATCTATCAAAAATCTGTTAAATTACTTCCCAAAGACACAATTTATTGCTTCCCCAATGACCAAGGCATTTGAATCTGCATGGTGTGGTAAAGCCAAGGAAAGAGGAGCATACAAGTCAAGAATTTCTTTAAAGTACTCACAAATCCATGACAAGTAACATATTAAACTGAGACTTCAGCAGCCATGTAGCAGAAGCTTCTGTATAGCACCACGTCTATAATGATAGCAACCGTGGAACAAAACCAAGCCTGTTATAGTACCATGGGTGGACTTGGTTTATGGCATGAAGGAAATGCTTCCAGGAAAGTAAAAGAACCCTTGCATTTGGTGCCAGCTGCCCATTCCATGCCTGCTTTAAACAGTATGAACAACAATACAATGAGCTGCAGCTTCCCAGACCTGCAAACAGAAATGAAATTCAGTTGAGTGAGAATAGCAAATAACCTCCTCAATGTCAAAGCTACATTGTAACATATTTCATTTAACTGCTCTGAGAAAGTCAGAAAGGGTTCTTTCCTGTTCTCAGCTTGATTCTTTCTCACCTTGTCTTGTGATACTACTCTGCACTCGGATTCTTCTCGGAGCACCTCCCATGTGTTCAGTGAAGACGTGAGTGGAGGCTAGTTGTAGGATAGATATGCTAGTTGAAGAAGACTACTGATCTGAGGCATATCTGTAGTTTGTCTTGATAGAGGAAGTACTACCATCTCCAAAAGACTGCTTCTGAGAAAAGACATCTTTACTTCGTCTGTACTCATTGCATTCGGATAAGGGTAGAGAGTTCTGATAACATTTCAACCATTTTCATTTGCTGGTCTTTCTTTCTAATTTTGGGGATGCTGGGACACATTTTCTTTCTTTTTTTGGGTTACACACACATCAAAGAGACATAACCCTTGCCGACTGTGATTTTGGGGTGGCATCATCATCATCATCATCCATTTGAGAGGCTTGAATAATCAACTGTCTGGCCAATTCCTGAAGCTCGGATTTAGATTTTCCATCAACTGAAATGGAAGTATTGGAGGTACCGGAAGAAGAAGGCCTTGATTTTGGAGGATCAGCAATTGGAGAAAAATCTCTGTAGACATAATCTGCAATTCTTTCAACTTTGAATTTATCCCACCATTTGACTGAAAATTGGCGAGATAGGACTCTGGATTCCCAATTAACACGATAGGACCATTTTAATATCCAGGGGACTTTGTACCTGGCAATGAAAATGAGAGAATTTGGGAAAAATAATTCTGACTTTTTGAATTTATATTTTTGGGAGAAGTAATTGATCAACTCATGAATTTGGGGGGCAAGAATTTCAGCAACTGGACCATGCTTTTCCCACCAATGGAGGAACCAAAAGGGAAAAGGACTATTGAATTTACTGTCAAAATTGATGAACCAAGAATGACTAAAATCAACTGTTTGATGGAGGAAAATTGTGTACCATGCTTCAATGTAATCAGCATAGCAATATTGGAGGTTCGACTGGAGAGTTTTTAGATCATAGGGATGCTTTCCCCAATTTTATTGGCTTAAGATCTGGTGGATGTATAAGGAATGGTATAGTATGATGTGGGGCTGATTGCAATCTTTAACAGGCTTAATTTCAACAGACTGAGTTTCATTGAGAATGTCTCGATAATATTTAAGAGATTTATATGGACTTTGGGGCATGAAATGGAAATTAGGAGGGAAGTAGTGTTTTGCTATGGCAACTGGCTCAGAAAGATTATCAAGAACTGACTCAATAATGAAAAGATGGGTTTTATCTTTTGGGGCGTAGGGAGATGACTTTCGCAGAGGACTAGGCAACTGAGTGATTTGTGTACTGATCTGAAAAGGATCATAACTGGAGACTAAGGCAGACTGATAATTAGGGCTAATTTGACCGACTGTGGTCCCTAGACTGGAAAATCTATTGCTGACTTGCCGTCTGTGACAGACTAGTAACTACGAACAAGTTTCCAAAGCCTAGACAAGTGTGAGTGTTTTACACAACACAGTTGAATTATTTGTAGGAGATTCTTACAAGGACTCTTGTGGTTTATAAGTCCCCTTTGATATTCTCCTATAAATAAAATGTTGTGTTTCTCTCCAATAGCTAATACAGATAATCTTTCCATGGAGCACTTCAGTGTCAGCGTCACTGTGGCATCCACTTGAGGAAACAAAATATCTATGAAGATAACTTAGGCATCGAAAGGTCTTTGGCCAACACCCCCCTAAAGAAATCTCCGTACTTTTGTTAACTAGTGTTTTCCTACAAACACTCGGCCTAACTTAGGCATTGAAGGGTCTTTGGCCAACACCCTCGTAAAGAAATCTCCATCCTTATGTTGACTATTGTTTTCCTACAAACACTCGGCCTAACTTAGGCATCGAAGGGTTTAATCTTCATCCATTTGCTGACTATTGTTGACTATTGTTGACTATTATTGACTACAAACACTCGGCCTAACTTAGGCATCGAAGGGTCTAATCTCCATCCATTTGTTGACTATTGTTGACTATTGTTGACTATTCTTTTCCTACAAACATTCGGCCTAACTTAGGCATCGAAGGGTCTTTAGCCAACACCCCCCTAAAGAAATGTCCATCCTTTTGTCAACTATTATTTTCCTACAAACACTTGGCCTAAATTAGGCATCGAAGGGTCTTTGGCTAACACCCCGGGTGTGGTCTTCTACTCTGTATTGTCTTTTACTCCATATTGTTTTGCAGGGTGTGGTCTTTTACTCCTTATTCTTTGGGAACGAAAATCGCTCCCACACCTGTCATAAACCCTTTCCAATGATTTGGTATGTTGTAGTCATTGAAAAGAGTTTATGATGTTTCTTTTATTCAAGAACTTTGTGGGAAAAGAGTCGCAGATTGCGACTCATTGCATCCAATATAGTTATTGGCATGCAGAAAATCTCCCTCTAGCTCAAATTGACGACAGAACGATTCCAGATTTTCTTCTGCTTGAGAATAAACCTGGATTAAGAATCATAACAAGCAAGTGTTAAGTTTGGGTGTACTTCTTGTGCTCCATATTAAGAATTATGTATATGAAAGTTTCAAAAAGCATGTGGATTCTCACCTCTGAAATCCTAGTTTGATTCTCGAAATTAGAGGCGGTGTTGCTAACTGGTTTACTGTCATAGTTGGTCGGAATACTATTCTTGTTTGGAAGAGAAGAATCATTATCCCCAATTGGAGATGGCCAGCTACTGCATTCATCAGTATAGACATAAGGATCATTTCCCAGCTCAGGTGGCCCGGGAGGAGGAATGGGTGAATCCAGCTCTTCTCCTAGCTGAGCACATAACTGCCATTGCCAGATTAAGGATCACAAAACAAGCAAGTGTTAAGTTTTGATATACTTGTGCTCCATATCAACAAGTTCACATCAGAAAATGTTCAAAAAGTCTCACCTTTTGAAGCATATTAGATGAAACACAGCCACTAGGTTCACCAGCATCAGGATTGCAAGTGCCAAGAACATGTTCTGGCTCCTTATAGGCCAGAAAATCTTCTGGGTGTGGAATCATATGATTGATAGCAGCAGCTTGGTTATTAGAATAAGAGCCGATGTAATCACTAGTAACAGGAACATTTCCCAGCTGAGGTAGCTGGTGTTGGTGAGGCCGCTCGGGAGGAGAAGGTGAATCCAGATATTCTCCTCCCTTAGCACATAGCTGCCAGATTAAGAATCACAAACAAGCAAGCAAGCATTAAGTTATTGATATATTTCATGTGCTCCACATTTCCAATTTTACATCAGAAATCTTCAAAAAGCAGATTAATTCTCACCTCTTGAATCATATCATCAAAATCAGATGAAACAAAGCCACCAGGTTCACCATCGTTCTGATTGCCACTTCCGAGGAGAACATGTTCTAGCTCTTTGTATGTCAGATGTTCTTCTGCCTCCGAAATCAGATGAATTTCAGCAGCTTGTTCAAGCTCAGAATTAGAGGCCATGCAGCCAGCAATACCAGGATCAGCTGATTCAGCACAGATTGAAACATCCTGCTGCTTCTTATTATCAGACTCATTGTCAGTTGACTTATTCTTCATGCGGCAGAGAACAAAGCCACTCAGCTGATTGGGATTAGAACCTGGGTCAGTTGGAGTGAGATAGTACTCCTGCCTGACCCAGCCGGTGTTCCTCGACTTAGGCACACGACCTTCATGGAAGGTCAAGGTCCTCTTTTTGCAAGTGACCGATTTGGGGAGTTTTCGAGACTTGACTTGTCGTGGCTTGCCTGTGATTTTCCAGAAGCCCTTCCCTGTGGCCCTGTTGCAGCGACGACTGTTGGCATATTTGTAATCAGGTCGGCTGAAGGAGAACCAGGCCCTAGGTTGATATGGAGAGTCTGGGAACATGAGCTCTGCAAAATGCAAGCAAGTCTTGAAGTAATGAACAACAAAACAACAGATTTCACAACAGCATAATTTATTGAACAAAATTGTAAATTGGAAATGAGAAAAACAGGATAATTGATCAAGATTATGTATAAACAAACATCATATATACCTTGGAAATGTGAAAATGGGCAGTGAAGAGAAATTGAGACAGATTAATGGATTACCAGCTAAATCCCCAGGCTCGTACTTGTAGACATCGATTTCAGGGATGGATTGGGAGGCCTTGCCCTGCATCATCCTCTTCAAGAAGCGACAAAAAAGTTGGATAGATTCATTATCAGGTAAATCCCAAGGCTTGTCAACGATTTCATCAGGCATGGCTTGGGAGTCCTGGCCCTCCACCTTATTCTTCAAAAGGTTCACCATTTCCTCCTCAGAGGGATGGAATCTGAACTTGGGCAGCAAATCAAGCACTGATTCTTCTGTTGTGCTCATACTTCTGCTGTTCTGGAAAATTGGAATATAAGATGATCAAATGCTTTTCCTTCAGAGAAGAAGCAACAGAGAGCAGTGAAAGTTGTATATACAAACAAACTCACCAATCACAAGCCACTGTGCTTTTTTTGACTTGTGTTTGATCCCAAAGATTCCCAAGTCTTCTGATCAAAAAGAGATTCCCAAGCAATAACATACATGGCATTAGCTTGAGTCATACTCATACGTGTGGATCCCACCCACTTCCTATCATGCCCCTCTCGTAAGTTTCTTTCCTTTAACTTGTCATGGATTTGTGAGTACTTTAAAGAAAGTCTTGACTTGTATGCTCCTCTTTCCTTGGCTTACTGATGAGTCAATTTTATATTATATATTTAACTCCATTCTTATGATATTTTGGTTAATATTTTGGAAGAATTTTGATACTTTGAATTATATTTCCAATATAGGCCTTTCAACTTCCTCTGGAGCAAAACATAATCAAATGAACGAATTTTGGAGTAATTCCAGTTGGAGGACGTACGTGAGTCACTTAGCTTGATCATATCAAAATATCAGACTTTTCCACCAAGCGATAATTTCCTGGCGAATAAATGAAGGAGCAGTGTGCTGTGTTGGAATAGTGACGTTTTGGGCTTTTATTGGGTTTTTGGAGCCCAAGATGACCTCAGATGGGTTCGTGGCCTTCTGGAGAAGTGTTTGGAATATTTTTATCTTTAAAACGAGCTATCTTGGGCCATATTTGGAGGAGATTTGAGACCAAAACGTGGCTGAGCAGATTGTGGGCAGATTCTCATAATCCAATTTGAACTTTATTTCCTAATCTTATTTTATTTTAACTTAGTTTCCTTGTGGGGATTGGGTAGCTAGGTTTTAGGAGGTATTTAAGCTCATTTTCACAGCAATTTAGGGGACTCCCTTTTGACTTCTTTTTGGCTTTGGGAGCAATGGCTAGGGTTTTGGATTTTCGCGATTTTCAGGTGTTTTCATTCTTATTCTTCTTAATGATATTTTCTTGGATTTCAATTATGAGTATGCATAACTAAATCTCTTTTGCTAGGGTGAAGCCTTGAGCCTTAGCATAAATATGTGATTTTTATTTGATTGCTTATGATTGAGTGCATGCATGCTTTGAATTGTTAATCACTGTTTTAAACTATCTGATTGTCTTAATGCCTGATCACCATTAGGACCTTTAGAAAAGTAATTAGATGCAATTTTGGTCGGAAGGTTCCCTGAAATTGATGCTAGCTTCTTGTGATTAATAATTGTAAGTTCACTTAAGGCGAACATCACGCTCTTGAGGGTTGCATGGTTTTTCAAAGGGTTTTCACAAAACTTAATGAGTCTTTCATGTTCAAGGTTTAGGGTTTAGGTTTTAGGGATTTGATCCGAACGTCCGGATGGGTTGCATGTTAGATATACGTTCTATGTTGGAGGTTCCAAGTAGAATATAAATTAGGAAAACCTAACCTTCAAAGTAGCATGTGCAAATCATAAGTAATTGGTAAAAATTCATAGGATTGCTAGGTGATGGTGGAATCCTAGTGCTTTTATAAATTGATATTCAAAACTTCTTTCTTCAATCATATTTGTTTTTGTTTAATATTTGTTTTTAGAATCAACCAACTTCATATTCATCTTTCTCTACTTTTAATTTTAGGTAGTTAATTAGAAATTGTTTTCACATAAATTGCTAAATAGTCCTTGTGGAAAACGACATTGCATGAGCATCTATACTACAATAGCCTTGTATTCTTGCAAGTATTTTACGTGGTTTTAATCCTGTTTGCACAGGTACTAAAAATCCTATCACTTACCACACCATGCATATTCAAATGCCGGGAAGTAATTGTCTTTGGGAAGTAATTTAACAGATTTTTGGATAGATTTAAGGATAAAGTTTAAGTGAGACACTAAAACTAGTTTCATGAGACAAGATAGTCATTTCAAAGGCAAGTGAGACAAACTATTGAATTGAAAATAAGAATCCCTCTTAAGTCTTAACAGATTATTGCACAAACTATACTCAGATGATATAAGCTTACGGTGTGTGTCCGTAGAAAAGTTTATACAAAATTTACAGAAGGCTGGCAAGGATGGGAAGAGGTCAAGCCCCTACTTGAAAGAATTAAAGAAGCTGACTGTGTCATTGAGGGCCTGGATAAAGTCATTAATATCCTCGACAGTGTTGTATGAGTGAAGACTTGCCCGCTAAATGCCGATGAAGGGGTTGCGCAAAATGGTAACCTGATTGGATAGCCATTTCTTGCTGGGATCACATAACTCAGTATAAGCTATTTTATTAAATCTCATTTATGTTCCTTCCATACCTGTTGGTCAAGAAAAGTTGCCAGATATGTAGGGTGTATATTTTCGACGTTGAAAGAACACAGAGCAGCCCAGAAGACGTGTTCTGAGGGGGCTGTACGATAAATGCGAATATCAGGGACCGAACAAAGTCTATTGTATAGATATTTTGCAAGAAATATCTGTAAAAATAAAAATAAAATTGCAATCAAGTTAAGTAGTACATAAACATGTGATCTTGGCTTAAAAAAGAAAAGCACAATCTTGGTATAGATTTCGTTAGATAAAGTATTTGGAATGGAATCCAACTGTTTACAACTGATTGTTGAGGCCCAAAAAATCCACGGTTGGGCCCGAATAAATTCCTAGCCTAGTATGACACCTAACTTGGAAAGAAACCCAATTTGGGTATGCAAGAGTTTTTCATATGCACTTGCACACGTGCCATGCCAAGCAAATAAACAACACACCACGCTACAAGCTTAAGTGGGCCTAAGCCACTCAAATGCCCGGGGCTTGCTTAAGTAGGTTGTAGTATGGATGGTAATAAGTTGTCATGAGGCCCATTGATGGGCCGAAAAATAGATGTTCCGGGTTGCTTGGGAGTCTCAGAACTCAAGCTCATTTCTTAGGCCCCAAACATGTGGATAAGCACAAAAGAGAAAATATCCCAACCAAAATAGCCTATTGATTCAATCAAAAAGCCCAACGCTTGATAAAAAAACATAGCCCACTTACTCAATAAATCAACTTGGCCCATACAATTACAATAGAAGAGTTGCAAAGCTCCAGCACTTGGCTGAAGAACAAAGCAACAAAGGGAGCAAAATGGCCACGTACGCAGAGCTGCTGGGAGGTTCCAGCACATGGGAGGAACGAGTTTCAAGCACAACACATCTAAAGAACTAAGGGCTCGTTTGTTACATAGGACTGTCTTGGCTTGGCTTGGCTTGGTCTAAGTTGGATAACACTTATCCTGCGTTTGGTGTATGCTTGGACTAGGACTATATTTTTTTTATTTTTTCAAAAATATGTATATATGTATTTTATAATATATATGTATATACATACATATAATATATATATAACATTTATGTGTATATACATGTATATATGTATATTATAAATAATATAAACATATATATATATATATATGTATGTAGGTGTATATATGTATATATGTATATTATAATATACATGGGTATAATACATATACATATATTTATATATATCTTTGTATATTATAATATATAATATATATATGGGTATGTTATAATAATAATATACATGTATATATGTATAATAAATGTATATTATATATGTATTATAAATGTATATATATTATATTATAATATACATGTATATAATATATGTGTATATAGGTGTATCTATATATTATAATATATACATGGGTATAATACATATACATATATATGTATATTATAATAGATAATATATATGGGTATGTTTATAATAATAGTATACATGTATATATGTGTATATATGTATATTATAATATATATATACATATAGTATAAATATATAATGTATATGTGTATATACGTGTGTATATGTATATTATAATACATAGATGGGTATAATATATACACATATATGTATATATATATATGTATATATATGTATTATAATATATAATATAATATATATATTACACATATACATGTATGCTATTATTATAATATTAATATGTATGTGTATACGGGTATATTATAATAATAATATACGTGTATATATCTATATTTATTTATATATATTATATATGTATATATGTGTTTATATATATATATATGCATGTATATGTGTATATACGTGTATATATGTACATTATAGTATATGTGTATGTAATAATAATAATAATAATAATAATAATAATAATAGTAATACACGTTATTAGTATTACAATATAATATATGCATCTTATACATTGGTGAACATAGGACTAGTTAATATAAACAGGCTTAGTAGTCCCCTCCTAAAGAGGTGTTTTTGGTGGGTCCGGTATTAGCAATCTTATCTAAGACTAGAATTAAATGAAACAAACATGGTACTAAATTTAGTCCAAGCCAATCCAAGCCAAACCTGTGTACCAAATGACCCCTAAGGGATATTAGCGCGCAAGCTACCAGGAGGAAAGACACCCTTCGAACCAACATGTATATCCATTTGCTTTCCTTCATCAGATCTAGCAACAGAAAGAGGAAGGAAAGAAAAAGGGAAATAGCTGAGAATGGGAGCCTCCCACTAAAACAGCTGCGGGAAAACGCTTCGAGCTACCAAAAAACCCTGATTTTGTGCAAATGGGTAGAGGAAATTTCACCAAGATGGGAAAGGTCAAGGGAAAGGGGGCAAAGGAAGGGAAAGATTTGGCCAAAATGGATAGAAACCATTAGGGTTTCTTGGAAAAAGATAGCTTCCAGCGGCTATAAAAGAGGCCTCTTCTCCCCAACAAACAACAACCCACATCCAGATAGCAAGCTTCCTCTCTTACCTGCAAAACCCAGCAATTTCGTGCACTATTCACCCTTCTTCCCCATTTTCCCTGTTCTGGCAGATTGTTCTAACACTTGACAGAGTCTTTGTCAAGCTGCCGGAAGAAACACTCAAGCCACCCATCCCTTTCTCTCTCTCTTTTCTCAGCCAAATCTTCTTGCAAACCTTTTCTTTCTTACCTTGACACCCTTCCTTCCTTCCAAGAACACATAATTTTCTCTTCAGTGCTAAACTCATGTCAATTTTGCTTCCATGCCACGATCTCCTCATGTCAAGCTAAGAATTCATCTATAAGCACTAATAATCTATCTGTAAGCAGCCATTATTTTTGTTGGTCTGATTTTGTGCGGTTTTCACCTTTAAAAAAAATAATAATAGTAAGTTGGCCTGAACGAATTATCGATTTCTATATCAAAATGGGTGTTTTACCCAAGTCAAACCGGTTTACTCAATTTTCTTATTTATTGTAAATTCTTACCTTTTCCCATACTATAACACCTCTCCCCATCATATCAAACCTTATATAAAATCCTGATCTCTTTCGGTAAGTTTAGAAGAGAAAATTTTAAAATACTAAAGAATTCATAAATGATGGTATTTAAAATGATAGAAATTAATGTTTTAGGGGGGGTGTATTCAATTAGGATTATAAAGTGTTTTAAAAGATTTTGTTTAAGTATCAAATTTCATAAAACTTCATGGAACTTTTAGAATTCGTGTAGAACTTAATAGACTTTCAGAAGACTTCTATATAATTTTTTAATAAACTTTCTTAAGATTTGTATGGCTTTTATTCTGGACTTCTGTAATTTATTTAACATATTTATAAATAAAAAAATTCTAAGAGCCAACTAATTAGTCATGAATAGCCAAATGGTAATCTCAATAATATTGACAGCCACATAAATAGTATTCAGCAAAGAAGGTGAGAAAATGAGATATGCATACAAAAATTCAACTTCGTCCTCCAAAAGATAAGCAAGCGTGCATGAATGCCACAACCCTGTTGGAAAAAAAATCTCAAAATTATCATACTATTATTTACAAACAACAAACACAATCGAACCTCAATAAATGTTCTGATAGTAGCATTGCTGTCAATGCTTATTTTATATAGTAGCATTGATAGTAGCGTGCATGAATTGAAATTAAAAAAAATAGATGGAAAGTATACAAAGTAAAATTATTTTATATAGTAGCATGCTGTCAATGTATCTAATGGTGATCCAATTCAGGAGATGTTTTGATACTTGATTTGTACCAACATGAAATAAAAAGCCAAATTCATAACATCTATTCCAACATGTCTATCTTCCACTCTAAAAGTTCTTGCATCAGTATCATCGCCCAATCCTAATGAGCTTCTTCCAATAGCAGTTGCATTCTCAATTACAATTTGCAAATCCTCATAGTCCTCACAAGTTTTTGTTTGAATACTTGTGTTTTTTGGGTGGGACTATAACAAAAAAAAATTATTATTATTATTTAACAGAATTATGTATTCAAGTTACCAAACATAATTATTTAAAGAAAATTTAATAATAACATAACCTTAAAGTAGTCTTTCCAAACTTCTTCAGGAGCAATGAATTTATTTGTTGTTGGATCCCACCGAAACCCAGAGCTGTGACGGAGAAGCTGTGAATATTTTTGGTATTCTATTTTAAAGTACTTTTACCGACATTGGTATTGAGAATAGGTTTTGTGACACCTAAGTTTTTCATTAATCCTGGGGAGTATTTTGGTTTCTATAGTTGTCTTGCTTAGCATTCCATTAGCATCACGCCATCTACGGGTTGCAGCATCAACCATGAGTTGCAACAACATTCTACTCTCTTCCACACTCCAAGTATTATAATCTTTTTTGCTCTTCCATTTTCCATTTACTTGTTGTGTATTTTAAGACTCCATTTGAGTGGTGCAGCTATGAATTTTATCATGTCAATCACAACATAAAAATATACAAAACTACAAATATTGATCCCAAAAAATGCACATCAGCAACCATAGATCCTAACAGGAATTGGAGTGAAGAATGGAAAAAGAACGCAGTAGGAATTTACAGATTTGGCGTTTGAGCTTTGATTGGGGCGTATGATACCTTTTTGAAAAGGGAACGATGCCACGAGTCAAACTCACTGATTTGCCGTGACATATGGTAGATTTTGGGCTTTTGATGTCATTTAGGCAAACCTTCACAAATGGAGGAAGGAGGTTGTTCGTCTTCTGTTGCAGAGAGAAAAACTAGGGCGAGAGAAAAACATCTGATGAAATACTTTGGGGGGAGGTTGGATTTATTATGGTCTTCGTTATTTATAGCTCTCACCTTAAAACCTACTAAAATTTATCACTTAATGAAATCCTTCCAAATATATGACCTTTTGAATACACCTAGATTTTATTCAACTTTTTTATAATCCTAATTGAATAACCCATATTTGAATGGACTTTTTAAAAGTTCATACAAGTCGGAATTGAATACACCTAGACTTGTAAAACCTTTTTTAAAGTTTGTATAAATCCAAATTGAATACACTAGGTTTTTAAAATCTTTTTAAACACTTTATAATCCTAATTGAATACACCCCCCTTAGTATAACCAGACACTAGTGTGATGTTCTGGTTACTGATATAGAAGCTCTGAGCTCCACCCTTACTGTGGTTTATGCCACAAGTGACAGACCAATAAGGGAGTGACACGTGGACTAATAGAGTGAATTGGTATGACAGCGTTCAGCACCCCTGACTGCCAATCACAAGGACAGACCCCAAACACCCATTGGACACGTGGAGCACCCACAGTAAATGCCTACAGTCCCACATCGAAATTCTACACAACATGCACACCTCCCAAGACTTATAAAAAAGGCACAAATCCCAAAATGGAGGGAGCTGGAGCTTTCGACATACTTAGCCATTACTTTGTCCAGATTACTACTCACTCCATACTTACTTAAGTATCGGAGAACTTTCGGTCGGTACCACACTGGTGCCTTAGGCCTTACCGATCGCTCTCATTTCGAAGATCGATCGCTCTGTCGAGGCCCGGAGCATACCAAAGGCACACACATCACTAAGTTGGGCCCAAAAGTGCCGAACCATTTTTGAGCATCAACAACTGCATTTTGAAGATCATAAACCTATCAACGACCTACTTACCTTCAGTCTGAAACATCCCACCCTTAAACACCAAAGATTGTATCCTTTTTAATATTGTTTCGATTATCATATCCTTGTGAATGTTGTTTATTTCTAACATTTCAATATTGAATGAATATTGTGTATTATTTATTATTTCCCCTCTTTATTTTCAAAACTGATGTTAGGTTCATTTTTATACATGATTTATCATGCTATTCACCCATTATTTTGAGTTAGTTCTTGACATTTTATAGCTTTTTACTTCCTTTTTGTGTTTTCATAGATTTTACCTTGGTTAGAATGAAAATAAGCTAAAAAATGCATTATTGGTTATAAATTCTGTTTTTGTTCATTTTCGTAGGTCAACTTCTTGGCCTTGGATCAACATGCTCCGATGCACGGATGAGGTGAAGATCTGCATGAAACTTGTTTCAATCCAAGTGTCAAGCACGTACAGGGTTCGGCTCGAATTCCAAAGTGGAATTTGGGTCTGGTCCTATCAAAATTCAAGTAGGGGCAAAATCATAATTTTGCATAACTGGTTTTTTAAAACCAGAATCTCTCTCTATCTGCGAACCACCCCTCCCCCCCCCTCCCCCCCCCCGGCGATGGTTCCTTCTCCAGCCATGCCTTCCATCCTCCATAACCACCGCCACGGATGCCGGCCAGCCACTAGACCAGATGGAATTGAACCGCCACCACCCTAGCACCTTTTCCCGACCAACCCGACGCCAACTGCTATCGGATTCCGTTGGAAACAGCCGCGAAAGCTGTCGGTTTTGACAGATTTTTCTGGCGTTCGTTCTTCATCCTCCGGCCACAAAATCAGTCATGTGATGTATGGATTTCTAGCTATTTTTCGTGCTCTAGCTGATGGTTGGGTAGGATTTGAGAAATTTCTAGGTTTGACAGGTTAATTTTTGAGTTAGGGTTTGGTTAGAATTGTGGATGTTGACTACAACTAATCTGAATTTGAGCTCCACTGAACAAGTATAACCTATCCAACTGATCCAGCATGTCTCCACAACTCTAGAGATTTGTCTTGGGCCAGTTTTTACCTCCATGATGTCATCTTGATTCTTCTTGTTACCATTTGGTAACAAGAAATTACTTTGTTGGAGTGCAATTTTCTGAGACAAAAAGCATCGTTGTGAAGACAAAAACCAAAAATCCCATCATAACATAAAAAATAAAAAAAAATAAAAAATAAAAAAGAATGAGTTTAATATTGATGGGTGAGTTGGAAAGGAGGAGAGAGAGGGGGAGCATAGAGAAGGCATCAACCCCATTTGAACAGATTATTCAATTTTGCAGAGATTGGAGGAGATTTTGGAGCTAGTGAGCTAGAGGAGGAAGACAAGGGTAGCCAAGCAAGAAGGGGAAGAAGATTTCCACCATTGAAGACCTTGAGCTTCCATCAATTTCACAAAATCTGTAAACTCTTTCTAGTTTTATTTCAAATTTGTATTTAAAATAAGTAGAGGAACTAAACTCCATAGCTAGGGCTTAGGTTGAAGCCCTAAACATGAATACTCTATTGTTTTGATGCTTGAGTGTATGAATTTCTAGATATTGTTGATGAATTCTCATTCACTAAAATAATCTATCCTTGATTTATGTTTTTCTTTGATTGATCATCTTTGAAAGCATGCTTCTTGAGTTTGTTGGGATTATATGTACCCTCATGTCTTCCTAAGCAACAAATGGATGAAGTAAGAATCATCCATGGGAATTGATTTTTTCAATGCCTAATGTAAACATTATACTATTAGGGTTCTTGTGATGTTCATAGTCTCTTTGAACTTAATGGGTTTTTCTTGTAATTAAATCAAAGTACTATGTACACCTAGATTGATTATAGGGAAGGCACAAGTATTCTAGCACTAGTATGCTTATATTAGAGAGAATCAATGCATCTTGAGCCACTAGACCCGGTCTTAATTGTGAACATCTTCATCAACACATTTAGAGTTCATCACTTGAGTGTCTATGAACATGGGTAGGATTATTTAGGGTGGATTCCAAAACCCTAGTGTTTGTTACATATCAATTTCACACTTTGATTTTCATCTGACTCTTGTTAGAATTAGAGTTCGGTTACATTCAAGCATTAGAATTAGGTCACTTGA